TTATCTAGGGTTGTAATATTAGCAATTATTCACCTCTGACCTCATAGGTTATCAAGATATATGAGTAATTAAGTTTGGAAAGTGTATTTTTGACACCTTCCAACTCTGGGGGTGCTGGAGGGGGCATTTTTTAAGCTATCGCCCTAAAATTTTAAACATATCTTTTTGAGAGTATTATCTTGCAGCCTACAAAAAATCAGTTCAAAATTCAGCTCCCCGCCAGAGGTATTCAACTGCGAATTCGTCAAAAGCATGTCTGGACGCCTTTAGTAGTTTATGCAGTGTCTTATTTCAGAAACTTCACAAGCAAGATTAAGTTTCGAGAATAGTTTTCTTGAATAAATGCGTTTTTCAAGTTATGTCAACTTTAATTTCTGAAAGTTTTCTAAGTGGAAGAATCATATGTATACATACATATTCTGGTCAACTTTGTAATAGTTTTAGCAAATTTTACAATATTGTAAGAGTTATTGCTCACATTAATGATTTCATATTGTAAAAATTGTTGTTTTTGTCAAGGGTGCATAAGAGTAATCTTGAGTGAGGAAATATTTTTGACTACTCATTTATGTAGCTGCCCATAACTGGTCTAGAAGACCAAGATTTCTAGGCGCAGGGTTAGCGTTCAGTGAGAAAAATCCTGAAGCGTAAGAAGTATAAATTTGCATATATGTATGCATACCAGAATTGCATAAAACAGGGGATGAAATCGTACGCCCAATATGCAAATTAGCTACATATTTAAGTGTTGTTCATGATATTAGTAGACTTATTAAGAAAAAAACATCGAGGGGAACTTAATATTGTGGGCAACTTAAAATAAATATTTGTGGGGACAAAATCCCCTGAAAATTGTGTATATCTAAACGGTTTGCACATGAAATTTGTAATGTAAACAATATGTGTACAGTGTGGTATTAATCTACATATGCTTATTGATTTTCTTAGCTGAGATCCGTAATTCAGCTAATTTTGTATTTAAATTAAGAAATAAGATTCCAGAAAATCGAAGTCAGGTGAGAAATTTCTATACCAATCTATGTCGATTACATTTGCCATTATGGATGAACCAAACAATGTACATAAGTAAGCAAATGACTCAGTAATTATGGCTTACAAATATTACATCTAGTTTTAATATGCTCTCACTCATCCTCAGAAGGTACTGCATAAACAATGGAAAACTAACCGTACTTAATCTGTCGGCTCATCTGCGTAAATAGTCAGGCAGAAATCCATCAACTTGAAAAATTGTTTCCCTTCCTTCCTTCCAATTCTGTACGCAAAAAAATGAAAAGTAAGGTTTGGCGCATATTTCAATCTGCATTATCCAGGGTGCTATTAATGAGGCAGGTTAATACACATAAAGGTTTCAGTAAAGGGTTGTCTTCATCATCGTTACTACATATTTGTCCTTATTTGTGTCAAAAGGTCAGAAAATTATCACAAGGGGTAAATACTATGTTAGTACATATTTGAATTTAATTATTAATCTATCGTTTCTTCTAATTATTATATCACAACTTTGTCTTCCGAGCTGCATCTAAATAAGAGAACAAGTTAGTGTGTTCTGTTGTTAACGTGTTCTCTTTTTATTTCCCAACTTGTCAAATAACCTTTACCATTACTTCAGTACACCTATGTTAATTAGATTAAACTAGAAGTAAAGAATTGGTGAAAATACTGCCGCATTATTATTCGATAATTGTGTCAATACATCGGGACAATATATGAGTAATCATCAAAACTCCACCATGCCTCGTATTGGTATTCCATAAATGTATGAAAACTGAGAAGATGAATATGTAATTTGTATATCATTATGTGTTCATTGTTAAATAAATTAACATCTATCTACTTAAATATGTTGCAAAAAAAGGCTCTCACACAGTTCTCCGCCCACAGGCATCTGATCATTTCATACTAACCGTATCCCTAATCTTGGAACTTGGTGGGTGCGGTGGGGCTTGGGGCATGAGTGATCATATGGGTATAGACTTATTTGTTTCAAAATGTTTGATAATCCGTAAAATCAAATTGACAGAAAAGGACGGAGATTTCCCTTTAGTCATACGCTTCAGGCACATGGGAGGATGGTAGGAAGTACATATCTTTCGTTTCAGTGATCGTCCCAAAAAACACAAAAAAGAGGGAAAATGAGAAAATTCATTCTAGAATTTAAATTTTAAGTTCTAGTATAAACCCGTTCTAGAAGTAGAACTGGTGTTTCCTACAAAAACAGGGCGAAAAAAATGAAAATGTTCATCATCAAATTTATTAGAACTGATTAATTGACACGTAATTGTAGTTACGTTGACACTATACTATTATTTCCTTTTGTTATTGTCTGTATTGTAAACATGTCAATGATAACGACCCCCAGATATAAAAATTGTGTATGGTGACATTTTGAGAATTATAAAGATTCTTCACCCTTATGCCAATTCAACAAATTTGAATTTATTCCACTTTTTGTGAAAAGAAGGCTGGAATTTAGTGAGCATGCATCAAATTCAGAAGTACTATACACCAATGCGTTACATAAATTACGATTTCTTTGGTAAGACATGTATGTAATTTTGTCCTAAATATTAGCAACTTACTGTCCCTCGTACCATTTTTCCTCCGTTAAATTCATTGAAGATGATGTATTTGTCATTATAGATTGGACTAAAAGATTGGTTTATTATTAGTCGCTACGTAGCTTAAAGTTTAACTTCAACTTTAACTTCAACTTCTCTGTGTAACTGATGGGTACACAGACAAGACAATGAATTCAAAGTATCTTTGTTGTGTATTTTTGTAGCAAGAAGACAATAATTATCTCCCTCTTGTACTTTCACGCATTTTATGTCACGCTCTAACAACAAGAATTTAACCCCTTCTATTGCTGAACGCTTGAATGTGCAAACAAGCTTTGCCGCTTGTTGATTACCAGGATCAATAGTACCTAGGTATAATAATTATATTATTGAACTCAAAATTTTAAACAAACCTTTAAAAAGCTCACCGTTTTATGAGTTGAGTTGAACGACAAAAATAATTATGAATGCCACATGCATACATGAAAGTAAAAAAAAACTATTTATTTTGGAATAAATATTTACATAAAGGTATATGTATGTAGGTAGTGTAAAATAGAATGCGCTAAAAAATGGCATACATATATTAATTTAATTCGTTTTCAGCAAAAATTTTGCGTGAATACTTTAAAATGCATTTGATTGTCAAACATATCAAGTTATAACTTAGTTTTTTACCATTCGCGCTATCAATGATATTATATAAATATGAACCTCTAAAGAGGACGTAACTTTCTCGGATGGTTTTGGTCTAGAACGGTTGTATTGATCGACTCATGGCACGACGTAAACTGAAAAATTTGTTAAAGGTGAATCAAGAAATTGCAAGAATGCGTATATTTCCTTCATCTTAGGAGAAATTGAGGATTTGAAACCTTACGTTAGTGTGCTGTATTCAACTTGCAATACAATTACCCTTGTGTATTTTTCTATATACGTATTTACAGGATAATGCTTATTTAAAACATTTATTTAAACGTTGAGCACGTATGTATTTATGTATGTAATCAGAAAGGAACAAGTTTCATCGAATAAATCTAGTTGATTGGTGAAACTTTGCAGAAACTGATGAAACGACTTTGATAAGAAGTTTCCCATTTGTGTGTCCAGTTAAAAAGTAAAAGGGGTTTAGAAATAATGAGTATCGCGTTTTTGCTGACCGTGTGGGATTTCTATAAAAAAAAATGATGCACGTATGTAAATTTTTATTGAGATTTGTGGTTTATTTAAAATCAGGCCAGAATTTTAATTGATAAATTATTGAAAACTGAGACGTATTTACATAAATGAGCATAAAATAATTAACTTCGAATAAAAAAAGTCGGCTATTTTCCATCAACTATATTACATGTACATGTGTTTACATAGCTAATTATGTATTAATAATTAATTAAGGTAATTCTGAACTATGTATGTTTGAGTCAAACACTGAATACTCAAGTTGCCAGAAATATAATCATACTGCAATTTGGTATTGATATTTTCGATTTGGTATTTATATTTATTTTGTTAACTAATTTACTTGGTAGTTTAATTTGCTAGGACAAGAAATATGTAGTGTACTAATTTACCTTAACATATGTGCTGTGCCATAAATGCCTGTTAAGTACTTATCTTTTTGAAAATAATATTGTCCGTGTTATGAATAAACAGCGTTTCTATGTATGAATGTATTCATAAGGTAATAAATATACTCTTCTAGCAACTTATTCGGTCGTATACATATTTGCACATGCCCAGCTAATTGTAAATGCATAAATCCATAATATACGTCAGTGTGAATGATGTTCATATGTATGTATTATGCTACATTCGACTAGTTAAATTCGAAATTTGTCCAACATCATCGTTAAGAATTTGTCTTGAAAATACACCATCACGCATACATATGTACATACGTTTACATATACCCCGTTACACAAATATGCATACGTTGTATCAAAATATGTACGTACGTATGTACATAATGCGTGCAAGGTACTAAAAAATTGTATGCATAATTGAGATTGAGACCACTGCCAAATACATATTGCGCACATATTAGTGGTTGTGAGGTATGATTCATTCTACGTTCGTGGGACATACATATTTATCTGCATTTCGTAGTAAACCAAGCAATAGCAACATTACCAGGAAAAAGTGAGAGTTAAGAACGTTTCTATGTATACATGCAAAATGTTACACTAGTCCTACACTCCATCACATACATATTCGCTCATATTGTATGGATTGACGATAAATTTGCCACGGTAAGGACATTTAGGTATATGTATGTACAAGCGCTCCGTTAACGTTTTCCTAATCTAATCGTGTTCTTATTTTTTATGATGCATCATTCACGTCACTAGTGCTCATTTTTTGCACAGATGTACATCCACACTTCAGATATGCATTAAGAGTAAAACACAATTTCCGACAAAAGAGAACAAAAATCGATGTTGCTTGAAACGTAAACCCCAAACGAGGCGAGAGTTGCATCCTTACGTGGAATACACGTACTGATACCCTCATATTGCTACATATAAATGTTCCGGTATCTGTGCTGTGCCAGCAGATAAATTGCAGCCAACTCATTCATTTCTCTGCAAACTTGCAACCAGACGACATCGATTTTGCGCTACAAGTTCACAGCCATGGATCAAGTTCAACAGCCCATTTCGCAACGTTCCGTTCTGTTCGTGTGCCTTGGTAAGTTATTGAGTCATCTGAAATATGATGAATTTTTGAAAATTGCTGATTCAAAATAAGCCGTCTTAAATATTTAGAAAAGCTTCACTGCAAATTGTGAATACACTTATTTTTTAATAGGCCTACTCACGTCAACGTTTTTTTTACTAATCTCATTTTTGTGTCCCACAAGAAAATCATTTAGAAAATGATTAATCTGAAAAATTAAATTGAAATAGTAAATTATGCATATTGGTTGTGTAAATTTGCGAAAAATTGAACCGCTGACTAACAAGAATTTTGCGAAATTTATTATTTTTATTTTCAAAACATGTACATATGTATGTCAGGTATGTAGATAAGTAGGTACCTTGGATTGTTTGCAATTTGTATATGTCAATTATCTAAACTTACGGAATTTGCAAGGAAAAACCGTAAAATTGCTGAATGTGGTTGCGGTTGTGTAGTAAATATGCTGATACAAACTTATGTTATGTATTCACGGATTACCATTAATTTGCCCATGAACAATTTCAGGAAACACATGCAGATCTCCGATGGCAGAGGCAGTTCTAAAACATCTTCTCAAAAAAGAAGGAGTAGACTTACTCGTAGAATCTGCAGGTACGAGGGATTACCACGTGGGGAAAAATCCTAATCCAAAGACCATGAAAGTTTTGGAGGAAAATGGAATTAAAAATTTTATACATAAAGCACGACAGGTACACAAATAAATTTAACAAACAGCACTTACCTCGTAAACCCTTGATAAAAACATCTAATACTTTCCCACTGTCCAGATTGAAGAGGACGATTTTCACCAATTTACCTGGATAATTTGCATGGACAAATGGAACCTAAAAGATTTGGAGTACATGAAACCGGCAAAATCTCGCGCAAGATTACACCGACTGGGCGAATTTGTGGAGAATATGGATGTCGAAGACGTTTATGATCCATATTTTGTAAGACATTAACCTTTTTTTAAATAGCTAATTCATGGATTTTGGACAGAAAAATAGGCATGATTATGTAACAACAGTTGTTCAACAACATAAAGTAAATGCAATTTGTATGTTCATTCTTATTTCTTATTTACTTGCAGGATGGCAACGATGCGTCATTTTATTCCGTTTATGACCACATATTCAACGCGTGTAACGGCCTTGTTAAGAAAATTATACGAAAAGATGTTACATTATATTAAAATTAATTATTAATTGATAATGCAAAAATTTTTAGATGCCTATTTTTTACATCTATGTATGCGTGTTAAACTGTATACATACTTAAACACATGTGCCTAAAATTATACTTGGAGATAAATTTATTTTAAGGGTTCGTAATTATAGTTAGACATTATTCTAAATTTAAGTTTACTATAACTATTACAAATTTTCAAGCATTTTTTCCGCAATTTTTCTTGTAATTATTTAATTTTTAGATTTATCTCATTTCGTCAGATTTTATATTCAGGAAAAGTGTGCGACTCCTAAATACGTATGTAGACAATACATGGATGTTTGTAACATTATGTACTGTGTACATATTCAGTTTTCAGTTGCTATGGGAACTCTGTGATATATGTATTGAAGTATGTTACATACGTACATGCATTATTTCATTCTCTAATGCATAAAGAAACTTATGTATATACATTAATGATTAAATATTAATTAGAAATATACCTATAAATAAGGATTTTGCAAAAAAATATATTTATTTTCACAAGCTTCAAAATTTAAGGCTACCATAAACCTATATAGCAACAAATTAAAGTCACGAGTGTACATATTTCATTAATTTTTTAGAAAACCAGCACATGTGTAAATATTTAGTTTTATGTAAAAAAAACTATCTATTATGCATAGCTGCACTGATTGTAAATAAAATGCGTGTAAAATTATTTAAAATAGAAATAAATGCGTACATGGATATATTAGTTATAAATTTAATTATACTTTACTTAATTTTTTACGTAGGCTGCCTCCTACTACATATGTACATATGTATAATGTATGTAATGTATATATATTTTACACTACTGACGTATTCAATGTATGTTATTTAAAACATATGTACATATAAAGAATTTGTTGAGAAATATAAGATGCCAGATTTAAGGTATCAAGGTATGAAAAAGAAGCCGGTGAGGACTTTATTGGAAGGTATACATGCTTTTGTTGCAATGTTAAGCATAATCCATCTTTGCAGGAAAGTACTCAATTCATTACACTTTATGATCCACTTGTTATCATAATTTACATACATATTTGGTTCAATAAAAACACAACATCAATACATTGAACTTGCCTAAGGGAGCGTCCATAAATCACGTGATCGATTAGAGGGGGGGAGGGGGTCTGAAATTTGTCACCAAGTATCACAGCGGGGGGGGGGGGGGGGGGGGGTAGATGGTCAGATGTCACGTGACATGAGTAAAGTTTTTTTAACTTTTGTATATGCCAATAAGTGTCATGAGAGTTATACACGTTTGTGTATATAAATTCTCTTGGCATACCACACGCACGTTATATAAATTTGATTTTCATTTTGCATATTTAGAAACTTGCTTCGACTTATATTCTTGTCTGACTGGCGTATTAAATAGTTATTTACACATGTGTGTAATGTAGCTCTAATTTGATTAATGATTTAAAAATATTGTTATTTCGGACAACATGATTTAACCACTTCGCCCCTATAACGACTATGTGACGTATTTGACCTTTACGCCGAATACGACTATGTGGCGTAAGTTCCCTTGGCTCCGAAATACGACGATGTGTCGTATTGACCCTTGACAACGGAAACGACCATGTGGCGTATTTTCCGTTCCCACCGGCCTACGACTATGTGTCGTATTCGAAAAAAATTAGGTCATTGCTCTTCCAAGTATAGTTTTGAGTCAACAATCCGCCATTTGGGCGGGAAGATGAATTGCCTCTTCAGAACCAATGTTATAAAGGGAGGTAAAAACAATTTATAGCTAACTGGCTATTTCCAGCTAACACGCCCAGTTTTGAAAACTGCTGTTGCATGGAATTTTCGTCCCATATTTCAACAGCGCTTTCAGATAAAATTAGTGAAATTGTTTTTCTCGGATTTAGAACGCCCCAACGACATTTTTGGCGGGAAAACTAACCACTGGAGCCGATGAAATCTCGTTGGGCGGGAAAATTAAGAGATTGCCTGGAAAGTAGCATATAATTTTCCCGTTAAAATTGAGTTATATTCAAAATGCGCTAAAGTATGCTTTCGAACAGTTGATGCTATAATTATTCATTACAACTGCTATCAATTTAAAGTCACGGTAAGAAAACGTTTGTTTTCCCGCCCTAAGTATGCGTAAATTCTATGCATGTTAGATGAACAAAAAGCAATTTTTACACATTTTAGGCTAATCACAAAATTATTTATAGCCGATGTCACGAATTGAAAGCAATATTTGCTGTTTAATTTTCCCGCCCAAATCGGCATCTGGGGCCTTTGAGGCGCGATAATCGATTTTTGTGAATATATGTACTATTATGCACTTATTAATCAACTAGTCTCCGTAGCCCGCTTTGCGGGCTCTAGGCAAACATGAGGCTTTATTTCATAAGGTAGAAGCGCCTTCCATGTCACCGTCAAGTTACAACTCTAAGGGCGTAGGTCAAAGGTTAAGTTACAACTCTAATGTGTAGGTCCCAGGTTGAGTAACAATTTTAAGGAATGTGCCGACCTTAGAGGTCACGTAAATACTCCACGGGTGAGAATTTCAAGTCTCGTCCAATTCGGGGCGCCACTGGTTGTTCTGGTGTAGGCAACGTTTTGAGAACGTTTTTGTACTTTCGGCGAAGAACGCCCCCTAGCGCCGAAAAATGCAAATTGGTTGCTCAAAGTTCAGCTAGGTGGCGTTGGCCGGTAATTAAAATCAATTTTGGGTAATGTGAGACACGTGTGTATATTCAAACGCCAAATTCAATTGTGGACACGACCCATTGCACAATTCTTGGTTGTGATGATGTTTGTGCAACTTTCCATGCAATTACAATCATTTTTAAATTCGGCGTGTTGGCTATTTTCGGCTATAAACATTAGTGGTTCGCAAAAATGCCCAAAGGCAAATTACAACTCAAAATCCGTTCCCAAATGGTTATTCGCATCAACTTTCATAAAAAAGTGTCCAGAATAATTCCGGTGGGAACACCATTTTTCAATTCATCTCCCAGTAATTAACGTCATACAGTAGGTGAAAATTTCGGGGTCAAGGGAAGAAAAAATTCGCCGTTACTAGGGGTGAAAGGTATGAAAATATTCGTCTCTCAGGGGTGAAGTGGTTAATTTGAGCATCATAACCTGCCACGTGACCGGTGGGGGGGGGGGGGGGGTAGCGAAATTATCACCACCGATCACCAAGGGGTGGGAGTGGGTCAAAATTGTCCAAAAATCGATCACGTGATTTATGGACGCTCCCTAAGTAATTGCTCGTTGGTTACAAATTTATTGCATATCCAATTAATTAGCTTATAGATAATTAGTCATTTTCTGGCACCACTTACACAAATACATCGGTATGTACATGCATTCATACGCCTATACATAAGTGTGTAATAATGCCATAACCATGCGTCCAGTTTATGGACAGCGGTTGTAATACGAAATATTTATATTAGTGCAATAAAAATTTACTCAAGTATTATGAATAATTCGAGTTGTCAAACTGGCAACGCATTTATTTATGTACATAACCCAGACCATTCAAATATGCAATACTTATATAATACATGGATTAACCGAATTATGCAAACATGTCAATTCCTAGTTGTGCAAGAATATATCGTTATGATTCCAGCATTATGGCTGTGTTCAGCATTTTGATCTTAACCGGCTTGCGCTTGGAGTCAAAATAATGTTTATACCATTTAAGTCATAGCTGACGGGATTGCAAAAAAGTATGTAGGTAGATTACCTTTGAATGAGACGAGTTAGTATAAAAGCGGACCTGTGATTCCATTTATTTAACTCAGTTTGTTCCACGAATTGAAACAGTACCAGCAATGAGACTTTTAACAATTTTAGCCGTGGCGATAATCGCTTTGGAAGACGAAGGCTGGGCATCTACGACCTTTAAAATAGAGTCGCGTCTCCTCTCCCGAAGATCCGGTGGCAAGGCAAACATCTTCATCAGCTTTTACAATGGGACCAACTACATCTTAGAACACGTGGGCAAATCGAGATTCGGCACAAGGTCTGAAAAGCAAAACGCAGTTCGGTCACGTCTAATTGCTCACGCCGAACAAAGCCAAGTCAAAGTCAGGGACTATTTACACCATCGATCAAGAACTCAAGGCACAGAATTCCAGTCGCTCTGGATCACTAACCAGGTGTACATTAAAGATGCTACCTTCGCCGACATCACCGCGCTTGTCGACCTTCCCGAAGTTAAAAGCGTCACTGAAGAAAAAATCATTCAACTGGACAACTCTGTCGGTGTTCTGGCCAAGCCTACCCCAGGGGATGAATGGAACCTTCAGAAAATCCAGGCCCCCGAAGGAATCAGTCTGTGGAAGGCGTCATCCCCCGCGGTAGCGGTGCCACTCGTGGGAATAATTGATTCCGGCTGTAGGCAGACGCATGAAGCATTGAGGGACAACTGGGTCGGTGGTGAAACTGGTTGGTTTGACCCGTACGATAACACTCAACTTCCGGTAGACACAGACGGGCATGGGACTCACGTGACTGGGACGATCTGTGGGAAAGGAGGGATCGGCGTGTATCCGGACGCAAGATGGATGGCATGTCGCGGATGTAAAGGGGGCGATTGTGGTGCAGCACAGCTCCTTCAATGCGCACAGTATATGACGTGTCCAAGAAGGCCGGATGGGTCGTGCGGTACCGCTCCGAAAATTGTATCGAACAGTTGGGGTGACAGGGTCGATCAGAATGATCCATGGTAAGTAACTTTACAAATTAAATAGGTACACTCTAAAAAATCCTGTGATAAAGGAGATTACTGGTGATCGGGATTATTACTAGTTTGCTAATGGTATTATGGTATAATAAGCTTCCACTTGCTGATAAACGATAGACTGTCACCGAGCTAGTGGTGGGTGTTCCCACGTGGTTACCCATATAACCACGTGCTCCCCCGTGTCATGATTGATGTTCACTCGTGGCGATTCCGCTGAAAATCGGTGACATACTATCATCGCCCCGTTAAGTCATATGTACTCACCCGTCGGTGATAATTCGGTGGTAGTTTCTTTAGTGTGTAACCATTAATCAACATTTTATCCTCGACAGGTTTGATGGCGCGATTGCCACTTGGCACTCGGTCGGAATAATTCCCGTATTTGCCATCGGAAATTCTGGTTCAGCTTGTGGCTCAGTACGTTCACCTGGCGATAGAAACGGGGTGATTGGAGTCGGTTCAACGACCGAAATTGATGCTCTCTCTACATTTTCCTCCGTCGGTCCCACCGTTGATGGTAGAATAAAGCCCGAAATTTCCGCCCCCGGGTCCAACATATTATCCGCCTATTATGAATCGGATACCGACTACTTCACCGACTCCGGGACGAGTATGGCGTGCCCCCATGTTTCTGGCTTGATTGCGATGCTTGTGGCGGTCAAACCAACGCTAACGTATGATGAAGCAATGCGGTATTTAAAGGATGGCGCCGATCGAAATTTGGTATCATCTGGGGGCAGTTGTAATAATATACCGGATACCGATTTTCCCAATTATCAGTTCGGTTCGGGCCGAGTCAATGCTTTGAAATCGTTGCGGCTTTTATTGAATGATAACCCGTTCAGATGTACGGTTGTGGGAACGTTTGCTAATGCGGATTGTCGCAAGTATTATAGGTGTGTTCAAATAGGGGGAAATTTGTATACTTACGTTATGACGTGCCCGTCTGGATCGTATTTTAATACTGGTTCGAAAAAGTGTGTACTTGGGGCGTGTTAAATGAGAACATTAGGATGCGAAATGTAGAATAAAATGAATAAATTTACTACTTAAAAATTGCATGTTTATATTTAAGCTACGTATTTTACGCCTGCATATATATTTGAAACTATTGCATACATATGTGTTTGCATAAAACGAACGTTCCGCAAAGTGGCGATACAACAATGTGTGAAATGATCCCTTGCTCATTTAACACTGACAACTGATGAATACAAGTTTTTCACTCATCGCTATATTTCAAAAACATTTTGTGAAAGGTAAAAATTCAACGAAAAATATATGTTCGTCATAATTTATTACCACGCAAAAGAGCGTATCGTAAATACAAAGATACATTTTCACACATTTTATCTTACAAGGGAACATACCGAGGTGTCCAACGAGTTAAGGGTCGACACCTTTTCCAAAATGACCACAATATATGAATTATTCAACGAACTGAAGGAATTTCCGTGTAAAATTCACTTTTCCGTCAAGGTGTGACGATATTTGTGACGAAAGCATGACCATCGGGTTGCCATCGGGATAGGTCGGCCGCTGAACGATCAGGTCGAACATATGCTGTCTTCAGAGATATGATCTTTTTCAAATTTTTAAAAATTCTGAAATTGTGAGCATATTATGAAATTTTGAACAAATTAGGTACCACGTACATCTAGATCCCCCCCGTGTTGGATAGCTAACAATGCGATGGTGTGAAGTGTAACCCTCCGATTTGCCTGAAATTTTGAAATTAGGTGGTCCAAGTCAATACAACTAGCGTTTCTTCAGCCAGTTTGTGCGATGGTTGGAGTTCCTCAAAATATTTGAGGTCGAAGTTGAAAAAACAGCCGACTTTTTTCAGGCGGAGTGAAAAAACTCCACTCCCATTCGCTTCCCCTCGCATTGATTTTATTCTGGTTTCTCACTCACATATATGCCTTCATACACAAGCATAAGCAGTGATGCAAAATAACCAAAATAAAACATTATTAAATCGGAATTAACACGCCTCATATTCGCTTAATTTAATTCATAATTGAATAAGTGAGATTTTTACTTCTTTGCACTAAAAATTCATACAGACATTAATTTATAAATTCATTAACCGTAAATAAACATGGAAAAACTTAACTTACTTTCCATTTCGAAACCGTTGGTTATTCTGATTTCCAATTCATTTGAAAACAAAGACCAAGACCCATGTGCAATGAATAATTAATGTTTTTCTATGATAAATTAAATTTAAAATTGATGAAATGAATTATTTTTCGGAGTGAAAGTCAATGCGAGGGGAAGAGAATGGAAGTGGAGTTTTTTCACTCTGCCTGAAAAAAGTCGGCCGTTTTTTCAACTTTGATCTCAAATATTTTGAGTAACTCCAACCATCGCACAAACTGGCTGAAGAAACGTTAGTTGTATTGACTTGGACCACCTAATTTCAAAATTTCAGCCAAATCGGAGGGTTACACTTCACACCATCGCATTGTAAGTAAAAATAATGGCACCCGACCCAGCGTTTACTTTTTCTCCACAATCTTTTAATCTAAAAATTTGATATAAATCATTATCAATCTATTCCAACAACTTGACTCAGATTCGAATAAATACATATGGTAATACTATCACAGTGTCTAAGCACAATGTCTAAGTAAAGTTTACTCACAAGGGACACTCACGACCTGTCGTTTGAGTCCAGGGTACCCACCATGTTTTTTAGAATCTACTAGGACCCCAGATGAAGGATTCATTCATATTTCCGTGTAAAACTCATATTTGGCGCCATGGCGTGGCGCCAAACTTAAAAATTGGCATTTTCGACCAATTTCAAACCCCCATAACTTTTCCAGTTTATGTTGGATTTTCAAAATTGTGTGCTTAAAATGATCACAAAAGTCGAAATTTTTGAGAAAAAATAAAAATAAAAAATTTCTAATTTTTGGAATATTTTTAGCATTTTTTCGACGAACCCCCATTTTTAAGAAAATCACGAAATTTTGCGAAAAGTTAAAAGTAATAATTTTGGAAAAAATTTCATGGGATAAGAAAGTCGAACTCCTTGTCATGATTTTTGTCTAATATTTTGAAAATTCGTCCAGGATTTCAAAAGTTATGGCAGTTTTAAAATGAAAAACCATCAAATTTGGCGAATTTGGCGCCACGCCATGGCGCCAAATATGAGCTTTACACGGAAATATGAATGAATCCTTCATCTGGGGTCCAAGTAGATTCTAAAAAACACTAGTCTCCGTAGCCCGCTTTGCGGGCTCTAGGCAAACATGAGGCTTTATTTCATAAGGTAGAAGCGCCTTCCATGTCACCGTCAAGTTACAACTCTAAGGGCGTAGGTCAAAGGTTAAGTTACAACTCTAATGTGTAGGTCCCAGGTTGAGTAACAATTTTAAGGAATGTGCCGACCTTAGAGGTCACGTAAATACTCCACGGGTGAGAATTTCAAGTCTCGTCCAATTCGGGGCGCCACTGGTTGTTCTGGTGTAGGCAACGTTTTGAGAACGTTTTTGTACTTTCGGCGAAGAACGCCCCCTAGCGCCGAAAAATGCAAAATGGTTGCTCAAAGTTCCGCTAGGTGGCGTTGGCCGGTAACTAAAATAAATATGGGGCAATGTGAGACTCCTGCGAATATTCAAGCGCCAAATTCAATTGTGGACACGACCCACTGCACAATTCTTGGTTGTGATAGTGGGTACCCTGAACTCAAACGACAGGTCGTGAGTGTCCCTTGTCAGACATTGTGCCAAAACCAGTGTCTCGAGATAAGAAAACCAGATTTGCTTTCAATAACAAACAAGGTGTTTAAACAATATTGCGTTAACGACATATTTATCACTCGACAAAATGTTTAAATGGGGCCTTTGGAAGTACTGCGGCAGAATTGCGTGACTGCTTCTTATTTTCTAAACAATGTATGTATGTATTGATTTGTTAATAAATTATATTTGACTTATGCATGACCTTATTCACGGTAAATAATTCGGAGACAATACGTCACCCGCGTACATAGGTAATAAGTAATGCGATTAATAATTAAGAAGACATTTTGTCACAAAGGGAAAGTAAATAAGCCAAAAACTTAATTTGTAGAAAAATCTTATATTCAAATACCTAATATAAATGTTTGGTCTTTAGCATGAGTTAGAGTTTATGTATATACTCGTCATGTCGGTATGTACGTCTTGCGACAATTTTGCACTACGTATTTTGCAGACAAAATTATTACGCTAAAACCACAAATGTCTACTTCTCGCCCGGGCTATGTCAAGTTTCCACAGTAGTTTCCTTTAATAACCGCGTCACGTCTGTTCGATTCATGAGTTTCTGACGTACCTTCCCTTTCTGATAAAACATCTCCTTAATCATTACCCAAATAACGGAGTACTTCTTTAGTATCTACGAAGTTTACGATTTGTCTGCAAATTATTGAGAGTATGTACAGATTTTTTACCCACCTTTCCTTTTTTTACGTTTCCTCGATGCATATTTCCTCTCATTATCGGGATCTACATTTAAATCTTTCAAACTTGCCCTGATACTTATCCGCTTGCCCAGTATGGAAAAATGTGTGGCTTCCATATGATGCAAAATGTCCCCCTCGGTTGGAAATCGTTCCGAGCAAATCCCACATTTGTGTCCTTTACCATCTACGTAAATAAATACATAGATTGTAATTTTTTTATTCATTAGAATACATCACTCTTAAATATCATGAGCATATTCACGTCAACCTTCGCATATATATCTCGTATATTTACATATCTTGAAAATTGAGCATAGCAAGATAACTTGTAATGTTTTGCGAGATTTCGCAAAACAAAATTGCTGGAGAACCATATTTTTTGCAAATTCGCCCAAGAATTGGGAATTTTCTTATTTCGCAATCTTATTTCGCAAAGTCATCCTCAACATCACCAGCGAAAGAAATTTCAGAATCCATGTTAAAAATATAAAAATAAGTGTTTTGAGTTAATTTGCGAAGTCATATTTTGTGAATTCCCTCACGACGAAAATGATTTGATCTTCGCAAGTTTGCTTAATGAGTTGCGATGCACTCAAAACAAAACGGTGTCAATATATGACTTAACCGCCTTGGTTACAATTGTGATTCCGAGTGGTAATGAATTTTTTCCGTCCGGTCATAACATTATAACTACCGGTATCAAAATCATCATAACTCGGATTCAACATTGTAACCAAGGCGGTTAAGTCATATACTGACACCGGCGGTGTTGATTCGACAAATTTTTATTTTGAGTGTGCGAAACAGCCCTCACTCTCTGCCTGGACTGTAGAACCTGCTGGTCCGACCAGATCGAGGTTCAACAGTCCGGGCAGAGAGTGAAAACTGAATTGCGAAATAATACGTTGTCATGAGCAGGCCCAGTGCTGCGCTTAAGCAAATTCATTTTTAATTTTCTATAGACTAAACTATTTATACCAAATCCCTAGTAAGCTTTACTCTTTATCAAACTATCTATACTCTGGATTTGGTATAGTTTACTTCATTTAGAATTCAGAGTGTATTTATGTAAATGCTATAATATTTAGATAATTATGTATAGTGGCACAACAACTATCGCTAATTAATTTTCCTCACCTGAAACAGCCTCTCTACTTTCATGATTGGAATGCTTTCTCCAAAAATGTTTTCCTAGATGGGTAAAATTTCAGAAATTTTTTCCACATTCGGTACACTTTACGCCGAATTCTTTCGTGTGTACTTTTTTCATATGAGGAGTAAGACAGCCTAGGGGCATCCATCGCTGGCAAAAGTAACACATTTTCAGCATTTTTCTCTTCTTGACACGTTTCTTTGCTCGGATTTTTAATCTTTTGCTAATCGTCCAGTTTGCATCCTCCTTTATAGAAAAAAATAGGCACAGTTAAAAAAATGATAGGTGCTTCCGACGACCTGAGTAAAAATCTTTCCTGTAGAAATTTGGCCCCATTTTCAACAGAAATTTAGATTGTTTTTTTTTCAGAAAAGCCATATTCTGAGCGACTTAGGAAGAAAACTGCAGAATTATTATAGTGCAGTTCTACATACAGACACATAGAAATTTCCTGCTATGGCTTATATAAAAAAAGTACAGGGTGGTTTTAATGTCAGGTTACAACGGAAAATTTTTCAATGGGAAAAATTCGCAAATCTCCATTAGTTACCCTAATCTCCAAAATATGCCTCTGAAATTCAATATTTAAAGAATTTTGTCATCAGTGTTTCATAATTTTTGATAAAAATTATCTAATCTAAATCTCACCGCAAATCCGTAACTAATGGAAATTTACGAATTTTTCCAATTGAAAAATATTCCATTGTAACCTGACATTTAAGCTACCCTGTACATAATATGCAGAGCTTGTACATAATATGCAGAGAACACTTTTCATATGATCCCTTAACTCTTTACTCTGCTTGAAGTACATGAGGCAAATGAGACACTTATTAATCCTGGCGTTCGGTTGCGTCCCCAACCTTTTTACGCCAGGGTGTGCCTCGCCCAAATGGAAATTTAGGAGCCGTTTCGTAAAAAACTTTTCACCACAGGATGACACGTGACACGGCCAATTTTTCGAGTCCTCCATGTGCACAAGTTGCATGTGAGCATCTCTTTCTTGCACAGTTTTGAATTGTTGCCCACACTGAAAGCACTCCACAAAGTTGTCGACTTCCCCGAGATGAATGCGGCGCAAGTGACTTACCAAGCTTTTCCAAACACAGAAAATCTTTGGGCAAAATTTACACGGATATTTTTTTGGTTCTTTTGTTGAAATTTGGGTGCAGCTTTTCTGCCAATGATACCGAAGGTTTTGCATGTTTCGAAATTTGGCACCGCAACCTTCACATTTTTCCTGAACTTCCTTCGTATGTTGCGTCATGTGGAAGTTGAGGGAGGGGAGAGTTAACGGCTTGTGACAAAAGTAGCATGGCTCCTTTTTCCTGTATCTCCTGGAGGGTGCAGGCCTCTAAAAATTAATGGACATAAATTACACATAAACACATAAATTAAATAGAATGTGGTCAATTCGCGCAGGTCTATATAGGTAATATTGTAAATTCTGTAAATTCCTAAACTAGCAAACTTTTACTAAATTTTGCAAATATTTCTAAGGGAAATTATGCTCTAAATTTTCGCAAAGTTAGTCGGATCATTTATTTTGCAATTGTTTCTAAATTATTGTGCAAACAAACTGATTTTACGATTTGTCAACGACTGAGTGAATTATTGTATCAATAAATTTGCGTGGTTGGGATTAAATTAATGACCCCTCTAAAATGATAGATTCTGCCCATCAGTTGAGAAAATGAGTTCTAATTGATTACGTCCACTAGCAAATTCATTTTCTGCCCCCTAAATATCAACCAAATCATAAAATACCTAATTTCTCTTGATATGAACTATTTATACATTTATACAAAAAGTACCTTTTTGAAAGGAATGCTGCAATCATGTTGTGCGTTCATGTGATCGATGTGCTCCCTCTTCGTGGGGGAGATCAAGCCACAAAATGCGCAATTATATCTCCGCTGTAGGATTCTTTCCGACCCGGTCGGTATTCTAGGGTCATCTTTGTTCATGTTGATGTCGATATTTTGTCCAAATTCTGTATCCACGACGTCTTCCTTATTTGCTTTGCCTTCGTCGCAGCTGATGGAGGAAATTTCGTGTCTTTTCGCGTCCAAGATTTTTGTGTGCAACGCCATCTTTTTAATGGACATTTCCCTCGTCATGGAATGAACGGTTCGTAAATGTCGCAGACAATGGGAGTGGTTCCCAAAACTCCAGCGACAACCCGTCTCTCCACAATTGTAAGGTTTCTCGGTCGTATGTTTCTTCATATGGGCGACTAATCTGCTCATCTCTGCGTGAGGATGGTGACAAAAGTAGCATTTGTTTAATGAAATTAAATTTTTTAGCTCCTCAGTTTTGTAATGAACTCGGAGAAGATGGAATTGTCGAGAAGGTTTTCCGGAAAATACACTTGTGCAATTGGATACTGGACATCGGTATGGCTTTTCTTTTGTGTGGAGACGTGAATGGCGATCAAAATGTTCGGACGAGGCGTAAGTTATGTTGCAAAAATAGCAACGGTATATTAATTTCTTCTTTTTGTGGTGTGGACCATGCTGGGATTTTTCGTGTTTCTAGATAAACAAATTTCGGAATTTTACATAATTAGTTTAGGGAGGGTCATAAATTATGTAAGACGAGTGGGCGGTTTAAGGCGCCAGTAGTAGGTTTAAGCCTAATTAATATTTGGCGAATCCCTTCATAACATGGCAAATTTTTTAAATGCGACGCTAAAGAAACACGATGTTATGAGTACGCTTGTAAGTTTACAAATTTTACAAAAAGTCTTTACGATTTACATGGATTTTGTTACTTATTAATTTAGTTGAATAAGTACGTTACCTTACTGTTATCCAAGCTTGTAAATTTCATGTTGCAAAAGGAGCAGGGATATTTTCGAATTTTGTCGTGCACACTTTGGAAATGTCGTTGGAAATGAGATTTTCTCGCGAATGCCCTCTCACACTGGGGACAAGGCCACGGTCGGAGGTTAAAATGGGTGCCGAGATGTTTCTGCATGTTCGCCTTTTGTGTAAACGTGCGCCCACATTCCGGACAAGAATGTGGTTTTTGACCGCGATGTGTCATGATGTGACTTTTTAACGTCGAACCTCCGCTGAACGTCTTTTCACAAATTGGGCACTGATAAGTAGCCGGTTCTTTGTGCAGTTTTATGTGTATACGCCACGTGCCTGGTTGGCGGTAACGTTTCGGGCAGTGGGGGCAAGCATAAGGCCTTTCTTCTGTAACGGTATCCATTTTGAATTTGTATTCTGAAATTTAGCAGATTTGAAGAATATAGCAAAGTATCTGGTGTATTTGAAATTATTTAGATGTATGTATTTACTAACCAAAAGAGTAACATCATTTTTAAGAGTGGAGCATTAAAAGTAAGATTGGACGACTTTGCAAATATCTGAGTGAACATTTGTAGATAGAAACTTACATACCTTGAAGTAATATTTTGAGATCTAAAAATGTAATTCTTATTATGATGTAGTATTCGTTAGTATTCTTACTAAATATTTGGTATTTTTTTACAATTCTGCTACACACCTTTTCCTCTTGAGTGCACTCTTCTTAATGCAAGGTTGGAGACAATGACAATTTACATACACTTTCGAAGTACATATGACATATGTATGTACATATGTGTATAGTCTCCTGTATCACTAAAGGTTCGTCTGCGTAGCATTAGGTATTTCTAGGATTTACATTATATATGTATGTATTAATGTGTACGTAAAGTGTCCAAAACCGTCATCAACTTTTCACACACTCACCTACATACATTTTTAGTACAACATATACTTATTTACATACATACAAGTATCCAAAGGGTCATCAAAATTGGGTACTTGTGTCAACCTTTCCTACACATTATTAGTACGCATGTATGTACATATTTAGCTCGTGGATGGATGGACCTTTCCTTTAATATAGTTTCATATTGAGGTTTTTTTAGATGTGTATGCATCAATACATATATATGTATATATTGCTGAATATGCATAAATATGTAGAAACACATGAGAGCAGCATGAATGTGTACATGCAAGTACTTATGTATATAGATACATATATACTTTCTGTATGATTCTATATGCATTTATTTATGTATATACACTAATATGTATTTTTACTCCGGTTATGAATTTGGAGTAAAATTCGGAACCCATGTTTTCTATAAATTTCATACCTGTATTCCTCGCATGTTTCTTGCTGCCTCATATGGTGAATGCATACATACTTACATACAACCCTGACTCATTTGCCCAGGTGTAAATATTTCAAAAAACTCAAAAACTTTTTGAACATACATGTCTACATTTACATATGTATGCATGTCCTCAGCAAGATTCATCAGGTTACGTATATATCTATGTATGTTGTACTGCTAACTCGATTCAACTAAGGTTTTGGATTATGCATTAAGATTAAATAATTGTAGCGATGAATTTACATCAATGATAAGATGGCAATGCTAACTACATAAATGTATGTATAGCGATTATATAAGGATTTACGTAAATCTGTGCACTTGATATCGAGTGGATAAGTTCATTTACTTAACTTGGGGAACATTTTATTATGAAAATTGTCTTAATGTTCAATATCCAAGTTATCACTAAAAAAATCTTTCAATAACAAAATATTTACTGACAACTGCATTTCGATAAACCTACATACACCAAAAAATTAATATGCATATTCATACGGCTGCTGAATAAAACAATCGCTGTCGTCTTCATCTCCTTCCATACGATTTCCGTCGCTCTCATTCCCATTACTTTCTTCACCGCCAAGAGCGAACTTTTCCAAACGTTCTTCCTCCCTTGCCTTCAAAACGGCAGGGTTCGGCATCGGCGGTCCATTCCGAGGTCTTCGTCGCCCATGCGTATGCGACAATTCGTGACGAACCAAGTTGTACTTCCTGGAATTAAAAGATGATAAATCAGTATAAATTATTTTCAAATTTGTCATTTGATGACCACCTACGATGAAACTTTGCGTGTTCTCACAAACTCTTATAAAAAGTTAAAATATTGTGCAAATGTATGTACATATTTTTAGGTTCTAGTTTTCAGACATAGGTACATAAATAGTTCCGCAATTAATTGTAAAATTCGCAAATATCTTAGACATGTTTCCGGAAGTAAGTACACAGATTTTATTTTGCGAATATTTCAACGAAAGTTTGAGCGAAAGTTTTTTTGGTTAAGGAAATCGGACCTCGAAAATCCAGCGAATTAAAATCAAAAGTCAAAACTTTGGGAAAATTCTACTCTCATATTTGTTGCTAAGTAAGGATATGTATTCCCGAAATGTTTATAAATGCATAACCGCCATCTGACCTTTATCATTTAAACTATTCAAAATCACACACTTCACTGCTCACCTTTCGAAAGTTTTTTCACAGTATAAACACCGAAGATTATGTTTTCCATGTTGTTTCGTCGTCTCAAAATGATTCAGCAGCAAGGCCTCCGTCGCAAAGCGGACTTCACATTCACCACACGCGAACGGCTTTTCGTCCTCATTCTGGTGAAAGGTTTGGTGAAGTTGCAAACTTTGTTTGATGGCAAATTCTTTAGCGCAGTGGGCACACGCGAATGATTTGACCGACTTGTAATACTTGTGCTCAAGTTCGTGACCTTTCAGGTGAACTTTGAGCCCTGACATTTTCGCGAATTTAGTCAAGCAAACGGAGCATTTATGCTCAAATGTGATTTCGCGATGGGTCCTTTCGTGCCGGGCCAAGTTGTACCTTCGGGCGAACGTTTTGTCACAGTGGGGACAAGGATATGACAATTCGGGATGGTCGGTCCGAATGTGGGTGTAAAGATCGACATGTTTTCGGAACATGAGGGGACAATTAGCGCATTTTAAGGTGACTGGGGTGCAACCATGGATGCGGTGTTGATCTGGAAAAAATAGGAGAAATTTGGGTAGTGAGGATATTCATGATTTCTTAGTATTTTGGAAGTTTAACTATAATTTAATCCCATTTTTGGATTAGGATTTATGGAGTTGGATTAGGGATTAAAATTCGAAAACTTGGGATTAAAAATTGAGACTAAGGATTAATTAATCCACAATCCTTAATCCCGGATTGACCATAGTCTCTAAGCATTATCGTAAAATAAGCTACGAGAATTTGTAAGCGTCGTAAGATTTTAACATACAAAATATTTTTATAAAGCTTGACCCCTTTTTTCGTAAACTATTTTACGACGATACAATTAAGTCAATTCTGAATATCCTCATTATTTTTAAACAATTGATACATTTTTGAAATATTTTACTAACCAAGGTCTTCTTTAACCATGAATTTTTCCTGGCATACGACACATTCGAATTTCGCCTCGGCATGGTGAATCGTGAAGAGATGCATTTTCAAGCTGTGTTTGGATTTTAAGCCTTTGTTGCAAACGGGACAAGTGACCACTTCAGATTCGAGGGCGGTGACAGGCCTAAAAAATTTGGAAAGGAGGATACATTTAAGGATATAAAAGAAAACGTAATTTTATAAACTGAGACAATTCACGCCGTCATTGGAAACTCATAGAATCCGTGCATTTTGTAGAATGATTTCACAATATTCGACCCAAGATATGGACGCCCTTTATCTGAGTAGTTTACAAAAAATTTTAAGCTAATTTTCTTTAGAAATATTTGCAAAATTTTGTAACCTTCGAGAATTCGAAGGACTGCGTGAACTGTCTCACTCATATTTTAAAAAAATGGACATATGTATTTACGTTCTTATCTTGCGTCTCTTGACTTTTTTATGAGAACGCGAGGATATAAATTGGATTCTGGTTGGGCGTCTAATATTTTGACTTGTCGAAGGTATTTCGTCGTCACATAAAATAACGTCTTCATTTTCATCCCCATCGATTATCGTAACTTCATCCTCCTCAGGGGGACATGCATCTCCGGTGAAAATACGGCTGGGTTTTTCCTCCTGAATGAAATATGAGGTGCATAAATACATTAATTTAATACCTATATGGATACGTAAACTCTTAAAAATAATAGTGCAACTCTGTTGAAAATTAAATGCACTCTAAATTCGAAATTAAGTAAAATATATTAAAACTTTACTCTTTATCAACTTTATGAAACTCCGGATGTAGTATGGTTTATTAAGTAACATGGAATTGAGAATGCATTTACTCTTCAAAAGGGTAACATTATTTTTAAGAGATTCTGCATCTTATCAAATTTTGCACCTTTCGATAAGCCGACGGTTTTTTTGGACCACACACACAGCTAGGAATGATGTCGCCAAGCGGGTCATTATACGTCGATTGACCGTATTCGCTGGATTTATCCTCGTCCTCCTCATAGGATGGAATGTCATTAGTGATCATTTCTTCCTCGTCATTTTCCACTTTAATTCCATCCTCGATATCGATTTGATCTGAATCATGATACGAAATTGGTGCGGAGTTTTCGTAATTTTGGAACTTTTCGTCTGGCGAATTTTCTTTATTTGTTGTTCCAACGTCTTCTTTATCATCTAGGGGTACAAGAAAAATTAATAAAACCCTTTATAAGATCGTTATGTCCGTCTGTTGGCTCGATTACTTATGAATCATAAGTAATCGCGTTATTATTTGAGTTCACCACATATAGCAGAATTATTTTACATCACTTATTTTTATTTTGGCGTTTAAATTATTCAATTTCGTATGATTTAAACGCCAAAATAAAAATTACTGTTGTCAAATAATAAAATAATTCGGCTCATTCTGCTAATGTACTCAATGTGATGAACTCAAGTAACGTGAAACGGAGTTTAATATACAACTAAATTACTCTAAATAATAATGCCGAAAATGAAGCAAATTTTCCTCAAGAGTCGTGGCAAAAATTCAATTCATATTTAGAAATTACCGTCGACCATGCGTTAATTAATTATTTAAAAAATTTGTAAACATAATCTGATTTACGTATTACCTGGGACGAAATGCGTCCATTTCACCAACTTTGACACCAACGCCTCCAAAATATTAACTCGTTCAGATAATTCCTCCATAATTTCAAAAAAATTACACCGTTACGCAAAATTTGCAGTATATAATTAATTCTTTATTTATTTTGTTGAAACGTTTTACAAGGACGACTAAACGTAAAGTTCAGTTCAGCTGCTGATTGTGAATAAATCGAGCACAATTCGAGCAAGTTGAGCTGGCGTGGCGTGGGGGGAACGTGCGTAAAGAATGTCAGATTTTCCCATGGCATAATATATAAATTTTTACGTTATGCGACTCCTCCGATAAGTGCTACATACATATTCACATTGACATGATAACCCTCCTATGGTTTGATAATCTCCTTTACGTCGGCCCCCCTTCCCCTCACACAACTCGACTCCACTCCACAACGAAGTAAGTAGGCTGCTTGCTCAGTTCCCTTACCCACTTCATGACGTGTAATAACTTTGTTCATTATTTCGCAAGGTTGCATGCATGAAAAACCATAGCGTCCCAATGTCCACATGTAAATATGTATTAAAAATCCAGAGTAACGTTAACTTGAAAATTTACACTTTAGGGTGCGTTTACGTTTAAAAAATGGTAACATTATTTTTAAAAGTGTATCGTATGCAAAAAAGGCAAGCAAGATTACTTAAGATGTATGTACAGTCAAGAGCAAAACTTTACGACATATGGAAGAGACTTTTGGGACATGTTATTCAAATGGGGAATTAAAGGCCGTAAAGTTTTGCACCGCGTACCTTTCCGAATAATTTTTTTAACGCTGTGATATAATTTTTATTGAATAAAGCGTGCAAAAGTAGGGGGTGACGTGGTAAATTATTTTTGTCGCCGAATTTTTTTCAAGGAACTACAAGGAATTGAAAGAATTAATTTTGGAAGAGACTTTTGGGACAACACATTGTGCTTATGGCTGTCCCAAAAGTCTCTTCCAAAATTAATTCTTTCAATTCCTTGTAGTTCCTTGAAAAAAATTCGGCGACAAAAATAATTTACCACGTCACCCCCTACTTTTGCACGCTTTATTCAATAAAAATTATATCACAGCGTTAAAAAAATTATTCGGAAAGGTACGCGGTGCAAAACTTTACGGCCTTTAATTCCCCATTTGAATAACATGTCCCAAAAGTCTCTTCCATATGTCGTAAAGTTTTGCTCTTGACTGTATGTCATATATAATTAGTTTTAATTTTGTCATTTTAAATTCGAGTTTTTGTTGTGTTGGAAAATTTTTTAGATGCACTTGTCTAAAAAAAATTAAGGGATATTACTCTTAACTAATTAGTTATGGACACCGTTAATAAAACATAGATCTATACGTATGCATATTTCGATCTACTTATTTTATTCTCACATTTTTATATCATCGTTGTGGATGGTATTGACTTGTAAAAAACAAGTCATGAGATGCAAGCACGCATTTAGTTTACGGAATGAATTACAAAATTACATATGTGACATCATGGTAAATATTTAATCAATAAGACGCATAAGGTAGTTCATTGAAAGGTTAATTTAATTTAATATTATTACATTACGTATTTGCTCATGTCAAGGTGTTCATACTTCCTGGTTGAGAATGAGCTTATCGAGGTCTTACTTGATAAGAAATGACACGTGTGTAACTTATCGTTCAGTATTGAATTAAATTAAACTCATTGCTGCTGTATATTTGAGTGCAACGAGTCAAATTAAACCCGTGCCCAGCTTTTTCATCCTTTATTTTTTAACGTACCAAGAAAACTCTAAAACTCACAAAAAATTAATAGAAATGGCGACTTGTAAACCCGTGTTGGCCAATGCCATTGTCACCGTGAGTGAATATTAAACCCATTATTTGGAAATTATGTGTTTTTAATTTTTCACAAAACTTAATTTCTGAAATGCAGATAAATACGTGGAAAGAGAGTTACATCTGGGTAATTACGGCCGACACGATAATGATGAACGAGAACACGTCCTTTCCCACGTTGATTATAGAAAGTCCAAAGTTTGGTTATGGCACATTGACAAAGCTGCAGTATGACTGGTAATATCAAAATATTGGGGTAAATTTACAAAAAAAAATCAAATAAACCAGGTTTGGTTTTTGATGTTTTATAACTATGACTATTAAAATTTAATATTCATAATTAAAAAAAACTATTTAACAATTAAATGCAAACTATTAAACATAATGCTACTGTTTTGAAAAGGTAAATGCACTATGAAGTTTATATTAGACGGTGTCCTACCAAATCTTGAAGCCTTGGCAGCTGGATTTTTGATTTTTGAATTTCCATCCAAAATAGGTCACAGACCATGAAATTAGTGTAATCGAAGAAAAATTTTGAAAAAAACTTGCTTCAGTCCTTCGTAATGGCCATTTTTGCGATCTGGAATAGGGTTCGTAGTACGGTGATTTTGTCGTCAGTTTTTGGACTAGAAAGCTGAAATTTCGTGTTATACACCGTCTTGAGTGTCCTCAGGCGGGACTTTTTCGTTTTAAGCTCCAATGTCGAAAATGACCTTAAAACCGGTCACTTTTCGACATGCTCATTTTCCCATGGTTTTATACATATGATGTCAAGTCTCACATAGCCCCTTAAATGGGGTATCGTGAGAAAGGTCTCGGCAAGTGGATTCAGAATATATATGCTTTGTGGGGTCTGGGACCACCCCCTGATTAGTTAGAGACCTATGAGCAATGTTGAGTTTTCGTAAATACGTGCTATGTTGGCTCTGAATCTGCTCGTGTGTTAAATTTTGTATACCAAAACGCTCAACCTTTTTTGATTTCTAACTAATCAGGGGGTGGTCCCAGACCCCACAAAGCATATATATTCTGAATCCACTTGCCGAGACCTTTCTCACGATACCCCATTTAAGGGGCTATGTGAGACTTGACATCATATGTATAAAACCATGGGAAAATGAGCATGTCGAAAAGTGACCGGTTTTAAGGTCATTTTCGACATTGGAGCTTAAAACGAAAAAGTCCCGCCTGAGGACACTCAAGACGGTGTATAACACGAAATTTCAGCTTTCTAGTCCAAAAACTGACGACAAAATCACCGTACTACGAACCCTATTCCAGATCGCAAAAATGGCCATTACGAAGGACTGAAGCAAGTTTTTTTCAAAATTTTTCTTCGATTACACTAATTTCATGGTCTGTGACCTATTTTGGATGGAAATTCAAAAATCAAAAATCCAGCTGCCAAGGCTTCAAGGTTTGGTATGGACACCGTCATTAAGTAAACTATACCAAATCCAGGATATCGATACCTTGATAAAGAGTTTAGTCTGGGTTTAAGTAGTTTGCTTCACATAGAATTTAAGAGCAAATGCTATGATTTTGCGTATCTGAACTGTACCAGAACTATGTAAACACGAAATACATAAATGTGATTTGCGAATAATGTAACGTAAAAACTTTAGTTGCAAAAATAATTGAGTTTCACATTTTTTGCAGGATTTATTATAAAAATGTTTTGTCGCAATTTTATTACCATATTAATTCTGGCATAATATGTAGCTCTGCAGAAATAACGAGGTCCAACGGACACGTGAAGATACGCTTTTCCATGCCGGACGGACCCAAAAAATCGGTTATCAAATTGATCAAAATCGGTGTCGTGATTCGCGACGGGCCGAAATCCTTGTCCTCCATCGAAGGTCCGCCTAATCGACGGGACATGACGAACAACACCAGTTGTGATAGAGTCTTCGTATTCGGACCGCATTTTCCTGACAAAGTGGATTCCATTAAAGTCACACTGGAATTTCTGATTGAAAATGGTGCCGAAATAAATAATGTGGCAATATTCGCGCAGGTTTTGGTAGCCTTGTTAAATCCGAAAATTATGTATGTAAACTCACAAACTTTCGCAAATATTTCTAAGCATTCTAGCTTGCATATTCTGGTGAACTTACTGAGATCAATGGGTGTATTTTTATTTTGTAAAAATTTGTATTTTTTTTACAACCTGCAAAAAGTTACCAATAACTGCGTAAATTGCCTGAATACATACTAATGTACAAAATTAGTTTGACCATGAAATCCTTCTCTTATGTAGAGCCTTCTGTCCGACACTTGAGTCCATTTGACGAGCTTGAAGAAAACCCCTCAAACGAGGGTTTCTCGGACTATTTTATGTCCAAATTTCTATCTGATATAACCATTCTCTGTGACGAAAAGGAAATTCCTGCCCATAAGTTCATACTTTGCAGTAAGTCTTTATTTAACTTAAAAATGTAACAACATGCATAAAAATGGTTCTAGTAAAATGCAACCAAACGTTTCATAAAATGGAATAATATTTGACCGACTACTTTTTTGCCACTTGCCTAAGGGCCATTAAAATGTTGTGGCGCCACTGCCAATTTTATTTTCCGAATTGGTAGTTTTGTACTACTAAAAATTACTTTACATTAAAATATCAATAAATAGTTTGGGTTAAATTTGCGTCGAAACTTAAAATAAAATAAAATTGATGTTACTTACAATAGTTTATTGAAAATTATTCATTTTATTTACAGAGCGGAGCCCCGTGTTTCGAAAAATGTTTCAAGGAAATAACTTGGAATCGGCGAAAAACAAGGTTACAATTGACGACGGTTATTCCACCGTGTCAGCCATGATTAACTGGATGTATAACGGATGCACGGGCGACATCGACCTTCAGGGGGCCATTGACCTGTACAAACTTTCAGATCGGTATGAATTGCACTCGCTAACTCGCACTTGTGGGAAACTGATCTACGCCGGAATTAGGGTAGAAACCGCATTGGAAATCTATCTTTTGGGAAAAGTTTATCAGGACAAAGCTCTCGTGGATAAGGCTGTCTCCGTTATTATCAAGTAATTAAAATTACCATATCTGTGCTTGAAAATTTATTTTTTAGTGTGCGGATTTATATGAATTTCAGAAACAAGGAAGATGTGTTTGCCGATGAAAAACTGTGCACCGAGTATTTTGAGAAGTATCCACAATTCATGCATCCATTTTTGACGGACAAGTTCCAACCGTAATTTTGAAATTCTGAAAACTTTTGCATATCTGAACAATCTTTCGAATGGTCGTATAATTTTTCACTTAATTTGTTTTACAAGGTAAACTAGTAAGTTAATAACAATTAATAATTACTGTCCAATTTTATCACAAATTAGCCCAAGGATTATGTGAGGAACGTATACATTCCTTGAATAGTTTCTGCAAGTTTGATTAGTATAGATTTATTTGGATTTATATGTCAATCAAATTATGGGAAACCACACGTTCTCGGTGTATAAATAGCTTTGAATATTTTGAAATTTTATTAATTATTCGATATGTCTACAGATAATTGAATAGAAAGAATCAGAAGAAAAAGGCACAAAAAATACCCAATAAATGATTTTCAAATTCGGAAAGTGCAATTCCCAGAAAATGCTACCAAAAAATGTCCAACTCGTTTTCTACCATAGAATATACGGCCATAACCTGAAAGTAGATGATACAACGTCATTAACAGTTCCCAAAAGTAAGACACTCTTCATCCCAAGGGGTTGGTGCGATTTCATGTGAAGGAGCAGCATCTTGGTCTGCAAATCGTCGGACCTAACAAATTCAATTAATAAATTCGACTTAAATAGCTGCAATGTTAAATAAATACATGGGTTCCAAATACCGCCTTCGAAAAAAATATAACGTAAAACTTACTCTTGGGTGTGCAGAAAAATCTCCTCCATGGTCTTTGCTAGCAGGAAGTTCTTCATCCACTAGTCCAGCAGCAGCGACGTAGGCGATGGCGACAATCAAGACAAGAGCAAGAAGAATAGCTTTCATTTTATCAGATTTTTGTGAAAATATTACGATTTGAGGAAAATATGGGGTTGTGATGATAATGGTATTTTGGCAATGGTTTAAACTGGAATGAATGTGGAGGCATAGCTTATTCCTTTTTTATATTGAACTTTGTGAAATCTGGGTTGTTTTCGTGGTGATTTTAATTCGATTTGCTATGACGTTAGTACATATTAGGCAATTCGTTTGTTTTGTTTAGAAGGCGAGGTTTTCCCCGTAAATTAGTAAACACGGGGTTTATCATATTAATAATATGATAAACCCCGTGTTTACTAATTTAATAATATGATATTATGCGATTTAGACTCAGTGTTGCTAAGGATACAAACTGTACCAAAGACTAAATCGATTTTAGACCCTACTATACATAATAATTCTGAATTGTCGAAACCCATTACTTATCATCTAAAACATTTGCTTAATTACACTCAAATTGATGTTTTACTTTTCCAAAGTGCAATTTGTATGGTTAGTTACAACCAGATAATAACATCTACACTCTACATCTACAAGAAACTGGGTGATAGGCGTTATCACCGCGCGAGTGGAAATAACGAGTATGACTGTAATGGTGATACAACTATCACCGAAACAAATCACGTGGTGTTAGCCTCGACCACCGTACCATGGTGGTAGCTTCGCAATACCAGCGTGGCGAGTTTGTCCTACTCCACGCATCAGCCACAAATAAATAAAGCAAAAGATTTGAATCTGAGTGTTCTATGTAACTCCCATGGAATCCCTTCAAGCGTATGTATGCTTTCCAAATTTTGACCTAAGTAGTTTTAATCGACCACAAGTTTATTTAATATGACATCACTTGCGTTATTTCATGCTTGAGATATTTGCAATCTATATCTTCACAGTGACCGCAGGTATAATATCGCCACGATAATTCGATGTCCCCATCATCTATCCATGTTCTATAAACCCAACCCTCCACTATTGTACAGTATTAATGCCTCCTCATGCCTTAGCCCCCCCCCGCTCCCCCTCTCGCGTGACGTAATTTATGGATGGTCCCGAACCGAGTAAAGACAACAAGAACGACAAGAAGTACAATAAGCCGTCGTAAACGCACATCAGGAAGTAGCTTCAGACTACTTCACCCCAACCACTCTCACGACATCTCGGGAGCACTCGATTTCGCTGTAGTTCATCTATAGATTCAATTTTTGTAAAAATCTCATTTTTCCCCGACCACACCCCCTATAGACGAGGGGGTGTGGCACAACGCGGGAACACTTAATTTAACTCTATTTCACCTATCGATAAAATTGCACTAAAAATCTCATTTTACCCCGACCACACCCCCTGATCCCAGGGGGTGGTCCGATTGACCCCAAAAGTTGATAGGATACTCCCCCTGGGGTCCAATGTATGATGACGGAAACCGATTTCGATTATCTCGATCCGTTCTCCCGTTATCCTGCTGACAGACAGACAGACAGACAAAGTCTTCGCATAAAGTAGCTGAAGCTACTTAATAATTAATTATGTACCGTAAAACCTCTATTTATAGCCGGGGCTAAAATCCAAAACTGAGGGTCACGGACCCGGCTACAATTAGAGACCGGCTATAATTAGAGACCCGGCTAAATTTTGTTGCTCCAAAAATTTCAGATGTTACAAAATCAAATATAACTCATGTTGACTCAATTTGAGTTTTCTAATTTAGCAAGATATGCCATCAGTAACCCATTCACCGTAAATCTACATCTTGAAACGAAGTTTGGCAGGGTTTTTAAATTTTGTGCCATGATTATATCCATTATTAACCTGAAATTAATAGGAAAAAATTAGTAGTTCAACTTATTCGTTGATTGGCATAATGTGCAACATTTTTCTTTAATGGACTATGAACAGGGACACAGCGGACAGAACAGGCCATAATCAGGGACCCGGCTATAATTAGAGACCCGGCTATAATTTTGAAATCTTGGACTCTAGACCCGGCTATATTTGGAGACCGGCTATAATTAGAAGAGGGCTATAAATAGAGGTTTTACGGTATGTTATGTATATTAATTATGTTTGTTCATTCACTTTATTGTTATTGATGGTTTGTATTTATTAGCAAGCATGAATGCTACATGAATGTATTGTAAATACTTGTTAGCTTAATATAGTTTTACTGCAGATATCTGAAGATTTTCATGATTAATTTTGTTTTATGTTTGAAAAAGTTTTTAAATTCCTCAATATATTTTAAAATCATTTTGAATGCATAAACCAATTATATTTATATTTGAAGAACTTGATAAATGTAACAGATTATTTTTAATAGTAAAAAACGATTACAAACATTTGCAAACGGTCGTCGCTACATACATAGATTGATATTCCTTGAAACGGAAAATTAATTTGCATATAATTGAGAAACGACGACGACATGAGTTACGGTACCCAAGATTACCACCGATCTCTTTTGATACTTATCGGAGCATTTCTGGCTTCAAAGATGGATCGCATCTCATTTATAAATTCGGTATCCGGAGGATACGAGACATCTCTGATTTTGACAATCTTAAATCCGCTGCTGTACTCAATCAAATCATCAACATGTGCAATAAAGTCGGCCCTGTCGACACTGCAAAACGTGACTGTTTTAGCACCTGTAATAAAAATACAAATTTATCCCTGTAATATATACCCGTATGTACATTCTAAACAATAATGTCACCCTTTTGAAAAGTAAATATTCCCTCAATTCTATACGAAGTAAACTGTATCAAATTCAGTCTTTATCAAGTTTGCATTTAGTTTGGTTCATTTAATACCTAGTCTAACCATAAGAAGTGATAGTAGAGCGTAGTATTTGAACCGGTCAACATAAAATTAAAATGTAAGTTGCAGTTTGTACCTGCATTCAGTGGCTATCATTGTTGTTAACCTCATTTGCCTGACTTCACTAGGTCAAAAGCTAGAGGAGCTTTACCACACGCGCGCGACAATAAGTTTTCACTTTTTACGCGAGACAAAAAATTCACAATGTTAGATATAGGGTAGAAATTCAAGGACAACTACGATCTGGTTGCCCAACCCATTAAATTAACCCTAGGGACTGTGACTATTTATGACATAAAAGTTCCGGTTGTCCAAGGTCAAGGAGGACTACAGTGATGTCCGAAGCTTTGAACGCCAGAATAGCATAAAATCTCTGTCTGACGCCGAAGGCTTTGGCCATACAAATGACCTTTCAACTTTAGAAATGAGATGAGCACTGAAAAATGATCCTGGAGGAGGCCTTTTATAGTAGAAAGCATCACGCGCTACAGATTTCCTAGACCTAAGCTAAGTTGAATAAATCGACCTCCCTCTCCCTGCGGTACGGTAAAAAAACAAACAAAATTTTCCATTTACCGATGGGAATTTCTTTAAGACGGAACCATATTTCTACAAAAAAGAAGCAGAATTTATGCTAAATATTCTCAGGGTTAGATGATTACGAAAAGGAGGTCGAATGTTATCTTATCGGGCTGCATTCAATGTTTTGGCGGGAATCGGCGGAATTGGGCAAAACCGCCCAATTTCCACGATTATGGAGAGGAGATAGTTTAAAAAATATTTGATTAACGTCGTAATGAAGATGGAACACCCCCTCGACCAGTCCATATTGGGTGGAAAGCCACCGACCTATATGCAGGGCCCGACAGCAAAAATGCAGCGAAATTCATGAAAACCTGGCTGAAGAAATCTTTTTCTGACTTCATTTCCGATTTAAGTTTGTCCTTGGTATTTTCGAACCGAAATTGATTTCACCGCCAAATCATGATTAAAGTTGAGGAAAAGGTCTGTTCTGAGCCCCATCGAAGCGTCAGGGTCACAAAAAAATTTCTGACCTGGGAATGATACACTTTTTCAATAAATTTCGTGCGTATTTTTGAATAAATATGTCCCGGACATTTATTTAATGAATAATGAATGAATGAATAAAATTTTGAACGAATGAATTGAATAAGGGATGGGTGAATGTAATAAATGAATTGTGAATAAATTTGGCCCTCATTCACCTCACGTTGAAGTGAATGAGTCTGTGGTCTGTGATGTGTAATCATTCTTTATGATTGTGGTTGAAATTCTCATTCCTTATGTGCATCATCATTGCGTGCCGGGAACTTCGGTCGGAGCATGGTGGGAGCCAGTTCAATATTCCAACCCATTTTAGATTATTACCCGTGTGCCCAGATTAAAAAATAAATAAAAATCGTTTGAATACTTTATACGGAGGGATTTAACTTTATAAGTTAACAATAGCAACCTAGAGAAGTTATGACATCACAACTCAACCCTGGCGATGGCGAAGCTGTCCACAAGGAACAAGAAATCGTGGATCTTGAGCATGACTCTGGGAGAGATTCCAAAAAACCTAAACTCGTAAAACAATCAGGTTTTGAAAATTTGCCGAAGTTCCGTTTCTTCTTTGAGAAGCAGTTCAGCTACCTTGGACATTCAATTAAGTCCCAAAAGTTCTTTTCAACTTGTAAAAAGTGCACCGAAGCTGGTAAAAAAAGTCGAGTTTACTCATTTAATGAGAGTAACTTTAAAGTAAACGGAAATCGTCATTATAGAGTATGTATAATAACTTTATATTCCTACGTGCAATTTAATAAATAAGTGGTAATTAAATTCGTTAATTTTTATCGACTATTTTTGCAGAACTCACATAAAGATGTGGCTTTGGAAATTGAAATCCCACGAGAAAATCATAAGGTCAACGAGTTTTTTCACTCAAAGCAAAACAAATATAATAAAAACGACCCAATTCAATCAAAATTCAACTAGAATCTGCAAGATTTGGTCTCCGTTGATGGGCTACCTTTCAGTTTTGTTAATGGGCTAGGATTCAGGAACTTTGTATCGGACCTTAATCCACGAGTTATAGTTCCTGACCGAGTGACCTTGGCAAGAAAATTAGCAAACACGGTCAACAAGATTGTATGTAATTTTGACTTACTGTAATACACATAAAACTATAATAAAACTTTATGTATGCAATTTTCCCGCTTATGTGAATTCCAGATAAAACCTAAAATTAAAGATCCACTCAACCATGTTCAGGATTACAATGTTCACATATCATCTGACATGTGGACAAGTAGACAGGGTGACGGAATTATGGGACTTAAATACCATTATATTCAGAAAGAAACAAAACCGGACATGGAAATTGGTGTCAAACGTCCTTTCAGCCGTGCAATTTAATGAGCGCCACACTGGAGAAAATATAAAGCACAAATTCCAGCAATCTCTAAACTCGTTAGGAATTAACACGACCAAGGTGACTAATACGCATAAACATGCAATTTTGTTAATGATAAATAATAGTGCAATACTTTTAAACTCAGATCGGTTATCTTGTGACTGACGGTGCTAGCAATATGGTGTGCGGCTTCAAGAATTGGACCGAGGAGGCTGAAAATCTTATGACGGATGAAGACGATTCAGCTATCGACCTTGAAGACGATTCACAACCGGAAGACTCTGATATTAGTGAGAGCTCTGAGGATGAAGAGGAAGAAAGTAATGCAGATGATGAAGTCACTGTAGCGACGCCAAATATTACAATTGGTGAAAAAGTCAGGATTTCTTGTTATGCACATACCTTGCAATTAGTTATCAAAGACGTCATTGGAAAAGGCGGGAGACCTAAAGAAGTTCTGGATTGTGCTTTCAAAATTGTAAAGTATTTCATGCGGTCGAATTATTGGAGAAAGCGACTTAAAAAAGTCGTGGGCAAAGTGTTGATAAAGCCAGCTGCTACTCGATGGAATTTTATTTACTATGTTTTGGAGCGTTGATGCCAGGTAATTTCAGATCGACCTATTTGAATGACAATAAATTTCAATTTTAATTTAGGATTTAAATTTTGGGGTTTTGCAGGATAAAGTGTACGGTGAGGTTTGTAATCTAATAAGAGAAGCCAGCACTTGTCCCAAGAAGCCAAAAAATCTGCCACCCACACCAAGCATCGAGCCGCAAGAAAAAATGATCGAAATAAAAAATCTCCTGAAGCCAATATGTGACGCAACGAATAAACTTCAAGGTGATGGGGTAACCAGTAGTTTGATTTACTACTCGATAGTCAATGCATTTAATGGTACGAATGTGCGCAATATAATTTGTTCGATTCTTTGACGATGATACATATAATTTATTCAGTTCCCCGATTCAATTTTTCTTAATTTGTAGAAATTGCTAAAACTCCAACTACACGATTCACTTGTATGAAAGCACAATTACTGGGTGGACTGAAAAATCGATTCGAGAAAGCAATAAATAATGACCCCCACATTATCCTGAGTGCTTTGTTGGACCCTCGTCAAAAATCCGACGTGTTTAAAAGTACGAAAACATTTTAATCTTATATGTAATACGTTTAATGTTGAACAATTTTTAGTCAAACCTGCCGTGTATGGAACCAGAAGCCTTGAAACTCCTTCAATTGACAAGGTCACTGATATGCTCAAGTCATATTGCAAGGAAGATCCTTCGGCTGAAGCAGCATTACACACATTTCCTGAAAACGAAGATAACGACGACGATCCATTTTCCATGCTGCCAAGGATTGTCAATTCGAGTACTACTGTCTCTCATGAAGTAGACAAATATTTAGCTCTACAAAGAGAACCGTCAAAATCCGATCCACTAGAATTTTGGGCTAAAAACGAAACCAGCTTTAAAGAATTGTCAAATTTGGCCAGTCAAGATCTTGCAATTCCGGCATCAACGGGCAGTGTAGAAGTGTAGAGCGGCTTTTTTCTCTACTGGGATCATTTGGACGTTCAAGGAGATCAAGTCTGAACCCGAAGTCTTTGGAAAATTTAGTGCTTCACCGAGAATATCGTCGTCCGATTTTGATGAGAGCTCATCCAGCCATAAATCTCTCAAAAAAAGGAAAATAAGTCTGGAGCCGGACAACAAGTGCAATAAGCGGAAAACATTGAGTACGCGAGCAATTTGTTTTATTATTTATATGAATTCTATTTTTAGTAGGAGGAAGAGTACACAAAGGTGGTAATATTCGATATTGATCCTGTTGGATATTTTGTTCTATTTCGTTGAACGCAGAGCCCTCAGAAAATGTTCGAGATTATTAAATTGTCCGAAAATTAAAAAATATATTTTACATATGAGTATGATAAAGTAGTCATCTAAGATCACCAGTGGCTCCTGGGGAGCTTAACATTGTGGGATAAAGGGGGACTTGTGCAAAATACGATTTTGCTGAATTTCCCCGTCTCAATGAAGATAATGAGAATGGAAAATTTTGAAAATCTATCCAAAATTGGATTTGGTTCTGCAAGTTATTATACAAATTATCTTTGACTGGTGTACCCTCCTCTTAAATGACAATGAAACCATATATATTTGATCACATTTGACTATAATCAATTATATTTTGATTTTAATGTCAATTGCTAAGAATGGAATTCATCTAAACAATAAAACAAAATGGTACTAATTCGCTCAAAAATTAGTTAATAAGTAGATACCTTATATATTTGTAATACAAATATTAGAGTGGATATTACCGATTTTAGCACATAAATATTTCAAAAAGCCTCTACCTCTAAGAATCTTGGAAATTTTTTGACTCAAATTCTTTCATCATTACCTTGAAATTTATGTCAAATTTAAAGTTCGAGTTCGCCCGAGTAATGCGGCATATGCATATTACATAGTAATTTGAACTCAAATTGTGGATGGGCTACCATGTGCAAATTGTGAATACAAAAATAAATGAATAAACCGTCACAAACGCATGTAGCTAAAGGGTGAAATAAGTGTCAAATATACGTCAAAATGACTATCATATTGCTTTTGCAACAACTTTTGGGACACTCAATTTCCCTGTATTTCATCTTTAGATTCAATTTGAGTGAAAATCTCATTTTCCCCCAGACCACACCCCCAAGCGCCAGATGGTGTGGCACAGCTCGGGAGCACTAAATTTCACTTATATGTATTTCATCCGTAGCTTCAATTTCTGAAAAAACTCATTTTTCCCCGACCACACCCTCTGGCGCCAAAGGGGGTTGTCTTATTGGTCCCACAAGTTGATAGGATCCTCCTCGGGTCCTATGCGTAATGTCGAAAACCGATGTCGATTATCTCGATCCGTTCTCCTATTATTCTGTCTTCGCATAAAGTAGCTGAAGCTACTTAATAAATGAACGAATATTTGAATGTATAAATGAACGAATATTTGACTGAATAAATGAATATTTGAATGAATAAATGAATATTTGAATAAATTAGTGAATATTTTAGTGAATGAATAAATATGTTAATGAATGAATGAATATTTGAATGAATGTTCCCTATTGTCAATGAATATACATTGAATGAATGTTGCCTGCACTTCATGACAATGCATGAATATTTGAATGAATAATTTTTTGTTGAACACGTCTGATCCGAGGTGTTAATATTTTGCCTCCTCATTGTACTCCACGGCCTGGTCACCATCCTCAACGCCAGATTGTACAAAGCTGTTAATACCGTAAGTTAAAAAAATCAAATTACCGATTAAGTATTTAATTAAGTTCTTAAATAAATTAATTGGGGTCCAAAATTTTTAGAAAAATCTGCAAAATTTGTACCGCTCCTGGATAACTTTGTGCTGTGTGGGCTTAATGAATTTCGTTGGCCGTGTCGCTGCCCACTGCGGAAACGAGCAGGCCATCCAATTTGAAGATGCAATGTTCAGTAATTCTACATTTCTCGCTCATCTGTACACAACCTGGGCGGTGTTCCGAGTCATCGAAGAGGTCAAAGGGCTGGACGGGAGGAGGCGACCAGAGAAGTGTTTCGTAAATAAGAAGAGAGTTCACAAAGGGGCGAGAAAAAGTTATAAATTCGGTGCAATCATTTTCGTTGGGGTGATTTTTAGTAATAATTTTTTGGAGAGTTATTTATTTCATTAGCTTTTTTACATATTTTTTCAACATGGTTTTAAATTTTAACGAGTTGAAACTGGTAGAATGTACGTCATCGTGAATTTGATACAATTTTATGACATATGTAGTTCCTAGTATTTTATATTTTATGAATAAAAATAATCAATTCATTCGATATAACTTATGCATGTTGTCTGATTTCACTAACATTATGAAGGTAATTAAAAATTTAAGAATTAAAAATATTCACGGCGAATTATTAACACATTAACGCATTGTAAATATATAGTCCATGTCCATTAATCACTACTGTTCTGCGTTAGTTACATAAGATGCAAAGCGTGTCATAAACATTTTTTTGCAATTTTTCTCCATGCCATATGAAAAATTTTACTTGGTTATTACAGAAAAAATTAATTTAAATTGGGTTGCGATGATAATTGTAATCTTGTAAGTGTGATAAGTTAATATTGGGTGCATGCGTACTTGTAATGAATGCATGTATTATGTATGCATATGTCTGCGGGTTTGTCAAAATTTCGCTGAAAACTTTAAATCATATTTAACCTGAGTAATTTATTCATTAAAATTATACATACGCTTTTATAAATTTTAGTCAACGCACCGATGCATACATAAATATGTTACTAATGAAAAAAATATAATAATATTAATGAAAAACGCTAGATACTGAACGGCGTTAATGATCTAAAAAATGTTGGAGAATTTACATGAAAAATACATTCATAATAGGACATAAAAATGTTCATTTTCATGCACGTCTCCTTCCCCTCCAGTTGTTGTCCGTGTCAGCGTTCAGCGATGTTCTGCATATTTGATGACGAGATGAGACTAAACGAAAAAAAATAATGTATAAATACTACGAATCAAACTTAATTATAAGTAAAATTAATTTATAATTATCACAAATAATTTATCATTTAAGACATTCATTTATTATAATTTATAATTATTCATTCTCTCCCGCGCGCCCGTGTTGGCAGCATGGGAGAAAAACCTGCTCTCCTCATATTTTATATAATTTTAAGTTTTCTACCATTTAAATTAATTCATTGAGCGAATTTTCCATCAAAGGTTGTTTTAATTTAATAGTATAAAGTGCTCTATACATTACACTACTAATTAATTGCTGATTCCGCCAACGACATGGGTTTATCTGGCTGGATTTCTTGTTCCTGTTTCCTGTTCCTGTTCTCATATCATTATAAATGAACGGAGGGGCAGTTTGGCGAGCTAACTGCCCCTTTATTGGCAAGTCTCCTCCCCCTGATTTTTACAACTTGTACAAAGAGAAAATTGCGTGTCATAAGTTCAATGATATCTCACAAAGGATTAACTTATTCAGGCAGCTGGAAAATCATTCTTCTGGGATTTCGTCATCATTATGGAACCAAATTGAGGACTTCAATTATTATTACTCCACCTCCACTTATCGTTCAAAAAAGAAGAAGAAAAAGAAAGGCGCTAAACGAGGAAGACGGTTTGAAGCGAAGAAATCTTTTACTAAATATTTAAATAACATCCCTCGTGGTCTAGTTTTGAATAATTTAATTAATATTGGATTATCGGAGTGTAAAAAATCGTCCCCTCTCAAATTTAATTTACCCAGATTTTTTTACACAAACCCAACGTCTCTATCCGAAGCAAAATTGGACATTTTTGAAGGTTTACTGGTTGACCATGATTTAGGGCTTTTCTGTGAGACATGGTGGAAAAATGACCAGGTTAAAAATATCCCGCATTTTAATACTTTCGCTAGGAACAGAAATTATACTGATAGTAAGGGGCGTATAAAAAAGGGTGGTGGATTAGCTATCTTTCTCAGGGACACATTTAGAGGTAGAATATATAATCCTAATGTCAAAGTCGACGAACGTATTGAGTTTCTTGTAATATCTGTTAAACCTGATTTGTTGCCTTACTCACTTTCAAATATAATTATTATATTAATTTATATTCCGCCCCAATATGTAACTGAACTAAGTCAAGAGCTTAACGAGTTTTTAAGTAATGTGGTAACCAATGTAAAAACCAAATTTTCTAAGCCTGGTATATTTTTGTTTGGCGATTTTAACCGGTGGGATTATGGCCAATTTGTCGAAACTTCTAAATTAGATTTAGTGGTACGTTTCCCTACGTTTTTTAATTCTAGATCACATAGTATGAGTAACCTTGACTTAATTTTTACTAATTTAAAATCATATTATTGCGAGCCTGTTCCACTGTTAAAGGAACGGCAAGAAATAGAGTACATGCTTGTATCTCCTTTTCACCTTGTCCATGGTTTGAATTACGTAAGCCTTTAAAAATCATTAAATGTAAACCCCAACTTAATCAATTAGCTATTCCCTTTGTCGAAGAATTAAATAATTTAGATGTTGATATCCAAAAATTTGAATCGTTACCAATCAATACCAAAGTCAATGAGTTAAATTCTTTATTACTCTCAATACAAACTAAAGTATCGTGTCCTTATGACAAGGTTATACACGATGGTGAACCCATTTGGATGAATATTACATTGAAAAGGTTATTCAAAGCTAAGCGCAAAGCAAAAAAGAGTAATAATGTCAAGCTAGTTTTCGAGTTACAAAGCGAAATTAAAACGCAAATTTCCTTTGCTCAGTCTGAAGTGCGTAAAAAATTCAAAGATAAGATACCTGGTATGAATTCATCCGAATGGTATCATTTAATTCGTAAAGTTTGTGGTCTAAATCCCGTGTCTGCCATCGACAAAATTAAATTAATAGATCTGAAATTTAGTCAGCTAACTGATAAAGAGCTAGCCGATGTTGTAAATTCACATTTCTCACTAATTTGTAACACTTTTGATGAATGTGAATCTATTTCGCTGTGTCCACTCCCTCTAGACTCTTCCCCTATTAAAGTCAGTGCTCATGAGGTAGCGAGAGTAATTAGAAAACTAAATAAGAAAAAGTCCAACTGTCCGAATTTAGTCCCTACTGAGCTTATAAAGTACGCTTCGAATTTCTTGGGCCCTTTAATTTCTTGGGCCCTTTAATAGCCATTATCCTCAATGAATCTTTTGCAACTTTTACTGTCCCTGATTGTTGGAAAATCGGTTTCGTCACCCCCTTACTCAAGAAAGTAACTTGTTCATCACTTGATGACGTCCGTGCGATAACTCAAACTGACGTATTTTCAAAAATTGCACAGAGTTTTATGTTTGACAGGATTTATTCTCAAATAATTGATAAAATCAACGTTAACCAATTTGGTGCTTTAAAAAAATCGTCTACTGCGCATTATTTAATTCAAATTAACCATTTTATTTTAAAATCAATCGAAATTCCTGGCGCTACAGTTTTAATTGCTGCTATTGATAGTCTCAAAGCATTCGATTTAGTTGACCACTCGTTGTTGGCCGCACTTCTTGTTGATCTTGGTGTACACGACATTGATATTTTATGGTTATTATCCTTCTTAAAATTTCGTAAGCAAATTGTTAAGTTTGAAAAGTCGTTTTCAAATCCCAAGAGATTAACATGCGGTACACCAGCCGGTACCAAACTAGCTGCTCTTCTGTTTATTATCTTAATTAATTCGATTCTGAATGCATTAAAAATCAAATTACTTGATATTAACCCCAATTTTTGTATAGTTTTTGTATAGCTGGATACATTGATGATTTGGTTATTGCTGAAAGAGTTATTGGTAATGCACCCAAATTGCAATCTGCACTCAATATTTTGAGTGAAGAGTGTAAGGCAGTTAAAATAACGCCCAATCCTCGTAAATGTGAAATATTGGTAGTTAATTTTGGTGGATAAAGAGTTAATTTTCCTACTAAGTCCTTTTGTATTGATTCAGTTCCTATACCCGTTGTAAAGAGCTTAAAAATTTTAGGGGTGACTTTTTGCCCAAATTTTAGTTGGGATAGTCATATAAAAAACATTGTTGCGAAAGCAAACTCTAAATTATTTCAGTTAAGAAAATTATTCAATGCTGGCTTCTCCAGTAAAGAATTATTAATAGCTTACGGTGCATATATTCGGTGTAATCTTGAGTATTGTTCAGTTGTGTTTGGCTCTGGCTTGAACCAGAAATTAGTTTACAAAATTGAAAGTGTTCAGAAAAAAGCTTTAAGTATAATTTTCCGAAAACGAGTTGATCATTTAAATTATGTTGAATGCATGCAGGAAGCTGAGTTGATAACTTTAAATGAAAGGAGAGAATTGGCTCTTAATAAATTTGCTTACAAATTATTTTTTGGTAGGTATAGGCACTTTTTGCCGCAATTCCAGCGTGCTTCGTGCAGTGGTGTGTCATTGGGGTCAAACAAGGATTTACTATTTCAACCGGTAATTAAGTCGTCAAAATTTAAAATTCCCCCATTAATATGTTAATCAGCAAAATCAATGACGAATGGAAATCAAAATCCACGGTTTTTGGCTTGTCATTTGAAGCTCTAACAAATTTGATAGATTATAGCTAACTTTATACAAACTAAGAGTAGATAATATCTTACGTACATATATATTGTTAAGTTAAATATAGTAATTTAGCCCTTAGTTATTGTTATTTAATCATTTAAAGTAAGTTATTTCTGTTTGTAAGCTCACGAAAATAGGCTAGTGTGCTATGCTAAAATTTCATTTTGTGCATTCCCTAGTACTAGTAAATGAGGGTAATAAAGGCTATTATTATTATTATTATTATTATTATCACGATAATTGTTTTTTAACTTACCAACACTTTCAACATCATTCTCCACAGAAGGACGGTGGCTTATTTTGGGGGATTCTTTTTTACGAGAATCGTTGACAAACAACAAATCGTATGGATAACTTGACCAGGATTGGAAGACTGGATTACGCGGACGGATCTCGAACATGCCACGTGGGAAGCAGTAAACTTGGCCGACCTAGAAAAAATTACAAAAGATGACAAAATGTTATGTATGTATATATGTTTTTAATTTACAAATTAAAATCGTTCCGCTGATATATTTCGCCCAATTAAAATTACCTTATAAAGTTTATTTGCAAGGTGGTAAGATTTCCCGATCGCCAATGTCACCATAATTGTGTCCCCGTCATCCTGCGTCAGCATAATGCGAAGGTATGGCGTCTGTTTGGCAGATTGCAAAAATCACTCCTCGATAGCACAAACCTCTGCGAGGAAGGTGGTCCTATTAATATTGAAAATTACAAATGTAACGGTTAGTATTTATTTATGTAAGAAATTTTTCAGTTATCCAAAATTATTGACAAGTTTTTAATATTTCGGACGAATATAAATTGAAATTAATTAGGCGTCCAACAAAGTTTGCTTGATGAAATGTAAAAATTGATTCCATTTCTGCAGATGAGCTTACTGATTTTAAATCACTAACTTTAATAATTAATGTGGTACGTAGACTAGAGTTTGAAGTATTTTTGTAACAACGATATAAATATGTTAGGTTTGAAATTTACTCAATAAGCAAGAACTAAAATATTACTTTAATTAATTCACTTAACCAAATTGGCTTAAAAATTTATTTTAAACTGTGGAGTATTTGACGTAAAGTTATAAAATGCGAAGATGTTTAACGTTCAGAGGGCAGAATGGTAATGAGAATTATTGTGCGTAAATGCGTTATTTAAAGCGGTCGAGTGAAGGCGAAATTGTGGAAATGTGAAGGGTCCAAGAATGAATGGGAAGGGTTAAAAGTCGAGGCTTTAGTGGTGTGTTGGAAATAAACTTCCTGGAAAACCCTTTCTATTTTTGTTAGTGATATGAAAAATTGTGCAATGGAATCATGTAACGAATAAAGTAACCTGGAATATAAATAATCGTAGTATTTTTTCACCCTGATAATAAGAAAAACATTTTAAGGGTCCCTTGCAATTCTAGGAAACTCCAGTAGGAAATATTGCACAAATTTCCATATTTATTCCAGAAAGTTAACCGTCAATGTTGTTGTTTTGCATTTATGTAAATACATATATATGTATTTACATAAATGCATATATCGGATGCGAGGAAAAACTTGACGTCATGATTAAAATCATGCCGAACAATGAGCTTCGAGTCAAAGAGCTCAATAAAATAGATGTCTTTACCAAAGAGGTCAACATGTATGCCGAAGTCCTCCCAGCGATGGTACGGTTTCAGAAAGAGAAAAAAATTCAGGATGGCGAAATCCTTAGTGATTGGCCGTCATGCTTGACGTCAGACGGAGGAGCAGGTGACTTCGTCGCAATGGAAAACTTACGAGGACAAGGGTAAATATAAATCTGCGGAAATTTGAGACGAATTTTTTAATGCGAATTTGCATATATATTGGGGGTATTCATTACGAGTTCGCATGTTCGGATCGCAATATAATTCTGAAAATAAATTTGCGCAAAAGTTCACAAATGAATTTTCACCCCATTTTTTGCCAACCTGGAACTTTATTTTTTGCTAACTGTTCGAACTCGTAATGCATGAATACCTTCATTATGTTTTTATTAATTATTTGCCAATTTTAAACAGCTACAAAATGGCGGATCGAACCACCGGTCTGTCTCATCCCCAAGTTCTCCTCGTGCTCTCCACACTGGCAAAATTTCACGCCATATCTTTCGCTCAATTCGGTGGGGATGGTGCCAAAATCCTGTCGACTTATCCATTCCTCGAAGAAAAAATGTTTCCCGACCCGACCAAGGAGGAAAACTCGCTGAAAGATTACTCCCAATCGGTGCTCCGTTGTGAAGTAAAGCTTCTTCGGGACACCGGACACCTCAAAGAAGCAGAAACCTTGGCACTATTTTGTCACGATAATACAATCGATCCTTATTTATTAAGCGAAATAAGCAGGATTGCATCCGATACGACGAACGGCGTCATAAGTCATGGAGACTGTTGGACGAATAATATCATGTTTTTATACGACCACGAAGATAAAGTCATCGACCTCAAGTTGCTCGACTTTCAGATTGCGAGATGTGCACCGAGATCGGTAGAAGTGTCGTATTTTTTGTACGCTTGCGTCCCCCACTTGGACGTCGGTATGGAGGAAGAGTACCTCAAGTGGTATGATGGCCACTTTATCCAATTTCTTAAAAAATTGGGAGTAAATAGGCGAGCAGGGGACGGATTGGACTTCCAAGATTTTATGGAGGAGTATGAAAACTGCATGTTTTACGGAGTTATGCTCGGTTTGATAATGACGCCGATGATGTGTATTGAAAGTCAAAATCAGCCAAGCTTGGGGGTAAGGAAAGGAGGAGTAATAAATAAATAAGGAAATTCACGCTGATGTTTGTACTCACTATGTAAATGAGCAGATTACAAAAAATCAGTCAATTCGCAAATTGCAGAAAGATTACTCAAATAAAACTGTTGTAAACTAAACGTGGGGTTATACTTCACTTCTTGGTAACTTGCGCCAATGTTATAATTTAACTATGGCGCAAGTTACCAAGAAGTGAAATACATGCAAACGCAAGTTGCGAGAAATCAAGGGCATCTTTTTGCATGATGTCATGTTATATTACATTTTGGAAAACATGCTCAGTTTGCTGTATTACAAATATCCGCGTGAACTTCCTCATTAATTTGGTTGTGCAAAAGCTAATCATATGAATGCTATGCTTTTTAGACGGGGCGGCGAATGACTTTGGGGACGACGCTGCAGCCAAATTATTAAGTAGCTTCAGCTACTTTATGTGAAGACTTTGTCTGTCTGTCTGTCTGTCTGTCTGTCTGTCTGTCCGTCTGTCTGTCAGCAGGATATCAGGAGAACGGATCGAGATAATCGAAATCGGTTTTCGCCATGATACATAGGACCCCAGGGGGAGGATCCTATCAACTTTTGGGGGCAACCGGACCACACCCCCTTTGGCGACAGGGGTGTGGTCGGGGCAAAATGAGATTTTTAGTGCAATTTAATCTATAGGTGAAATAGAGTAAAATTATGTGTTCCGGAGTTGTGCCACACCCCCTCGGCGCCAGGGGGTGTGGTTGGGGCAAAATGAGATTTTTAGTGCAATTTAATCTATGGGTAAAATTAAGTGAAATTGAGTGAAATTAAATGAAATTAAGTGAAATTAAGTGAAATTAAGTGCTTCCCCGATTGTGCCACACCCCCTCGGCCCCAGGGGGTGTGGTTGGGGCAAAATGAGATTTTTAGTGCAATTTATTCTATGGGTAAAATTAAGTGAAATTGAGTGAAATTAAATGAAATTAAGTGAAATTAAGTGAAATTGAGTGTTTCCCCGATTTTGCCGCACCCCTTCGGCGCCAGGGGGTGTGGTTGGGGCAAAATGAGATTTTTACAAAAAATTAATCTATAGGTGAAATAGAGTGAAATTAAGTGTTCCCGAGTTGTGGTGGGACCGTTTGGGGTGAAGTACGTCTGAAGCTACTTCCGTATGCGCGTTTGCGACGGTTTATTTGAGACATTGAACCCAAAAGGAGCCAGTGGCCAGTCAATATCTTCCAAAAAAATTTGCAATCTTGCCGTCAATCATTTACCTCGGTGTCCACAAGTGATTCGAAAAATGAATGAAATTAAAAAAGTTTGATGTTTTCTTAAAATCTAAAAATCAGGAAATAAATAAATAAATAAGTTTGATTGCCTGGCGTGTATTACAAGCATAGGTAATTATCTATAAAAACTACCATACGCTTATTCTTTGGATAGTTTATTGTGAATAAACATTATTATCATCATGCGATTAAAAAAAGCGATTATTTGCCATGAATATTTTTGCAGGGTCAAGGTCGCACTTTGTCCTTGGATCAGGCCAGTTGCGACTCTCATCCCTAACGCAACGAAGCAACCCCAAAATTTCGGTCGTTCATGTACTCCATGTAGGGTGGCCAAACGTCCCGGTTTAGCCGGGACATGTCCCGCTTTTCAAACCTTGTCCCGGCGTCCCCGGGACGCCGTCCCGAAAAAGTCCCGGTTTTGACAAAGTGTCCCGGTTTTTAAAATCGTAGGAAAAAATTAAATTATCTTACTTTTTCGCCAAAATATCGATGAAAAGTCGATTTTAGCACCTATGTAAATACCAATAAAGTGCATGTAATATTTACTTAATTGGCTTTCTTGGTTCTTTCTAAAAATTCGGTGATATCTGAACCGCCAAGCACTAGATATTATGAAATGTTTTTCACCAAGCACTAGATATTATTCAAATTTTTTTGCCAAATAATGTCCCGGTTTTGGTCAGGACAAACATGGTCACCCTACCTATGTAAATCAATAGAGTTTGCTTAGCCCGAACCAGATTGACTTTTGTACAAAATTTCTGAGTTTTAATACAATTTTGAAATTTTGGTGCATAATACCCCACCCACTCCGACGACTGGTCAACCATTGAACCGATGTCACTCATCTTCGAACTCGTTTCCTAACTTTGTCCAACATACTTGTGGTAAAAGTTTCGACTCGTTCGAGAATTATCGAAGGACGGACGGACGGACATGACAATTTTATGATTCGGACTAAACCGAAAAAAAGTTATCATTTCACATCAAATATTTTATTCGAATGCTTCTAATAAATTTTGTATTTCATAATTTAAACAGTGTGTATGAATCAATCTCTAAATGTAAATAAAGCGATGCAAATGTTTGAAAAATTCTGTAAAATTTTCCATAATAAAATATCTCAATTTTGCTCATAAAGGGTGTTAAAAAAGTCCGATCCCATGCATTTTTTGGAGCGTGGTTGTTACAAATTCAGCTGGAACTTTTGAACCAGTGAAGTTATTTATTTCAAATTTTTACCATGGGAGGAACAACTAAACGTGTAAGTCATGAGCATCTTAGAGTTGAGATACAAACATTGCATCAGCAGGGGCTTAAACCTACAGAAATTGTGCAAAAATTGGGCTGCAGCCGCAGAACTGTTTGGAAATGGAAGAATAAAAATTTTGTCCACGACAAAAAGCGACCAGGGCGACCCAGAAAGGTGTCACCTACCACAAAAAGAATGATTAAAAACAGACTTTGCAAGAAAACCGGTAGTTCATTACGTAATTGAGCAAGGGAGTTAAATGACTCAAAACGCTATAAAGAGAAGAAGAAGCAAATTAACTGTGTGACCGTGCAAAAATTTGTGAAAACTACGAAGTGGGGTCACACAGCTTACAAACTAACCAAAAAAACCTCTCATGTCACAAAAATATATCGATGACCGTCTGAAATTTGAAGAACTCCTTCAGAAAAGTGCCCATTTGAGTGAAAAAAGACTTGGTGAAGAATTGCGCAGTCACATCCTTTGGACTGACGAATCTATTATTGAACTATATCCAAAATTGAACCAACAAAATGTTCGTTACAGGACAGAAAACAAATCGGATGTACCATCAAGAGCGATCCCAAAATTCGGGCTTAAAGTTATGGTAGCGGGTGGATTTTGTGCACGTTGCGTGACCCCTCTACATATCATACCAAAAGGCCAATCAGTCAATGCAAAGCATTATATGGAAAAAATATTACCTATCTATTTCGATAGCATGGGGAACAAGGAAATATTTCCGAATGAAAGAAAAATAGTTTTCATGCAGGATGGTACTATAGCCCATACAGCAAAAGCGAGTTTGAGTCTCATCAAGACGCAAGTTTCAACGGTCTGGAGCAAGGGGGTGTGGGCCGCTAACGGCCCAGATTTGAATCCCCTGAAGAACCAGTGGTCCATACTTAAGGAAAATGTATACAAAGAGCCACAACCCCGGACGAGGGAAGAGCTAGTAAAAAAAAGTTCAAGATGTATGGAATTCGATTTCCAGAGGCACATTGGAAAAATTAGCACAGAGCCTTAAACAAAGAGTTGAGGGCATGGTTAAAGTAAATGGTAACAAGACCAAATACTAAGGTAAATATGTCGAACATTTTTTGTAAGTATCACGGGTAGTTTTTTTTATACTAGCCTTCACTTTTTTACAGGAAAAATGGGATCGGACTTTATTAACACCCTGTATTCTAGAAGTTATAAATAAATATGTATAAATCATTACTTAAATTCACTTCAATATACCATAATTGCTCCATTAAATGGCTGGAGTAAATTTCCGTCCAGACTTTATCGCCAATTTGTTTTAATGACAAAATTTGTGAAATTTGATAAATTAAATTTGTAAAACCCACTTATTTCATTCCATGGGAACCAGGTTAATACCAGGAAATAAAACATACATTGGTATATTAAGGCAGGTATTGATTTCTCAGTTTTTAAACTGCGCTACCGTTAGGTACTAAAATTATACCGGTCGTCCGTAAAAAATTTGCTACCGATATTGTAAAACTTTAATACCGAGCTATCACTGCACGGTTGACGGTGTTATTTATCTTTACCAGTTTACCTACATAGTAAAGTCGTATATGAAACCGTCCGGCATTATTCTAACATTATATTTCTAAGAGTATACACAGGTAAATACAAGCATTAGAACCCATTTTCAATTGCACCACAACCACAGAAATTCCAATATTTGTACAAAATATGCCTAAAATTACACTTCATCCACCGGGAATGTCACCAACACGGTCGTAAACCCACTCGCTACAGTAGAAAAGAACGCGTTCAGCGCAATATAACTTGTCGCCCGGATCGATCCTACTCTGAGTCCGAACGACTGCAAAGATTTGACCTCTTTTATCAGAAGTTTCCTCTCTTTAGTCGACCAAACTCCCACGCCAGCCAATCTTCTCAACTTTTCTCGCAAGTTCCCACTATTTTTAAGCACTTTTCCAGAAATATGCAAGTAGAAAAAGGCCGTGAAAAGGAACGTTATAAACATCAAAGCTGTCATGAGTTGCTCTGGAAAACTAATTTCTGCATACAAACGAAGCATTATGAAGCCCACGGAAACCAGAGATCCAGCCATGAAGACATATCGGAATGGGAACATGGTGGCCAGGTAGCATCCATTGTGTTGAAGGTTGATCAGGTATAGACAACGGTACCAGGAAAACCGGCGAGGTAAAGAATTTGTCGATTTTCTGAAAAGGAATTTTTAAAATCTTAAAGAAATAGCGTGATAAGTAGTCCAACTTCATAAATATTCGGACCGTAAATCCGGTCGAATTCGATTCATGTTATAGTAATTTTCCGGATAATCCGATCGGATTTGATCCATGTTATGGAAATTGGCTGGATTATCCGGTCGGATCGGATTATGTATAACGGAATACCACGATTATCTTAAATACCAACCTCACTGTGGACATGACAAAGATCAAGTACGCCACCGATAAGAGAAACCACATTTGCATAATGAAATACGACATGATGTCTGCAGTTTTCGTGAAAACTTCAAAAGCCAAAGAGATCAAATAGACAGTCATATTCATCCACTCGGGTTTGCCCACCTCGGACCAACTGCTGTACAAATATTGAGGCGCGGTTGGCTTGACGATGTAGATAAGGGCGACTACAAGGTTAAAGGTGACATTCATACAGGCAGTAGTTTTAACGATGAAGTTTGCCAAACGGGACTCCAAGTTTGTTGGACTTTCAAAATTTTTGAATCGTGCCGCTGAAAATTTAGGATATTCAGACAATTTAATGCAGCATAAAAATTTAAAATAGACACCTTTCGCAAGTCATTTTAACTCTTATTGGTATTATGCTACGTTTATGTACATACATTCACTGATTCACTATCATATACGTTAGGAGGTTTGCAAAGGTTTCCCTATGAATTGTGTATATAAAAACGCCATATTTTGAAGAAATACATGTAGATATTTCTACAATCAATTGTAAGGGTGAAACGGGGTTAAAAAATATTCTAGGTTCGAAAAAATTTGAATTTAAATCGGAACCCCGTCGCGTTTTTCGGTTTGCAGGACCATTATAAAGTTACTTCTGCGAAAGGTGTCTTTTGAGTGTACTTACCTTCCAACTCCTTATCGAAACTAACCATCCACCTGAACAGTGTCACCATTTCATTCCTTCTGAGCCAAATGCCAAGCTTGGCTTCAAAATTGATGTAATAAGTTAAGGGCATAAACCCCAGCCAAAAAATGTCCATGACATGTACTCCCAAGTTTGGTAATATGAGTACACGAAATAAAGGACATGATGAGTAAGAAATAAGATTAGGAAAGGTGGAACAATTCGTGAATTTGAAATTTTTAAAACGTTTCTTTCGTCATCCCAAGAAATGGGAAATAGCTTCAAGGGCTCGTAAACTTTTATGTATTTTGCAAAATTTTGCAAAACATGGGGCGAAAACATGATTCCTAAGGAACTGTGAAGAATCTAGTTATTTCGTGATAATACGGAAATATGGAAGAGTTTATTGAGTTTGCGAGTTTAAATACAGGAACTCAATTAAACGAGTTGGTGCATGATTAGGAATAATTACTTCACAGTTTTAGAGGCGACTTAATTGATATCTTTATTTTGCGAGACGTAACATGGGTTTGCAAGGATAAATAGGTAAGCGAATTTTCAAAATGTACGATATTCTCAGGGTATAATTTTGCAATAATATAATTATGTAGTTTAGCTCAATTTGTACCCGCTTTAATGGAAAATACATATAGTTATGTATTGGATTTATCGGACGACATGGTTGTTGTGATAATGCAGATATTTATTCCTAGCTTTCGATACACACTAGTATCATCTTCAGGGACAATATTGGAAATCGAGAAAACAAGATTGATTTCACTCACAAAACTAATCATAAATTATTTTATTATTCAAAAAACGGTATCGTTGTTAGGGGCGCTTGATCAGAGGTAACATTAGTGAAGACCAGATTGGATTGAGGTTCATGCCGTGGTCTTGATTCATGGCGTCAGAGGTTTTACGGATGTATAAACTTTCAAGAAATTTTCTGTGAAAATTTCGCCGTTCGGGTAGAATTAGACTTGCTGAGTCTTGGTTGATATCGTGGTTGGGATTCTCCATGATGTGTAGTGCCACCGCTGATTTTACATTTTTCTTCTTGACGTCATTTAGATGTTCTTTTACGCGTTGATTAAGCGAACGGCTTGTCTCACCTATATACATAGAGGGACAAGAGCATTTAATTTTATAAATTCCTACTTTATCGGGTGGTGGATTCTCCTTGTAGGAACATATTATTTGTTTCATCTTTTTTCCAGTTAAATATCCGAACTCGCAATTTAGGTTCTTGCGTAAGTAAGCCGTTAATCGGTGGGTGAGTGGTCCCATATATGGTAAGATTATTCTTGGTGATTTTGCCTCGTCTTGATTTTCATGGCTAGTAGGTTGGGTTGAAAATTTTGCCCTCATTTTTTCTATTCTTACTTTGATTAAACTTTTCGGATATCCGTGTGTCATTAAAGAGCTTGTTATTAATTTTAGTTCATTTTCTAAATATTCATCATCGCATATTTTGAAAGCTCGATAACTTAGGGCATCAATTACGGCCAACTTTTGGGATGGATGGTGATATGAATTATAGTTGAGGTATCTCCCAGTGTGGGTCGGCTTGGGATAAACTTGTCTGTGAATGGCTCCATCTTCATCTCGGGATATTAAAACATCCGAAAACGGTAGTTTGCAATTTTCTTCAGTTTCGCATGTAAATTGTATACTGGGATGAAAACTGTTGAGAGATTGGAGGATACTCTCCTTCTTGCCCACCTGGATACAGCCGTTGGAGTCATCCACAAACCTTTGGTAAAAAGGGATGTCCGGATTGTTCAATATTAATTGCTCTTCTAATTCTTGTAGACAGAATTCTGCAAAGATAGGTGAAATCGGGCTTCCCATAGGTGTTCCATCGTTTTGTTTGTAGATTTTCCCATTACGAGTAAAGTAGTTGGAGTTGACTGTTACTTTGATCAATTTCATTACTTCTTCCGATGTCAGTTTTGTAACTGCTTTCCAATCATTGCAGGAGTCCAGTCGCTTTTTGATGTAGTCAAGGGTTTGTTGAATTGGAACGCGTGTGAATAATGAAGTGACATCAAATGAGACCAATTCATGGTTGGGTGGGACAATAAAATTCTTGATTTTATCTGCAAACTCGTAGGAGTTTTTTAGCGTCGTGGGGAATTTTGATGTGACACATTTTAGGATCCTGTTTAGAAAATGAGCCAGATTGTAAGAGGGCGAATTTCGGAAATCAACAATGGGACGAAAGGGTAGACCGTCTTTATGGATTTTAGGTAATCCATAGAATTTTGGGATCTTTGAGTTAGAAGGAGAAATGTGTTGGTATTGATTTTTGTCGATTCTTTTTAATTTGAATAAATTCTTCGCAAGGGTGTGAATTTCGTGTTCTACTGATTTCGTAGGGTCGTTGGGAATGATGGTGTAATTCGGATCAGTTAGAAGTTCTTCAATTTTTTCTTCGTATTTGGTTGTGGACATGATCACATGATCACAGACATGATCACTGAAGTAAATTCACTTCCATTTTACAGAAGAATTACAATTTTCTCTGGAAACATTTAAGTTGGATGAGGTCCGTATACGCTTGAATAAGTACCCACTTCAGTTTCGTCACAAAAAAATAAAAATGGGGGAATTCACTTCAAGTTCACATTTTAGAATTGCAACATTATTTTGAAAAATTGCAAACCGAATACAGTTAATGCAGGTATTATACTCAAATATGCGCAAGTTAACAAACGAATTTTAAAACCGAAGCTTCTATGCGAACATTTGTTAACGAGGAAAACTAGTAATGAACACCCCCAATATTTGTAAAAAAAATTCTCAAATTATACGCCATCTGCGCCATCCACCGGAAATGTTACCAAGACGGTTGTAAATCCACTCGTTACCGTAGAGAAAAATGCATTCAGCGCAATGTAACTCGTCGCCCTGATCGATCCTACTCTGACCCCGAAGGACTGCAGCGATTTGGCTTCTCTTTTCAAAAGTTTCCTTTCTCTCGTCGACCAAACTCCTACGCCAGCCAAACTACTCAACTTTTCTCGCAAATTTCCACTATTTTTAAAAACTTTTCCAGAAATATGCAAGTAGAAAAAGGCCGTGGAAGAGAACGTGCAAAACATCAAGAGCGTCATCATCTGTTCTGGGAAACTAATTTCTGCATAGAAACGAAGCATCATGAAGCCCACGCCAATTATGGTCCCACCCATGAAGACATATTTTGCGGGCAACATGGTTCCCGGGTAGCACTTGTTATGCAGCAGATTAATCAAGTATAGGCAACGGTACCAAGCAAATCGGTCGGGTAATGAACGTGTTGATTTTCTAGAACGAAATTTAAAAAACGTATCAAAAACAAGGAGATAAATGCACCTTTAAAAATAATGCTACCCTTTTGAAACGTAGATGCATAAATCTTCTCTCAATTCTACATTGCGTAAACTACACACTAAATCAAGAATAAACTTTACTCTTTATTAATTTAACGTTACTCTGGATTCAGTATAGTTTACTTAATATCGATTTCAGACCGTTTTTACTTTTTGAAAGGGTAACACTACACTACATATTTTTAAAAGAAATTGAACTTCTAGAAATTCCAACCTCACAGTTGACATGGAAAATAGCAGGTACGCCACTGATAAAGGAAACCACATTTGCAGAAGGAAATATGACGAGATGTCCACCGTTTTTGTGTAGAATTCAAATACCAAGGAAAACAAGTAGACGGCCGTATTCATCCATCTGGGTTTGTCCACCTCAGTCCAACTGCTGTAAAAATATTGCGGCGCGGTTGGCTTGACAATGTAGATAAGGGCGACTACAAAATTAAAGGCGATATTGGTCCAGACCGTCGTTTTAATGATTAGATTTGCCACAGTGGCGTCCAGGTTTGGTCCATCCCCAGAATTCTTTAATCGTGCAGCTGAAAATTTTTAGAAATTTTGATAATAAATACATCATAAAAACGGTGAAATTAGCGTAATGTTTGAAATCATATATAGACCGGTAGCCATTGATTTATCGGTGTTAAAGTTGCAACCGTTTGGTGTTAAATTTATACGGGTCCGTAAAAATGTGCTACCGATGTAGTAAAACTTTACTACCAAACATTTAGTATTTATATGTATAACGTATAACGGTAGAACGGTATAACATATCAGTACCACTTTCGCATGGTCATATAAGAATACCATTTGGTATTTAATACCAGATTTCTAAGAGTACGAACTTACGTATCAATTCCTTATCGAAGCCCACCATCCACCTGAACAACGTCACCATTTCATTCCTTCTGAGATAAATGCCAAGCATGGCTTCAAAATTGAGGTAGTAAGTAGAAGGCATGAAACCCAGCCAGAAAATGTCCATCACATGCACCCCTAAATTTTTGTCCACTACGGCGTGGAAAAATTGGTAATATGTGTAAACAAAATATAGAACATGATGCGTAAGAAACACGGTTAAAAAAGGGAAAACAACTTTTGAATTTGATATCGCTAACATGTTGCTTTTTACATCCCAAGAAATTGGAAATAGTTTCGTGAGTTCGAAAAACTTTACATATTTTGCAATATTTTTTAAAACAGGGGACGAAAACATGATTGTGCAGAAACCTATTGTGTGATATTGAAGAATTTATTGAATTTGAGAGCTTACTTAAATACGAATATAATAGGAAGTTGTATGTTTGTATGTCAATTCAAAATAATCGGTGTACATAAAGTTATAAAGGAATAATTGTTTCTTAATTTGAGAGGCAAATTACTATTGCTCGAGGAGGAACGTGGTTTTCAAATGAAGTAGCAAAAGTTTCAAAATGTGCGAAGTATTGCAAACGTGCAATTTTGCCCTAATTTTAGAATTTGTGCATATTTAGTTAAGGTGTCTAAATAAGTTGTTTGTCGGTTTGGATATTGTTTGCTAAATTTGTACCGCTCGAGTGGATAACTAACTTTTAGGACACAGGAGAGTTAAAATTTCTCGTTTAAAGTAATTACTTAAAGTACTTACACAATTAATAATGAGGCTGTGACAAGAAAACAAAATAAATGAAGTAAATGTCCTTGCTGAGAATGTGAAATGTCATGTAAGACGTGTCGTTGTACATAAGTATGTACATGTTCAGTTATGACGGAATATTTTATGAGTTAAAATAGTAAACGGACAGACTAACCCTGCATATCTATCCCCTCTTAACCAGCAATAGATATTTACATATAAATTAATATTAACCTAAGTGTGACCATAAAAAAATCCTATGAAAAATCTCCATAGGGTACAATATTTATTTCATAACCATACATCTGGTAGCAACCAATTATCCTGTCCAGATTTACGATGGACACATTATTGCCTGTTGTTCTGTATTGGGGATATGGTGTAGGAATTGCATGGATATGGGAAAGCATGAATGTACGTCTCTGATCCTAAGTACGCAAGGTGCACGCATTTCACACAAGTCTACGCATGTTTCATACCAACTTTCCTTGCACGCACTTTCGCAGCTGACTTTCTCCGCTTTCTCTCAACATCGTTATTTACTTGGCAACATTTTGATTCTAGAAAAAAAAATCGTGAAAACTATACATAAAATCATGCCACCTCGTCCATTAAGAAGATAAACTGGAATTGTGCTTAAGAAGTGTGCAAATGTCACAAAGACATCGAGGTGAGAAATAATGAACCACATTTTATATACACTTAGTCATTTGCATATCAAAACCATGTTACTCTTGGAAATCAGGCAGGTAATGATTTATCGGTATTAAAGCTGGGACCGCTTGGTAAATATATATTAAAATTACGTACACGGCTCAGTAAAAATGACAAATCCATAATGTCGTGTTATTAAGGATTTACTTATTACTTCTGTAGAGTTATGTATATATGAATACCGTTTGATACTATTTTAACACCGGATTTCTAAGAGTGTAGAATTGAGATTGACTTTTTTTCCTTGTCAACTTATAGGCACCTCGTATTCTTGGAGTGGATGGGAAGGGAGAGACTATAAAGACGGGTTAATCTTATTAGCCCCACTCCTATTTATTGTTTGCCTTTTATGTGCCGTTTGTATTATTTGGTTCATTTGCAAATGTTACAAAGAATGTGCTATAAATAGTGTTGCGGTACCGACGGATATTGCCTATCTGAGGGACAGGAGGAGTGCGATGCCTGGTGTGGCGTCGAGGTCAAGTTTTCAGTCACAGAATCGACCTATGCCTCCACCCCCCGTCGCAAGACCTTCGGCTCCCCCACTGAATGAGGTGTTGGTCCAGGAAGCGATTCTGAACAACATTGGTGATCAAACGGTCCAAAGTGAAAGCAGACAAGATTCTCCCCCGCCATCGTATAGCGAATGTGTTAATATTGATTTGCAAAATTTATAACGGATTTTATAAATATTGTTATCTAATTCTATGTATAAAGAGATTAAAAAGTATATTTTCGCTCCACAAAAGAATTCGCAATACGTGTCTAATCGTTAATCCCGTATTTTTTATTTTATACATTTTGTATGCATACATAAATAAATATTTAGATGAAATTAAACCAAGGGTCCTGCTCTAACCAAGATATTTATGCACACTGTTCGGTGACGATTAACACCGGGTTTTTAACAGTGTAATAATGAACAATTAAATTTCCAGGATAGTTAACCTGTCCAGATTTGCGATGAGCACATTACATTTTGTGCAGTATTGGGGTTATGGTCGTGCCAAATGCGTGGACATAAAGCAACACGTTGTGCGAAGCATGAATGTATGTAAGTCGGATGCACGCATTTCACATTTACACAACCCTACGCATGTTTCATACCAACTTTCGCAGCTGACTTTCTCCACTTCTCCGTCAACATTATTATTACACTCACAACGTTATCATTCCCTCAGATACTATCGTAAAAACTGGCTGAAATCATGTGTACCTTGTCACCTCTTCTATTAAATAGATAAAATGGAATTGTGCAAAAGTGCCAGCGTCAGAAGGACATTATGGTGAGCCCTTAGCCCATGTTTATTGACTACTGTTACAAATCAGGTATTGATTTCTCGGCATGTAAGCTTCTACCGCATGGTATTAAAATCACACAGGTCCGTGTATAAATTTTTTCCTTACAGATATGGTAATACTTTAATACCGAGCTAAATATTAGGTATTAGTCAGTATTACTTATCAATACGACTTGAGCAGAGTCATACATGAATACCGCCTGGTATTTTTTAACATTAAATTTCTAAGAGTGTTCTTGTCACTGATTTGGCTGTTTCTATTGTTTTCTTTGTAGTCAGTTTGGAATACGAGGCATTATCCTCGCTACGGTCCCACAGAAACACATGGAAAGGAAGCGGCAGTTTTTATTATCCCGGTTCTGTTTTGTATTTCTGTATTAGGTTTAATTGGTTTAATTGGCCTCATTTGCAAGTGTTACAAGCAATGTTCTACTAGTGCCGCAGTACCGACGGATGTTGCCTATGCGATGAACAGAAGGAGGACAGGTGCTGCACCGTCGAGGAATCCGAACATTCGGCCGACTAGGCCACAAAATCGGGGTGTGCCCCCACCCCCCGTCGCAACACCTTCTGCTCCCCCGCTGAATGAGATGTTGGTCCAAGAAGCCATACTGGATGAAAATGTGGGTCAAGAATGTGACCAAACGGTGCAAAGTGAAAGGAGGCAAGATACCCCTCCGCCATCTTATAGCGAGTGTGTTAATATTGAATTGTTAAATTTGTGAGTGATTTGATGAGTATGCTTAAATAATTCTAAGTATATTAAGAGATGAAAATGTTCTATTTTCGATGAATAAGAGAATATGTAATTAAATTTATATATATAATCGTCAATTCCGCATTTTTTTATTTTGTACATTTTTTACACATAATGATTTAGATGAAATTAAAATGTGTTCGGAACACTGACACATATTTATGTATTAATGACGAACAGGTTTTGTATACATGAAAACTTTGTATATCGAATATGTAGATAATTGGTTACATACATATTTGCATTAAGATTGCTCGTCTCATTTTATTCCATGCAAAACACTCACAAAACTAGTCACCAAAATTATCTACTAATTATGCTCGAAACTTTTCATATAAATTTGTACATATACGAGTACATTTTGCTGTTTTTAAATAGCTCCGTCACCATCGTAAATATTTATGACTAAACACAGAGTTGTTTCAACATTTTATTTTATTACTAAAACAATTAACTGTTTGGTAAGAAAAATATTATTGCGTTAATTGAATTTGTGGTTGACAAATTAATTCATATTTTATTTTATATATTTTTTTAAATATTTACGTTATAAAAATTTTGATTGATTAATATCAAGTAATAATTCTAACGCTTTCGTTTGCATTGACAACTTTTTGAAAAATATTTATATAACAAGTTAATTATGAATACATGATTCAGGGTGACGAACGTACAGACATTTCTGGTAACTTGATTTTTTAGCAATACTGGAAACAAGATATGGTCCACAAACGCGCTGGTTAACTTTTCCCTAAAGGTTAAACATTTCCACATATTTGTGGCTGTCACATCAAAGACGTCACGAAGTATCCGATACAGCATAAAATTTGGCGTCGCTGGGAAAGCAATCGTTTGAAGACCCTGCATTAATTGCTGAACAAATTTCACATAATTGTGTATGTATTAGTGCCGTTGCTCATTTGCGCTCTTAGAAAACCAGTATTAAATAATTACTGACTGGAGTACGTATGTACTATGTACGTATCTTACTCTACCGACATGGTAATAACGGTCATTATATTGTTGTATTGACAAATTTTTCACAAACTACTAATCCAGTACGGAATCCATATGTATGTGACTCTATCAGATTTTTAACAGATTTTTGTACTAACCTGGAATGTATTATCCGCGAGAAAGATAGCATTCGACCACCAGTGGAACTCCGCCGGGATTACGTAGCGTTCAAATATTTGTCGGTAAACTTCCCTCACGGATTTCAGATCTGGTTGGAGGGCAATGTTGTATTTGTCTTCGATGCCTAAAACGTATCCCAGGATGGCCCATAGATGGTTGAAAGCCCACAGGTCGTCCTCGCTTGGGCGCGATATTCCAAACCGTTCCGGAAAGAGGATGGGATATCCGACAAAGGCGAATTGTGCGAGGTTAAGAGCGTGTTGATTGAAGGGTATGAAATTACTGGTTTCCTCAAAATTTGGATGAATACCGCGTTCGCTCAGCGGGATGTTTGATTCTTCAAGATCCTTATGAAAGGATGACCACGTTGCGACTGGGGTATAGTCAGAATAGTCACTTGCATTTAGAATAATTCCATCGCGTGAAAATTTATTTGATATGGCTTCCGCAATTTTTAAATGCAGCGTCCTCACTCTTTTTAGACTGTAATAATTAATAACGTATGAAGGTTAACCAATTTATCTCGATTTGCACAAAAACTTTTCTCGAACCTAGTGAAAACATCGGTTGGATGACTGCCTAGACGAGACCCCCACAGACCTTCGTCATACCACGACATTATTTCAGTAAAAGTTGATAAGTAACGTTTAGTAGCACCTTCCGGGCTGGATAAGCGTCCAGTAAACAGTAAGATATTCACTAAATCCGGATGCGGCATGGTTGTCAGACCAAATGCGTGACATATGCAGATTGAGAATAGGTTATCTCGAGCAAACTTTTGCCCTCGTTTCGCCAAACTGACATCAATCCAGTCCGGCATAGAAAAGCGTTGTGTAATTTTAGCTTGTGGAATTGAACGAGCATTTTTAAAATCTTCTAATACCCGCTTTAAATCGAAGTCGGAAGAGCTGTAATAGTAAATAAATAAATATTTTACAATAGTTTGATAGAATTCCATCAACACACATCCTTAAATTAAAGAAATCTTACAAAGAAGAACTAATTTTTGTTGCGGGAACGAACTCCATATCCTAACTTATTTTCACCCTAAGATAAAATGATCACATACTTATGGTAGACAAATTCATATAATTTCTTTCGCAATGCTGGAATGGCGTTGAAAAAAATCCAATTAAAACAGGGTTACCAAAATATACATATATACTTTTAGTGTTTTCTGAATATTTTTTGCTCTACTAAAGACAAAAAATATGTATTCGTTGGGTTTCAATTTTCAAAATCGGGACAAATTAATTATACGCAAACCTTGTGTAACAAATAAGTAACAAATAAGTATTCGATTTGAATAAGAAGTTATTCGCCAAGGAAAAGTGCCGTTAAAAAAATTATATCGCATGGTCGCACACTGGTCAGCTCCTTTTTATGATAAAGTACTAATTAGTTCGTTAGGATAATGTCCCAATATGTATAACAGGTACCAACAAGGCATAGGTGTGTCCAATTTTTCCAACCTAAGTAATTACACGACTTACATAATGTACCTCAAGCAAATAAATTATGTGAGAAAACTATGCTATATTTCATAAAGATAATATGAGAGATATGTTGGTATATAGTCAGAAAACAGGATGTCGGGCGAATTTCCATAATAAATTATGGGTATGTATATGCACGTACCCATTCGCAGGTTATTACGTAGGTTCATATAATTCAGATATGTTTGGCAAAGTTGAGACATATTTAGCTGTTCATTTTGTAAAAACCTGCGCAACGCAAATTCCATCGAGTCGAATTAAATAATCCAATTAACTGGTCTAGACAAGGTCAAAGACTGGTTTATCCGTGAAGGCTAGCCAACAATGGGGACTCAAACCATGTTCAACCAAGATTATTTTCTGACCAAATTAGTTAGAAAGATAAACTCTATAGAAAAAAAAACATTTAGTGCGGCACTTCCGCTGACGCAGCAAGTTTTGAGCGCCAATAACTTGCAGAAATTTTCGTATCTGCAAGTGTATAAATGTTGTTTCCGAAAGTTTGTCCTTCAAACTAACATATGCGAAAAAATCTGGGTTGAACATGGTTTGCGTCCCCATTCAATGCGTGTGAAATTTCCACAGCTCACTGTGAAAGGAGCCTCCGAGCTCGGATGTTCAACCAAACCACGGTATTATTTCTGAATCGCGACAACTTGCATTCAAATGTACGCTAGAACTAATGGTGCTAGTCACCTCATTTGAATATTTTAACTAATTAGCGGAGGACATAGAGTTGTTCAACGTGGAAAGCCTGTATCGCCAAAAATGAGCATAGTGAGATTTATGCAAATGAAATAACAATCAATTCCACTGTAGGCAATTACTCTCCAAACTAACAGCAAGAGATTGACAACTATTTTAAGTATAAATTTATTCACATTTTGTTTTATGCATTTTTTCCAAATAATGTTTAATTTCATATAAACAATCAGGACTTAATTAATATCTAGAGGCATATATTTATTCACAGAGGCCTTAGAGAAAACAATAATCCTTTGTGAAAAACTGCTTAAATGTAATTACTTACAAACCACGCATTTTTCTATAGAAAAATCTAAATTGAATATAAAATGGTCGATTTGCAATTTTAACTACTGTACGACGTAAACGTACACGTGATCCTAAATGAAACTAAATTTAATAGTCTTACATTGTCAGACATCTAGTACTAGATTTCTGACAATGTAAGACTGGCAATAGTGGCTGCATAAAGGTGGTATCTCAACGGAAGCCACACCCCCTATTATTAGCACCATTGAAACCTCCAAAATTCGGGGAAAATGATTTTTCTGCATATTCTATGGTCCTCTAACACATATGTACTTGAAGGACTTCAAAAACATCGATTTTCGACATCAGGTCCATTACCATAACTCATGGAGTAACCCAGTATTAAAATGATACCAAGCAGTACTATTTTAGCATATATATGTATCAATCTATCAAACCGATATTGCTCAGTAATACCGCATAGTAATAGCTCGGTATTAAAATTTTGCTATATCGGTAGGAAATATTTACGTACCAGTACAATCTTATACTTAGCGGTAGCAACTTTAATACCGAAAAATAAATACTTTTCTGACTATACCATGTTTCTATCAGTCTACTGATACACCACTTTTGCTAAAAAAGGATTCTCATTAAATGACAAGTAACTCAATTCTCTCCTCCCCCTTTACCAACCTTATCAACTTTCTCACTATCCCCCAACCACGCCAAAATTCCCTCCTCCCAATCTTCCCGTGTGGGTGCGATTTCCTTAATTTTGATCAATTTTCTCCCTTTCATTTTCCCATTTTCTGGATACATCCGGTCAAGACATCGCTTATACACGGATTCGCATAAGTAACAAATTTTACTGGGGTCTGGCTCCTCACGCTTCGTAAAACTGGGGGCTACCTTGTCAACTATCAGGTCAAGTATTTCGCTACTTGGTTGCGCAACCTCGTCCCACGTGGAGGTTCCCTTAAGCACAAAATTTTTCACAATTTGCTCCATTTTTAGGTCAGAAACATGGTAGAATTTGAACGGTAGCGTGTTATAGTCTTCTTTAAGAAATCGCATGTGTTTATCCATTTCGGTGACGGACATGACAACGAGGGTGTCACCCTGTATTAGACGGTGCAAGTAGGAGAAGATAAGCTGGAATGGATTATCAACTGAAAAAAAGATCGAATAAATATATTATTGCGGGTATTTATTACTCCATCGTATATGTATTTAACATTGAGACATTTCACGTCAGCCTTGATAAATCTGCAACCATATAGCCTTACGAAGCTCAGTGTACGAACCAAAAATACATCTTTTTATGAAAAAAGAATTCCTCCACCATAATATTGACATGAAGAAATAATGAATACCTTCATTGTCTTCGAAATAAAAATACATTTACGCATCCTGAGAAAAAATTTTGACGGGTTTCCTGCAACAATTTGTCCTACTTTTGTGTAGAGAACTTTAAGCAAACTTGTGCAGAATTGCGCAAATTTGCATATACAGTTCTGCAGAATAAAACTAGTATATATTCATGTTTTCTACAGGATTATGCAAACAAAATTATGTACAATATCCAGCATCCAGCTTGTATCAATTGCTGCAGAATTCAGGAGTGCTTTCTCCTTAAGACATGCATAAACATTACATAAGATATGGCAAGGATATATGTATGCAATTTGGTTATGAATGATATTCAAAACAATCTTACAATCGCAACAGATGTCCCGGTTTGATGATGATTCATCAATATCCTCCAAGTAAATCATGGAATTCTGCACAAGTTGGGCGTCCTTTATACACCGTATGGCTACGTAGTTACCATAACTACAGAGTAATCCAGCATCATAAATTTGTTGCCAACGATTAGGCTTCCTCGTGCAAAAATAATTTTCCCCTCTTATTCCCAACTCGTACTTAAGGGCTGCCACCAAAAGATTTTTCGCCACTTTGTCCTCACCATAAAGAACAAGGCCGAATGGGATTTTGTCCCTTATTTGACCCGAGTTGCGATATAAGGCCCGATTCAGAAATGGAGTTACAAAATGTTTTTCCAGAAAGTCGATATGTCTCGAATAATTAAACCCTTCCATTTTCCGCAAACTTGTAAAATCCGGTCCTGCACAGTGAATCTTTGGTGGGCTTGGGATAAAAATTGAGCAAATCTTATCCCACAAATCTCCGAGATTGATGACGCGGTCGATTACAATAAGCAAGCTGAAAATGAATATGACGGCTACTAAGAGCCAAGCAAGCCGGGAAGATATTATCCAGCCGTCTTGTGGGGGTGGGACGCCTACATAAAAGGAGAAGCAGGAGATTAAATTAATTAACCACGTTTTAACCAATTACATAATTTCTGGAATATTTAAACATGTTGCGAAATGTTACTTACATTGACAATTTGAAATGTTGTTGTAACTGGTCGAATTCGTGGTAAACGATGCAGGTGGCATTTTTCAGTTTATTTTAATAAATATGTAGGTAAAATTGAATTTATTGATATTAGCGTGGAAATGGAATTCCAATTTTTATTTTCCAATGATGTATACTGTCAAGTATTTATTTTCTTTGGATAATGTGTGAACAAATGAGAAATAAATTTGCAAAATAATATGAAGAGTTGAATTTTAGTATGACCTTATTTCTTCCGAACCGCGTACAAGTTTATTCAGAATATTTAAAGAGGGTTAATTTTAGAACGAATAATCTGACGGGATGGAAGGGGAGAAAAGCACGCTGGAGAATTTCTATTTTTGGCTTCTGGATAGATCCATGTGTTTGTGCATATGTAAATGCGTCCCTAATATGTAAGTGTGCAGTGGATGCCAGGGTTCCTGAGGTACATATCTACACATTTTTTTTAAGTTAAAACACAAACCAAGTCTGACTTCTTAGATAATATCTGCTGTACGTTGAGTAACATTTGAAGTTATAAACTGGTTGTGTAAATTTTATCATATTTGGGGCAAAACATTGCCCAAAGTTGAGCTTATCTTTTACAATGTTGGACAAGTGTTAGGAAGAACGAATTTTGCCACCCAAATTTTGCTCAACTTTATTCAAACTGTAAAAAACATTCAAATACGCGTATTTATTTCGACCAATACGAATCTACATAATTACATAAATTCTGAAACGAAAAAAAAAACTAAAAGCTGACCATACATACTTCGCTCGGAACAACACTATACGTGTATACCTATTTACAAAAGCCTTACGATTCAAAGAGTAAAAGGAAACCGTTTCACTCGCACCATGAAATCCAGACAGATGAGCTTGATCGGAAGAAAATAAGTACTCTTCATTCGCACGCAGTTGAACTTTTACAGAAATTGAGAATTCTGAGATACTACGGTACTGTGGGTCTCAAACTCCCTCAAATTATTCTGACCTTGAGACTAGTTTCTAGTGTTGATGAAAAATGCGAATCGTGGAAGGTTGCGGGGTCAATGTGGGAGTGAGAAAGCGAACCAGTGAGACGGAAAAAAGCTGAGCTCGCGGTGGACATTGAAAAAGCATGCGTTTTTGCGAACTTGCGGCGCCAATAACGTGCTGAATTTTGCGCATCTGCGCAAGTGCCTTACCAAAAGTTGTTTCTAAAGACTTGCTCTTTCAAACTAACATGATCAAAAATAATCTGGGCTGAACATGGTTTGCGTCTCCATTGTCAGTTCGAATGAAGTCTACACAAATAAATTCATCCTCTGCATAAATATATACTTTTGGCTTCAACGCTATTCATTCCTTCCATGCATATTAATTTTACCAATGTTTCCCCCTCCTCCATTCACAAACCTTATTCTTACTAAATACTAAATACATACTTGTAAGTATGGGTACATACACACATGCATACATAAATATATCTAGAATAAGCTGAAGCTTTAATACAGTAGAATAATTTTCTTAGTGGCATCAACTAATTGTGAGTAGATATATACATACATACTTGCAAAAATATCATATATATGTGCATATTTAGATGAATTTACATGCACTTTTCATCTGTACGTACATATGTACGTATTTATGTATCCCATGCAAATGTGAACCAACCTAAAAATACGTATGCAAAATATTTGATGTATGCACCTACATACTTTGTACTGTTATCCTGTTTAATGTAAAATTTAATATTCCATTAAATTAATAATTTGTTAAAACAATTATTTTAGCAGATACATAAATAGGTACTTGAAAATTGTCAAAAATTCCAGAATTCCAAATGCTCGCTCCGAGAGAAGGAACGACTCCTCTGGACAGGAAGCTTGGGGGATGAAGGCTAGGACAATTGGCACTTGCTCACCAGACCACTCTGGTTGCATTAAGGCTGATACGATCGGAAAGTTCTGAGCGAGTGGGGCTTGTATTAACGTAGGATTAGGTGACTCATCGTCACAGGTCTAAAAATCTGAACATATTTACGCCTTTCTCCGTTCTGGGAATTTATTTTTAAATTCCATCAGATCAATTTGTAGACCAGATCAGTACCAATTTATTAAATATGTACTCTAGATTTTGACAAGTTTTGAAGGAGGAGACCCAAAAAGAGTGAACACCTTCAGAAAAATTGGGTCTCCTCCTTCAAAACTTGCTAAAATCTAGAGTGCATATTTTTAATAAATTGGTACTGATCTGGTCTACAAATGGATCTGATGGAATTTAAAAATAAATTCCCAGAACGGAGAAATGCGTAAATATGTTCAGATTTTTAGACCTGTGACGATGAGTCACCTAATCCTACGTTAAGCCAGGATTGTGGGACGTGGCTTTGCCATCTCGGTTTTCTACGCTGATTGCGTAACGTGATACCTATTTCCTTCACAGGGGCCGTGCATTAATTATGTAACGCAAAAATCGCGATTTTCTAGACCCCTTCCTCAATTCAACATGTGTCACAACATCACTGGAGCCAAAGAATCCCCTCCCCCTCCCGCGTTATGAAATTTTTGCGCCCCTCCCCCCATACTCCTTAAAATCCGATCACACTACGAAAATAGCATCTTGAAACATATCATTTTTAAGCGTCTTTGAAAATTGAGTGTTACCGAAGTTGTTAACCTACGAAGTTTAAAAAAATCATAGCTACCAGATTATAACCATGATGTCTAAGGTTTGCTTCCACAGATTTAGGTCCAAATCCGTATCCTTCATGTCTATGTCTTTGAAGTATTTATTGTTTCATCCTCGTGTATAAAATAAAACATGCGTTCTTCATAGTTAATGTTAATTATTTTTGAAAAATGCTGAATCCACACAAAATTAATATATATAATTGCAATTTCCTATTTCACAAATGTAAATTTACGGATGAAGACCTTAAATTTTACTTTGTAAACCTATTCTACTTATTATTGGGCGATGATCCGCCACCTCCCGCATTTCCCCACTCATTTTTAAATCTTTCAAACATTTCCATAGTTCCAGCTACTCCATCAATTTGATAATTGTTATGCGCAAGAAACCCCGCAAATTGACACATTATTCCCAAATGTGGGAACAGGCGAATAATAGTTGCACAAGTTGCTTTCGTTGTGGGATGATTAGATCCAAATATCTGAACCTGTTTGGTATTCAAGTCTGTCAATATTTTAAAAGCCTCGTTATATTTTCCCTGTTTATAAAGCTCATTTGATAATAAGATCTTAGCGTCTTGCATCAGCGGATGTTCGTCACTGAACGATTCGGATAACTCTGCAACAAGTTCTTCAACCATTTCACCAAGCCAAACGTTCTCTGGATCATTTCCACATAGGCGAAGAAGGCTAAGCTGTGTAGTCCCTTGTTCGATTGTTAACTCGCATTTCATATTAGTATCACGCGACAAAACTTTGTCTTGAATTTGTTCATAAACCTCCCATGCTTCCTGTTCATGACCTGTCCAGGAAAGTCCGAAAAGGTAGAAATTTTCGAGAAGAACAGTCATTTGGTGGTTTTCGCCAAAAACCTTCTTACTAGCAGTGCACAGTTGATGCGCCAATTGCAAGAAGTCAGGAACTGGAGTATGATCGCTTGTAACAACGCCCTTGGATAAAATTTGAAGAATGTTATACCCCGTAGAGATTGTGAGCGGATGATTGATCCCAAGAATTTCAGTCTCCTTCAGGAACAGATAATGATAAAGGTGGTACGCCGCTGAATCTTTGCCGGCAGACCAAAGTGCTTCACAAAATGCATTTCCCATCGTCCAAGTCGCTAAGGTGTAGTCGTCCCATTTTGGCTCTAGCTCACCTCGCAGAGCTAGCATTCTGTGGTAATTTCTTCTTCCTAATTCGTTAGCTTCTAGGTATAAGTGATGCTTATGTAACGTTCGAGTCACCCAGGTCGGGAAGTAGCGAAACTTGCCTATGATTTCGGCATAAGCTTCGCCATATTTCCAAATGCTTGCAATGTGTGGGATGTGAGATTTCGGATTTGACTCGACACCCTTCTCAGCCATATGATGGAAAACTGATAAGACTTTTATTAACCAGGTGTCCTCAATAGGTTTTATTTTCAATCTGATTATCTCCTGGACTAGGCGGTGAACACTGATGGCACGTTTCGAGGGAAGTTTACACATGTTATACTTCCTTAAGAGTATGATAGACCTCTTGATGTCGTCTTCCGGTATGTATCGCAAATTTTCTTGGTGTAAGATCGGGATCATCGATGTCGTCACAAAGTCCACGGGGACATCATCACTTTCGCAATAAGCGAGAAAATCCAGTAATTCGCATGCAACTTGACCAATTCCTTCCACGGCTTGAATAACTTTTAAAGTTGTGTTCCACGTGGACAAAGTCGTGAGAGTATAGTCATGCTTGATATCTTGGATTTCAAACCCCAATAATGTGGCTTTCTCGAGGGTGTAAATTTCCAAATATTTTGCAATACTGAAATCCTCTAAAGTTTCGCTATTTTGTTCACGAATGTAACCCACGGCTTGGTTAATTGCAAGTGGGAAATTTTGCAAAAGTTTGCAGAGTTCGAGCACTACAGTTTCGTCTTTCGAATCCTGAACATCTTCCAGATTTGAAGCGATGAGATGAGCAGCATCTTCTTCTGAGAGGACGTCTAAGGCTACCACGTTTGACCCCGGCAGCACATCTGTGTATCTGGTTGTCAAAATAACCACCGGTTTTAATGGGAAGTAGGAAGTGAAGTTTTTGAAAATAGATTTCATAGGGTCACTAATTTTTTCAATGTTGTCGATAATCAGGAGCCATTCTGTGCCTTTGAAGAATTGATGAATCAGTTTGAAAATATCCGGCAGAGGGAGCTGTTTCTCGTTGTGACTAATTGTCGAAATTTTTAACGTATTTTGCGCGAATTCTACAGCTGATCTGGCAAGTGTATCGTCGTCATCGCCATGAAGCCAGACGACGCTGGTTCCTCTCCTGGTGAAAGTTTGAATTCCGAACTGTTTTGCCAACTCGGACTTTCCCATGCCTCCCATGCCCGTGATGACGATAAATTCTGCCTCAGTGGGACTCCTCTTGGTTAAAATGGTCTCCAAATCGGTCAGATTTTTTTCTCTTCCGTGAAATTTGGTCGCGCTGTCGGAAACATTGTACAGAATAGGAAGGGTTACCCCGGAATTGAAATAATTTTGCAATTTTTCTTTCATTGCCTTCGCATCTGGGCGATCGTTTGGGTTTATTGTTACCATTTCTTGTACAAGTTGGTGCTACGGAGTGAAACTATTTATTAGTCAGCAAATAAAATTATAAATATATGAAGTGGTAAAATATATATTTCGTAAGGTCCCACCTCGAACGCATGCGCATCTTGAAATCCAGCAGGATAAACCTGCAACCTGTTTAACTTATCTATCGTTCCTCGTCTAGTTTTTGGATCCAGGTAGATGAATAATTCAAAAGCGATAATTCCAGCGGCATATATGTCCAGTTTACTGTCAAAGGGGAAGGGATTATTGACATCTCGGAGGTTGTCCGTCTAGAAATATTAGTATACGGAATAAGTAAACATTGAACTAATTACAAATATTTCTTAATTTATGTAAAATTTCTATAAATAATGAATGAATGAATGAATATTTATTGATATCCATTTGAGGCCGCTTACGGGCCCATGAATGTACAGTCATATACAAGCATATATATGTTATCATGAGTTCAAATAAATTGAATGAAGTGCGTGGATATATTCACGCACATTATTTATAGAAATTCCGAATACTAAAAATTATTTATTATTATTATTCAATTTAATTGAATATGTGAACATTGACTATTGAATATTACACAATTAAAAATTTAATAGTCAAGGATCACTGCTTGTACCCTCCATTTTGGAAGAAATTAGTGTCAATCGATCATATATAGATTCAACTAATATAATTTTTTTGTGCTTGTTTTAAAAGATCAGTGACAAAGAATTTACACATTTGCATACCTTTACGGGACATTTATACAGCTCTGTTCCACATTCTCTAGCCTTTCCACTACTATTTTCACTGGAATCCTGGTCGTTTCGCTGCGTATACTCGTCAACAACGTCCTCACTTGTAAGGTCGATACTGGCCAGGCCGAAGTCCCCAATTTTAAGGACCAACTCTTCCTCGATTTCTTGACTATTGTTTTCTGTTTTTGCAGAAAGGAATATATTTTCTGGCTTTAGATCTCTGTGAATAACCCTTTTTGAGTGAATGTACTCCAACCCATTTATAATTTGGGATAGGAAAACCATCACGTTTTTTCTCTCTTCATGTTTGTCCAGCCAAACTCGAAGTGTATGGTTTGGACAGTATTCTTGCTGGAGGTATAAGTGGTAGGGGTTAGGACCGTAAAAACACCTTGAATCGACACACGAGTCCGAACCTGTGTCCACGTCGTCTTTGCTGTCAGGAGATAAATAAATTTTAGAAATTGGACTATTTTGCTGCTCCACTGAAAAAAGTTATTGTTCGAAATATGGTCAAAATTGTCCAATAATGAATTACACTCTTTGAAATTGCATATTAAAGCATAAAAGCGATATTCATATTTGAATCTACCAAAGTGGGATTAATAAGTAATTCAATGTAGTACTACATACATACATAGCTCGGTATCAAAGTTTTATAGCAAATTTTTCTGGACTCAAGTTATTTGTGAACTAAGGATTATACATGTTTGTTTTACATACTATTCTGCGTAGAGAGGATCATTTTCTTCTATCCAGTCTTCCGGGGGACGTTCAATCCAAGCGTTAAAATATCTGACGATATTTTGATGCGTTAAACGAGACAATGTCAAAACCTCGAGCTGTACCGCGTTGTGGTATTTGATTCTAAATAGAGAACAAAAGAAATTTAGTTTGGATGGAAGAACTAATGATTGTGAGATTAATGACAATTAATTGTAACAGATGTACTCTTACAAATCGAGTATTAAAATAATACCAAGTGGTATTAATATGTATATACGTACACATGTGTACCATATGAGTCATATGAATCTACCAAAGTGGTATTAACGTTTATTTAGCTCGGTATTAAAGTTTCATACCGGTGGCAAATTTGTACTGCCCGATATGATTTTAAAACAAAACGATAGCAACTGTAATACCGAGAAATCAATACCTGCCAGACTTTACCAGATTTCTAAGAGTGTAAACTTTTACGTGACTCACTTTTCCGGTAAACTAATCCTTTTTACGGCGTAGAGCATACCATCAATTCCTTTCTTGGCTAGAAAAACGACTCCAAAAGTTCCACTTCCAAGAACACTGATGGGATGAAAATCGACGAGGTATTGAGAAACAAAAGTTGTTGTAAAACTTCCGGAATTTGAAAGCTTGGATGCAGAAGCCGCACAGGAATTGGTTCCGGTTGACATTTGAATATTATGGAAAAATTCTAGGATTAATGCATACGAGATTGGATAAGTTATTACATTAAAAGAATTATAAAGTGTAATTGGATTAAGGATATTCTTCTAATTGTAATGATGCCGTACTTGTTTTATAATTAAGTCCGTAGTAGATATATATTTGAAACAATTTACTATAACAATTTAACAAAACTACTTATTTGATTATATGTAACGTATGCAAATGTTTCAGCTTATTTGAATTTCTCCTGTCGTAGTTATTTAGTAATGGACATACATACATATGTATGTTTTCTTTGCAGCTGTGTTTAATGTGTGGAGAATTTAACTGAATGGGGATGCCATCGAGCTGGATGCGATATACAGCAAAACAAACGGGTTCTACATACCAGCAGAGATATGTAAGTCATCCTCTTACCCATAATGACGCAATGAAGCGTAACATAAGTAGAGATGTGATCATAGATGTGATCAGAGATGTGATCAGAGATGTGATGTGATCATCTCAACTTTAGTGAGGTGTGTCACTTTGTTTGATTCTGATTTGAAATGGCACAAGTTCTTAACCCGACCAAAATCATGGGTTACAATGAGTATTCTGATTTCAGCATTTGATTATTATTGTAGCTAAAAATGCATTCATGCACACATATGTACATACCGTAAATACTCTATTTATAGCCGGGTCTCAAGCCAAAATTTGAAAAATTTAATAAACTTGCCTCTAATTATGACATTCTATTAATTTGTATTCTGAAATACTGCCAGTTATGAATGACCGAAAAAAAATTTGCCGGATCTCAAATAATACCCGGTTATTAATTATAGCCAGATCTGTGCGGAGCTTAGACCCGGCTATAAATAGAGTATTTACGGTATTTAAGTTTCGTTTATACATGATGCTGGTTTACGATAATTTTCTTAGTGGTAGGGTCCCTACCGTAGGGAGCTAATAATTTTTGATAATAACTATATTTATCTATGTATTCATACTTAGGTACATATGTATATACTCGACAATATACATGCATTGTCGGCCGAAAAAGGAGAACATGCCCCCAAAACTACAGTGCTAATGTCCCCATATGTCTCCTCAACTTCCGCCATCACTGTACTAATTGAAGGGTAAATGATTATAAATATTGTTTTTGACAAGTTTTGCTTTACTTTGTCCACTCCACTCCAATTTTGTAGATATACTTGATCAGCTATTCACATAATTTATTGGACCAAATTTATTTGATTGTTTTAAAACGAATGGAAACCAACAACTGACGAAAAGTTCAAATATTTTTTTACCAAAACTTACATATTTATTAATTTAGAATTAAATTTAACATGGGATTTTTTTTCTTTCGACGAATTGGTCATCAATTTTATTGATAATATTGCAAAAATTAATAAACAGTCAGTTTAATATTACCCTAGATTTTACAAATATCTAGGTACACACTATGTATATTAGTTTCGCAATTGATTCTTCATTTTTTGCATTGAGTCAACTTATTTAGGTAAACGTTTATACCTTTTGCTTGCCTGACCAAGAAAAATGCGTGAACTCTAGGTTTCAGTAAATATTAAAGTTATCGATTAAGAACAACGATGATGTGAAAAGACAAAACAATTGCAATCAAAAAGAGTTTAAACATTACAAAAAACCTAATTGCAAATTCTTTATGAGCGAACAGAACCAAACCACAAATTCAACAGTTCTATAAGAGAAAGAAAAATTTTACATTTATGCATGCAATTGGAGACTAAAAACTTCTTTTGTGAATTAGGTAAATTTGAATCGCTGCCAAATTGGACTAATCATATTGGCAGGATTTAAAACAACCAAATTTACTTATTGCAAATTATACAGAACCGAATGGTCAAAATTATTAACAGTTAATTTGCCGAATCTCAAATTCTCATTGTCCAAAAGTTTGGTTTTGGCAACGATCCATAGATCACGTTAAAGATAGCCATACATACATGAATATGTATAACTATTCGTCCTTATCAAACTGCTTATCAAGCTCAACGTACATGTGTATGCATTTAAAGCTGCGTGACGATAGCTTTGTGTACATAAATGCACAAGACATACTTATTATATCACTGTAGCTAAACGATGGAGCGCATCGCCTCAACTTTAATACATATGCATGTAGGGTTGCCGCGGGTAGCGAAAATGCTACCCGTTACCCGACCCGCTACCCGCAGCAGAACTACCCGTACCCGCACGGGTACCCGTGCGGGTACCCGCTACCCGCTACCCGTTATGAGAATTAAGTTAAAAACTAACCAAGCTTCAGAATAAATTTGATTTGATCAATTATTTCTTCGTTTTGGTTTATATGTACTTTGAGATAATGCTATGCAAGTAACGCATGCCATAATTTGCTCGTAGATGTCTTACGTTATTTCCGAAACCAAACTTTTTGGCTTATATTGGATCGTTTTTCAAGTTATACCGGTATTTCTTAGCGATTTATGAACATATGTCAAAAAATTAAGTCACAAAATATGAATTACATGACACTTATTTTTCCGTTGAATGGCCCATTTAGAGGAAACTATTGCTGGGGCAGAGTTCAAAGTCCACCATGGTTTTCGTCCAGTGGAGGAAAAAGACACAGAACACTTACTTAAAAATTGAACTTTGCCGCTAATATTTGTCTTCGAAGGGGCCATTCAACAGAAAGATGAGTATCACGCGATTCCTAATTTTTTACCTGACTTTTTGATATTCGTTGAGCAATCTTGGTATAGCCTGAAAAAGGTTGAGTTGTGAGTTTGATTTTTTCAAATTTTAATTTAGATGAAGTTTTCATTCAAAAAAATTGTCTGCAAATAATTTTTTGCTTTCAATCGGATTCAGGCTTTTCATCTTCAGAGCACAAATTAAAACGTGGTCAGTCTTATAAGACTGACGTCCTTATGTACTTACCCCTAAAGACACACAAATACAAGTCAAATTATTACTTGTATTTTAGGGCAGGCAAACTATGCTTGAGAAACAATAATTGACCATTTTCTGGACGTGAAAAGTATTTGAGGCTGGCATAGGCTTGTGTGGCTTCCGAAACGTGACGCTAGCTATAAACGCTTTTTGCTGGCAAATGACAAATTTTGAAATGGAAAAATAATAAATTGACGCTACTGTTGGTAAATGGACTAACTTGCTGCGAACTTTCTTTGTGAACTGATTTATGTAGAAAATTAAATAAAAACTGAACTACCCGTTACCCGTGCGGGTAGTTCTCACTACCCGCAGGTAACGGGTACCCGCAAGAATCGTGCGGGTATGCGGGTAACGGGTACCCGACCCGTTACCCGCGGCAACCCTATATGCATGCAAATTTATTTCAAACATGAATACATGTACTTGCACTGACTGGGGTTTGGGGGGGAGGTCACATGTAGATACACGTGCATCTAATCAAGTTTGACACTTGGTCGCGTACGCGACCCCTAATCTTTTGTCACCTTGACATTAGCAGAACAAAACAAGCTGGAAATTTGTAAGATACACATGCAAATGTGCATCGAATTTAAAAAACCTTCTTTCAGGTCGAATTAATAGCGACTCCAGGACTAGACTCGTTTAACCAGACCGTCATCTTTCGTATTATGGGGTCATCTCCAATTCCAATTTCCGCGTTTTGCAGTTTTTTAGTGAAGGTTAAAAATTGGGCCACGTTTGATTGAAAAAAACATACATTAGGCCGTAAGATGGTAATATTTTTTACATTTATCATTTCAATAATACTGTCGGAATCCAGATATCCCGACATGTCAACGCAAGTTTCTTGAGTTTCAAGAAATATGTCGAAATCAATAGTCAAAACTACGACGCCGTCTTTCATGGCGTCGAAAATGTCATATATGTCACGAGGTGATAAGCCAGAAGCTTGAAAAGACAGACTGTAGCCAGGTTTTCGACGACGTAAGTTTTCAATTATGCCAGAGGAGACTTCAGAAATGATCAAATTTGGTATTTTCTGGACGTCATCGGGTTGAGTTTCACTTTCTTGTTCTTTCTTGACAGGATCTAATTAAAATAGGAAAAATATGCGCATTAAATTTTCCCTTAAAATTATTAAGCCAGTACCATTCGATCTTGAAATATATAATCCCAATCCCACTGCGGCTGCCAGGACCACGAACAAACAAATTCCAGCAATTTTCCGATGTCGGATGAGTGGTTTACATAAACTAAATACAAATTTTAACGTCGTTATTAGCAAAATGAACGAAAATCTATTGTTTTTAATCTGAGAATTAAACACGTTACGTTGATAATCCATTGGCTTCCATATCTTGATTTTGGGCCTCAATTTCGTCATCATTTTCTGCCATTCGTAGGGGCGTGGTTACCGTGGCGGGTGTTTCAATTTTGAAATGAGTCTTAATTTCTCCTTCAAAATATTTTTTATGTTCAGTACATATTTCAAAGATTCCCTTGATAGATACGTTAGTTTAATTACAATTAAGACAGAAAATATTAACCTGAGCATTTTTTGTATCCCGAATCATCAAGAGATTTTGCAATAACATTTTCAATGGGTGCGGAAGGGTCGTTGAGTGCCACAAATGCCATGGCTCGCGCAAGCTTTGATGGGCTGTATTTGTTAAGAAAAAAAAATTAATGGACACTCAGTTAAATTTTGTTTACATTGATTTATGTACATAGGTATGTATGTACACTTGACTTTAAATTACTCAAGGTTTTAAAAATATCGGATACTTACCATACTAATTAACTGCACTTTTTATGACTTTTACTTGTCCACATCAAGGAAAATTCGTGAAGTTTAGAATTTATTAAGTATTAAAATCCTCGTTGAAGTCCTTAATCGTTATGTTTTAAAATAATTTAAAATTTAACGAAATCAGACTTGGTAATTTCCTATTCCGGGTGAACCGAACCAAACCACACAATTAGAGACTTTGCAGGTAAAACAAAAAATTTGTGGAGTGTATATATGTTTAGAGAGGTATAGGCACCTGTTTGAAATTAATTTAAATCGCTGTCATATTGGACCAATCAGGCAGGATTTAAGACAATTAAATTTGGCAGAATTTAAGAAAAAGTAATTTATACACTGGAAGGTATTCAGAAGTGAATGGCGAAAATTATTCGCAGTTTATTTGCCGGATCCAAAATCTTCACTGTCACGATGGTCGGTCCAGGGATCATGTTGATGATGGCCAAACTATTCACCAGTTATCAAACGGCTTATCAGGCTGCTGTGTAAACCTGCGTGACGCAAGTTTTGTGTGCTACGCGTTTATATACAAATGCAAACCATTGTACCGCTGGTGCTGAAAGGTGGAGCCCACCCGCTTCAACTTGAATGTGCATGTATAGTTTTAAAGTTGTATTTAAAAATAATGCGTATGTATGTATATGTAGCTATAAACAGTAATACTACCGAAGTTTATGTTTATATTGTACCCAGTCCACAAATATTTATTACATTAATATTATCACTGGAACCTAAAGGTGGTAAGTTAGGCATTATGGTAAAGGTGCATAATCATATTGAGATTGATTGATTAACTGCTTTCTGCTTTATTATCTCTCAATTCTTGCAGGCTTCATATAACCCATAGAGTTACGTCATGTTATTTATTAGTAAATATGTATTTGTAATTTACAAATTGTAAATGTGATGACTTGATAAGGTAGATACTTATGTACATAGTATGCGATCATTCCTTCTACTCCACATACATATAAATACATATACCCCTCCGCCAAAATGAGCTGTAAGAAAATATGTACTACTTCCTAGGTATATACATGCAAATATTAATACCATAGCAATTTTAATTTACAAGATTGGTTGAAATTTCCAAATCAAGCTACATATATTCCCTTCTGGTTAAAATTAGATCAGTCTGTTTTCAATTATTAAGCTATTTTAATATCGAGGCTATGTACATATATGTACACTATTTGTCTTAAAACTTTGTCAAGAATTTTTACCGCAAGGTATATTCAACTTTATTTGCATATGAACAAAAATTAATACTAACTTTTTTCTTTAAAAACATATCCAGTAATTTTATCAATAACATTCACATCGATCATTTTTTATAATAAATTCACTATTTTGAAATATATCCATGGCATCTCCACACGATACTTCATTAGCACATTTAACTACACCTAAAGAACTTGAAATAACGCTAAAATTTCTAATTATTCCTAGATCCTCGCTTGTAAACTTATTGCATTCAAACTCAATCTCTTGTAAACAGGGGAATTCAAATATTTCCTGAATTTCTTGATAAACTCTGGGGCAATTTTCAAACTCGACAAATTTTAGATTCGTCACATGTCTAAGTATGATCCCAGTTTTCCTCCCTAAACTCATAAATTGGCCACATCCGTTTTTTGCAATAAATGAAATTGTCCTGATTGAAGGAAATTTATCAAATAAGGCGGTATAATGACTTGGCTGTAAGGAATTGGGATAAACTTGCAAAATTTTTACATTCTCGGGACACACAATTTTAGCAGAATTTACAACAATTTTCACCACGTTGTCATCAATAATTAAGGAATTTTCGCTATATCGACAAAAATTCCAGTTGGCCGATTTCATATTAAGTCTGACATGGTTAGAGTTCCGAGAACTTTCATATGCTAAATTGCATCCGTGGGATGGCGCTTTTGGTACATTTTCAACATTTTTCATCTTAAAAGAAAGGTAAACCGTTAATATTACGAGTAGAAATGCAACTGCTATGATTCCTAAAACAATATGGGAACGTTTCCAGACTGAAATTTCTTTCCCATTTTTATTCCTGACTGGCTTCTTCTCCACGGAGTTGACATGTCCAATATCGGATGTTCTTTGATAGCCTAGTTCACGTGGAGGGATGAGAATCACTTGGAAAAACTCTGCATATTTTTGGCATAGATGAGTAAATAATTATCGAGTTAAATAAGATTTATAGAATCTTTTACCTGAACAATTGATCTCTCCTGACCGTCTTTTACCAATATTTGGCAAATTGACCAACATTGGCTGGGTCACAGGCCCGTTTGTGTTCATGACCTGCGTGGATGTGGGACATATAATTTAATAATCCTGGTTATTATGGAAAACTACGGATGAATATTGGAGGTTCCATTCTAAAACCGGGTCCGCTAGATTCTCCAGCAGGTAAATAAAGAGTGAATCCTTGCAAGTCTTGCCTGGACCTTGATGTGTTAACATGAAGTGTTTTTGTTTATCCAATGGCTTCTGATTTCAATTATCATTTATAAATCATGCATAAGATAAAGTCATACAAACTAGGCAGGTTTGGGCATACTGGTGGTTATGCAGATATGCAGTTATGGCTTTAAGTTAGTCTAAGTTTAATCAGCAAGTATTTTTTTTGATAGTTAATAACGGCCATTGATGATACACTGTTAAAAATCTGGTAGTCAAATATATACTCCGTACTAGTATTGATTTGGTAATAACTTCCAACCGGATTGGTATAACTTTGTTTATGAGTGGCAAAGTTTTCATAAGTACAGCATTACTGAACTATGTATAATGCCCGTTATTACTGAGCTGGTAGAGTGATTGTTATAAGTATCTGGTCCGGCAAGTAATATCTAATTTAAGTATCGTATTTAATTAAGTATCGTATTTATCGTATTTAATTAAGTATCGTATTTATCGTATTTAATTAAGTATCGTATTTATCGTATTTAATTAAGTATCGTATTTATCGTATTTAATTTTCTAAGAGTGTGAATTATACAACTCAACGTGGGATTTGGTAGAAGGTAATGTAACCCATTGTATGTAGCTATTGGGCATTGAATTGTTTATCTACCTGGTATTTCCAGATAAAATGGTGAATGAAAGGGGTGATAATCCATGACCAATGAACCACTTTTGAGTTTTCATATTTAACTACGGAATATATTTTATCTAACGTTATTGATATTTGCATATGTATATATTTACTTATTTAGATGCGCCTTAAATGATGAGCGGTGTGCAAAAAAGATAAATACATATTTTTCATATTAAATTTGCAAACACTGGTCACATCCTGTTGGGACCTCCAATCGAAAGCTAACATCCTTCCAAATCTGAATTCCGCGTGTTTAATATCTCCGGATTAACCTAACTGTATGACGTGTCCAACTATGTATGCACGACTAAGATTTGACCTTAGCAACCCCCAATGACATCAAAATCGATGTTAATGTGAAACCTTTTTAAATATTTATTCATCCAAGGTACTTTGAACAGGCCTATAGTTATTAAGGTATTTGCGAAACAAGAATTATATATATATATGTATATTAAACTAGTTTTATTAGTTAAATTTCAAGTATTAAAAGCATTCCTGATAAACAAGATTAAGCTCGACATGTGATTCTTTACTTGTCAATAGTTCTACCCCAGGATACCGCGTATTCTCATAATGCACATTTTTAAGTGAAGGATACAAAATTTGCAAACTTTTCAGCGTACTAGATAATCCCTCTGTTTCATTTAAATTTGGATGACTACATTCCAAATAAAGGTCTCTAAGGCATGGAAGAACAGCAATATTTGCAATTCGGTTAAACAAATTTTGATCAAATGAAGTATCGACTAAGCGAAGCGACGTAATCGGCACTGATATCTCAGATTTTTTATTGGTGGCTGGCATAGCATTTTTAATTGGTCCAAGTAACGTTAAGCTTTCCAGCATCGGAAGGCTTGCAAGAATCGAGTCAAATTCCCCACTCGTGAAGGGATCAATTTTCACGTTAAGAATTTTAACACACCTTGGACAATTTATGTTCGGTTGGGAATGATTTGTAGGATTTTTTAAATTATTTAAGACTAAGGTGACGGCCTCATTTCCACAAAAATTCCACGTGGGGTCAGCCAAGTCGAGGAGGGCCGCTTTGACGAGGCGCGTTTGATTAGCCAAGTTACAAAATGGAGGCGCTTTTGGCAAATAATTTGTTGTGGGGTCGTAAAGCATTAAAATTACGATGGCAGTTAAGACAAATAATATGCTAAGAAATATGAGAAGACGATATTTCAAGTTGGAAGGCGGGCTCCAGGGTGAGATGAGGTCAGGATCTAAAAGTTTATTTTAAAATGATATAGTTTTAACCTTGTTTGGTTGAAAGGTAAAACAACGTACGTAGTGATTCTTCTCTATTTGTCTTGGTAGATTGGACATTTTGCGGGTTTTTCTTTGTTTCCGGGTGACACGTCGGAGGGGAAAAATTGAAGCCAGTTTTCGTACTTGAGTCGAGTAACTTGTAATCGTACCCACTGGATTCCATGGAGCTCGTTGAGATCGCCAAAACTAAATAGGTAGGCTTCGAACTGTGACTGAAATTGATCTGTGCGCACATCAATTCCAGTCATGGCTTACTTTACAAACTTTACTTTACATCATGAATTTGTTATCTTTTTGTGTATATTCCATAGATAACGATTAGCCAGAAAATTGTACTTATTCACATACTCAACTGTTTGACTATGAATACACATACTTGATCGAAATTCAGTAACTTTACTCCTTGAAACATTGGGCGTACTCACGACAACTTCTTATTTCGCATCGCAACTCATTTAGCTAACTTGCGAAGATAAAAATATTTCTGTCGTGAGTGGATTCGCAAAATATGACTTCGCAAATCTCGCCAATCTCGCAAACCTACTGAAAAACACCTAGATATTTTAGTAGTGTACCCATGGATTTCATTAATTTCTCCTGCTGGCGATGGTGAGGATAAGTTTGCGAAGGAATTTTGCGAAATAAGAACAAGACCAATTACTGGGTAAACTTGCGAAAAAAAATCCCATGGTTTTCCAGCAAAATTTTTGCGAAATCTCGCATATCTCGCAAAACTTCGCAAGTTATGTTGCTATGCTCAATTTGCGAGATATGCGAAATATGCGAAGGTTAACGTGAGTACGCTGATTGTAAATTAAACGAATTTTGGTACTTTATTGGCCAATATATAATAATTGTGTAAGTCATGATGGTATTGCAGAACTTGGTATTTGACCAAGATTTTGAATAATTTCTACAAATGTAATCCTACTACTGGGTTCAATCTCCCAACATGGCAGGATAAGTTGTGTATATCTAAAAGTTTAAATGAAGAAAATATAATGATTTCTGGCATTGAGGCAATTCGCACAGTCCTTGGTAACATTGTAAAACCCGTAAATTCTGTAAAATTTTACAGAATTTTACAAATATTTCTAGGAAAAATTAGTTTAAAATTTCTATGAAGTTACTCAGATCAATGGCGTTTTTTATATTTTGCAAAGTTTGTAAGATTATGTACGCTACAAAACTTACGCATTTTACGAGTTATCAATGCCCGCATAAATGGTGTTTGATAATGCATACATACATTTGACCGTATTTTTAGATGCCAAAAACACCCTGTAGATTTAAATATATTTTGAAATAACTTTCAGAAGAGAGACGAGTCCTGAAAAGTCAAAGGCAGCATGATGCATAATTTGGGTGTGCGGATCTTTGCCCTCCATTATAAGCTACCCATGAAATTCTACCCATTATATGCTACCCGAGATGATCTGCCCCCCATTATATCCTACCCCACCCGTTTTCACTTTCTTCCTGCAAATTAAACCAACATGGATACCCTGTTTTGCGTCGTAATGCAACATAACAGTTACTGTTTATTAACGCAAAATTAGTCAAATAATAAATTCTCAAAAACCGAATCAATACATAAAATCTCGGAAAATCAGTCAATTAATAAATTCTCAAAAAATTAATCAAAACATAAAATTTCGGAAAATCATTTTCATTTTTTGAGAATCTGTTGTTCGACTGATTTTCCGAGATTTTATGTATTGATTCGGTTTTTGAGAATTTATTATTTGACTAATTTTGCGTTAATAAACAGTAACTGTTATGTTGCACTACGACGCAAAACAGGGTATCCATGTTGGTTTAATTTGCAGGAAGAAAGTGAAAACGGGTGGGGTAGGATATAATGGGGGGCAGATCATCTCGGGTAGCATATAATGGGTAGCATTTCATGGGTAGCTTTTAATGGGGGGCAAAGATCCGCAAATCCATAATTTGTGTGCATTTTGGGTATCCCTTTCCAACCTGGAATAAATTTCTGTCTTTCACGTACTAACAAGTAACAAGGCGATGGTGTGAAATGTAGATATCTGTACCACTCCGTTTTGGTTAAAATTTAAAATTACGAAGGTCAACACAACCAACGTTTCTTCTGAGCAATTGTGCAATGGATGGAATAAGTCAAAGTATCTGAGGTCTTGGAAAAATGACCAGGTTGTGCCTAACTGTTAAAGCGCAAGGATCTAAATAATTGCCTTATGTACTGGGTTTCAATGATTAAATATTTATTTATAGATATGTACCACTCCTTTTCTATGTTAATTTGCGTTAAAATCGTTCTCTGAAGGTCTTGTACGTCTTTAAAGTTAAGTATTTGAGTGAGCCTTGCGAAATTAAATTTATGCTTTACTACCTACAAAAGCATGAATCTACCTACATACTTTTGTTTACTGGATGTTTCTGACTTTATAAAAATTAAGGTTGAATTAAAGTTGCGAAGGGTAAATAAATAAATTTTCTACAAAGCAATCAAATCTGACTTACGTGCTATTTAATTATTCACTTGTAGCAAAGTATTATATTCTTTTCTCCATAAGCTAATAGTTTATGAAGAGTAAAATAAATTGATTAATCTGATATTATTTAATATACAACCGAGTTGATCGATTAGAAAGACCTCGTTTGGACCAGTGGCCGCGGAGGCTGGGGGGGGGGGGGTCAGAAGGACAACAATGTCCCCACGGTTGTTCGATGTTCGCATCTGTCCATGTTATATAAACCAGTCCCTCCCCTATCCTACAATGTTAATGTCCTCAGATACCCCCACGGCTTCTGGTTCGGATTAGTTCTAGACGAGACGAGGACGAGAAGTTCGGTACAAATTTCCACCACGATCAGATTGGTGAACTTGTCTGGTCGGCACCTGACAAGTTCAGAAATTTATTTTTAGAAAAATGAAATTCGTGAACACTTTTGGAATTTATTGTGCAATATTCATCTTGGTAAGAATTTTTTTTGAAACTATCATAATTTGAGTACACAAAAAAATATAATGAAATCATTTTAAATGCAGCTAATTGCTCCCGAGAGTAACGGAAAAGTTGAAGCACCTCCGGCGCAGAAATCATGTAAAAAATGGATTTTTAACCTGCTCAGCGTCGTTTTAGACGCGGCGGGACCATGTGTAGAAAAGTCATTAGAAACTCAAAGTCTCGGCCAAGTTGTGACACGAATTTTTGTGAGAAACTAAATAATAAACATTATTAACAATTGATTAACTAATTAATTAACTTAATTATTTAGCTACTGCTTTTAATTAATTGGTTGCATAATTTTTTTAGTGTTTTGTAAAATGCCTCTTAAACGAGTTGGCCGTGGTAAGTAAAGTTCTGCATGATAATTTTATTGGAAATTCAGTATTAAAATAAAACCAAGGGGGTTTCATAGGTATATTTATGACTCTGCCAAAATGGTATTAATAAACAATTTTGTGTAGATAGCTCAGTATAAAGGTTTTACCGTATCGGTAACAAATTTTAATCTTCGGGTATAATTTTAATACCAAGCGGTAGCAACTTTAACACGGAGAAATCAATACCTGCGTGGCTACATTTCTAACAGAGTGAGCATTTGTAGCATTGAATTTAACCTGCTACCACACTGTGACAAATTAAAGCCTAGTTGGCTAACTATTACCACACTCGGTAGTGACATTGGTAACAAAGTTTTGCAACTGAATTATATGAACACATTTTGCAAATTTTCCCCATTTTAAAAATATGATTATCCTTTCAGCTCAACGAGGATGGTGCATTCGATCAATTCAAATCTGCCCTATTCTTTGCGGAAAATTTTCCAGAAACTATACGAAACGAACTAATGCAGAAGGCGGGACCCTGCTTCAAAGTGGCGGGTATATTTCCAAAAACATATATAAATTCACTTCGAGTTAATTTTTTCAGTATTTTTTAGAGGCTTTCAACGGGACAGAATATTACTGCAAATCCTACGCTCCATTTTCGCACTGTGTCGTGACCATCGTTATCCCAGCGATGACGCCCCACGTTCTCGGCTGTTTTGGGACCCGATTCATCACTGCCGGACTAAATGCCGCGTTCGGATTTCTGATTAATCAAACCCGTTCGGACAGATTGGTCGAAATTCGCGGAAAAAATGGGAGACTACGATCCCCGAATAACAGGACACTGAAAATGCTCACCACCGCCAAACCGAAGTTAGATAAGAGGAAGGGTTTACGGACTTGAGAAAAAACGTAGTAAGACGAAAATATGTATGTATAGTTGTTATTATTAAACGAATAACAGTAAATATGTAGGAAATTATACATTTTCTGAATTTGAATTTTTCATAGAAACTAGTTTATTAAAATTGAAACAAGTATTTTGCGAAACTCGATCAGTAATTGCTTATAGCGATATTCATAGTTTTCTATTATAAAAATATAAACTATTACATATTCTATTACATAAACATTAATTACAACGTTCCTTACTTCTAATCCTGAGGTTGGCATGCTCTTCGGTATGAGTTTTGACACATACTTATGTTCCTGGAAAGTCCTCCAAGTCAATTTCCTCTGGCAAAAATAACACTCATACATATTGCTTCCTATTTATTATGGACAAATTCCACGTAGTTTTTGGGGGGGCCTTGTGTCTCAAGTCTTCTCAGAGGTACCCAACATTCAAAGCGTTTGTAGTCCTTAATATGGGCAACATTCTGTGAAATTTAGGAAATTTATTAATTGACCGAATATTTAATTTAGTTGCCGTCCATTATTCCAAGACACCCTCTGTGTTAATGATTTAACACATAAATATGCACATTCATACCTGATGAAGTACTAATTTTCTTTTAGAATAAAAATCCTCGCCGCAATATTGACAAGTGGACACCTTTTCTCCAGTGTGTATCCCACAGGGGTGGGCAAGATACTTTGGTCGTAAGATACAAGATACAAGATAAGATACTCTCGAAGACAAGATATAAGATACAAGATAAAAGATACATCTTGTTCAAGTACACAAGATACAAGATACAAGATACTTTCCTAAAAATTAAGTATTCAAGATAAAAGTACAAGATATGTATCTTAAGATACTTTTACATTAGATAAGATACTTCCCTTTTTAGCCTGGTATTCATGCTGAATTAGTCATGTTTAATAATTTAAACGAAAAAATCTAGCTAATACTAAATTTAAAATCGTTATGTAATCACCTTACAAATTTTGTTGCAAGTGCCTACGTGTCGAAAAATTTCGAAAAACTATATAGACCTATACCATACCTAACATACTTAACCCTATAGTGTCTATAATATCCAAGTTCACGTGGATTTATAATATTTATAATCATACTTTATTCAATATACATCAATTAAGCGTAGGTACATATCACGTACATAATACTGTGCAACGTATGCACATATGCACATGTATGTACACATGAATATATGTCTATATCTACATATGTATGTATGTATGTATTTACCAGTTGTGTCACAAATTGGTAAAACATAAAGTAAAAATTCACCACACTCTGGTTACGACAAATTCATGGTCAAATTGACCGATAGTAGCAAGAAATTGACTTAATTTGTCGGAATTTTTGAAAAAAAGTATCTTGTATCTTGTCAACTATCTAAGATACTTTTCTGACAGTCGTATCTAGATAAGATACTTACACAAGATACTTTTCGATTGTCTAAAAGATACAATATATAAGATACAAGATACTTCTGTGATCAGGCAACGAAGATACAAGATAAAGATACTATCTTGTATCTTCTATCTTTTATCTTGTATTTTGACAAAGTATTTTGCCCACCCCTGGTATCCCAATGTGATCCTCCAAACTGATTAGCGTGGGACACGATTTCTTGCAAAATAGAACTCCAACGAATCCAACCCCTTCGCAAGATGTATTTTAGCGGGATTACATTTCCGAACATGTCCATTTAAATATTCAATTTCTAAAAAGGTCTCCCCACAAGTTCCCTCAGTACACGGGATTCTCTCCAGTTTCGAAACCTTCACACCTTTTCGACACACATGAAACTTTTCCAAACAATATTTCCTCATTCGTTTCCCACACCGTTCACACTGCACGAACGGATCGCTGCATGTTTTCACATGCGCATTGAGCGCCCTCGTCGATCCCAAAACTGCTGTACACAAATTATTCGGACAACTAAAAGTGGCCCGATTATGAACCGATGACACGTGGTCATGTAGGCTGGATTTCTTCAGAAATGTAGCCGTGCACAGGGAACAATGCAACAAAATTCTGCTTTCTTCGGCTACGTGCCTTGTTTTCTGATGCTCTTTAAGACCGGAAGTGCTCGTGTACGAACTTTCACACAAATCACACTTGTACGGTTTCTCTTTTAAGTGCCCTCTCAAATGCAGTTTTAAGTGTTCCCTCGTCCTAAAAGTTTTGACACATAGGTTACACGGGAACGGTTTATGGTCCGGATTTTCATGTTGCTGTTCCATATGCTTTTTTAGGTAGGACTTGGTCACCATAGTTTTCCTTTCGGGGGAAGGTGGATTTCTTTATGTACTTTTAAACTGCCGGAAAATCTGAAGGTTTTCCCGCATCCGGCGTGGTCACACTTAAATGGACGACTCCGACTATTGTGGACGTTAGTATTGTGAATACGGAGTAAATTCTTTGTCCCAAAATATTTTAAGCAGGGCTCACATTTAAACGGTTTTAGTCCGTCGTGGTTCCAAGAAATGTGTCGGTTGAGCTCGGGCCGGGAAAAATATTGTTTATCACAATTTTCCCTTGGACAGTGGTTCTTTCTCTCTTTTAAGTGCACATACCGCTCATGGACGCGCAAATGGGCGTACGAATTAACCACTTCGCCCCTATAACGACTATGTGGCGTATTTGACCTTTACGCCGAATACGACTATGTGGCGTAAGTTCCCTTGGCTCCGAAATACGACGATGTGTCGTATTGACCCTTGACAACGGAAACGACCATGTGGCGTATTTTCCGTTCCCACCGGCCTACGACTATGTGTCGTATTCGAAAAAAATTAGGTCATTGCTCTTCCAAGTATAGTTTTGAGTCAACAATCCGCCATTTGGGCGGGAAGATGAATTGCCTCTTCAGAACCAAATGTTATAAAGGGAGGTAAAAACAATTTATAGCTAACTGGCTATTTCTAGCTAACACGCCCAGTTTTGAAAACTGCTGTTGCATGGAATTTTCGTCCCATATTTCAACAGCGCTTTCAGATAAAATTAGTGAAATTGTTTTTCTCGGATTTAGAACGCCCCAACGACATTTTTGGCGGGAAAACTAACCACTGGAGCCGATGAAATCTCGTTGGGCGGGAAAATTAAGAGATTGCCTGGAAAGTAGCATATAATTTTCCCGTTAAAATTGAGTTATATTCAAAATGCGCTAAAGTATGCTTTCGAACAGTTCATGCTATAATTATTCATTACAACTGCTATCAATTTAAAGTCACGGTAAGAAAACGTTTGTTTTCCCGCCCTAAGTATGCGTAAATTCTATGCATGTTAGATGAACAAAAAGCAATTTTTACACATTTTAGGCTAATCACAAAATTATTTATAGCCGATGTCACGAATTGAAAGCAATATTTGCTGTTTAATTTTCCCGCCCAAATCGGCATCTGGGGCCTTTGAGGCGCGATAATCGATTTTTGTGAATATATGTACTATTATGCACTTATTAATCAATGTTTGTGCAACTTTCCATGCAATTACAATCATTTTTAAATTCGGCGTGTTGGCTATTTTCGGCTATAAACATTAGTGGTTCGCAAAAATGCCCAAAGGCAAATTACAACTCAAAATCCGTTCCCAAATGGTTATTCGCATCAACTTTCATAAAAAAGTGTCCAGAATAATTCAGGTGGGAACACCATTTTTCAATTCATCTCCCAGTAATTAACGTCATACAGTAGGTGAAAATTTCGGGGTCAAGGGAAGAAAAAATTCGCCGTTACTAGGGGTGAAAGGTATGAAAATATTCGTCTCTCAGGGGTGAAGTGGTTAAACGTTTTGGGGCACGATTTGCACCCGAATTCGGCACGTTGTTCGGGCGGAAGGTGACATTTTTTATGATTCATTAGTGACACCGACCAACCAAATGATTTTTCGCAGGTGTCACATTTGTGGGATTTTTCGTTTAAATGTTTCGCCGTTAAGTGTTCGCGTAGGTAGGACATGGAATACAACGGGTGCTGGCAGAATGGGCAGGGAAACTCCTTAGGAACGAAGAGAGAATTGGGATCATGTCGTTTTTTATGTGATTTAAATTGTGATTCGTCTAAAAATTGTTTGGGGCAGTGGGAACATTTGTAGATTTGTCGTTCACTTAGGGGGAGGTGGGTTGGAAACGAAGCTACGCCAAGTTCTATGTGGCACAGGTCACACTTTATTCGAGAGTTTTCACTGTGAAGCATACGTTTGTGGGAGCGGAATTCCTGCCGTGACTTGTACACTTTTCCGCAGTTGGGTTCCGAGCACTTGTAGACTTTAGGGTTTTCTGACATTTTGAAGGTATGGGGAATAATACGTTTTAACTTAATATGGAAATTTTGTATGGAAATATTGGAAACTGGTTTTAATATATTAACTTATTTGTGGACGTGGTTATGCTCTGAAGCCTACCATATAACTAAAACGAAGTTAGGGTGAGAAGGTGTTAAATGGGAAGGTCGAAATTAAGGATATTTTTAGCGTATATTTGAGCATCTACCTGAACCCATGCGAAGAAGTTGACTCGAAGACTTCGAGTCTCGAAGAGTATATTTACATATGTATGTATGAGCATACATAGCAAGAGCTTTTTTGTTAGCACGGAGTGAGGTTTGTCTGGAAATATATTTATGTACTGCAAAAAGGTTACAATGCAGAAAGGATAAATTGAAACACATTTATGCAAATGGCTTTAAAAGGGAAACGAGACCTGAAAAGTCAAAGGCACGCAGACACCAAACTTTTGTGTATTTTGGGAATCCTTTTCTAACCTGGAATAAACTTCTGTCCTCTACGTATCACATTCTTTGAGAAGATTTTCCTGCCATTTCAGACCTGATTTTTCGAAACATTTGTTTAAAAAATATTGTTTCTTTTGAATTTATACTTATAAAATTTTTTATTTTGGTCTTGGGATTTTTTAAAACTTAGAAACATGAGAAAAATTCTACCGTGTGGTATGTATCACTATAGAAGTTGGCTTGCGGGGGTAACAAATAGCCTCCGCTGTCGGTAATATTTTTATTTACCGTGTTGACATTGTGCAGTGAGCAGGATTTAGCCTCTCCCGATATGTTACCCTTCATTGGCATGGAAGAGAAATACAAGATCTCTCATATATGCTTCATTGGTAAATTATTGCCGAAAACGTAGAATTGCATAGTACCAACGCTGGTAAAAATCATATCAAAAATTCTTGGCGAGTGTATGTTTATTTTAGCAATTGACACGAGAAATAACTTCAGAGAATTTGTAAGGACAGATTATGTGGGAAAAGATAAAGGCATATCAGATTAGATAAGGCGACAGTGAATGAAGTGGAATGGATGAATCTGATATATCGTAATATGTAATTGATCATATTTTAAGCGATCAACTGTGAGACGAATAATTTGAACAAATTATCTTTCCCTTCGATTTTCTTTGACACAACAACACCATTTTCGTGGCGTTCTTAATTACACATAATTATTCTGATACAAAATGGGGGGGCACATGTTGTTGCGGGTGTTGCTCAGTTGCCACGGGAACGGCGATTATAGCAATTTTAAACACAGTAATATTTTCATTACTTTTTTCATATTTTATAAACAACTGCACATGTTCTACTATTTTTTGAACCTATGTATTGCAGATCGCGGGTGTTCAACAAATTATACACAACTCGTTAACTGCAAATATCATGATTTTTCATCCGGATCAACTCCCTGAAGAAACCAACGCTTATTTTAAGGAATATCGTTCGTACCTTAATTACTTAATTAAGCAAATCTATAAGGTTTTAACAGCATGCATCTAGAATAAATATTTTTATTACTTGATTATTATGTATTACAGCCACACTCTTCATATTATTGCAATTTTGTGCCGTATTCATGACATCGGTTAGCACAATCTTGTCCGCTATTCTCTTCCAAGGATACAGGACGGTAATCGCTTTGATAAGCTTTTTTGATAAAACGAACTCTAAATAGTTTAGTCACCAGATATGTATATAGTTTTTTAACGTATTTATTATCTATATTTCAGAGGAACGTTCGACTCTGTTTGCCCTGGTTATATTGGACCTATTTTTTCATTGGATTAATGGCAATTATCATGGCCGTCCTCGCCTGTTTACTTGCATTTTATGCAATATTTGCTGCCGCATTGCTATGCGTACTGATTATTGGTAGTGTTTTGGGGGTTGTGTTATACTTTGTGCTGGTGGTACAACGATTTGTTGATGAGTTGAGAGGAGATCAGAAGTCAAAAGAAAATAGGAAACGTAATTGAGGACAAAGGATGTTGACGTTTGAAGTTCAGAATAGATATTTAATGTGGTGAACATTCATATTCCGAAATGTGTAAATATGTAAATAAGGTCGATTCGAATAAAAGAATTATTAGATGTTCCTTCACTATTTTAAACATGAGAATGATTTAAACACATTTTGCGGAATTTATGTACATACATGTCCAAGCTCTGGTAATTACCCAACCTGACCGTAGATGGTCAATTTTTTATCGATCTTCAAACCTAATTTCTAATTTAAAGCCAAAATGGACAATTCTGTTCAAAATGTCCAGAGGGCGGATATATATGTATGTACGTAAATTCCGCAATATATGCATGTAATACATATGTGCTCAAAAAACCTGAAAATATGAACATGAAAAATTGTTTTCAACTTGAATTTTCTACAATATTTATGAAATATAATTTTGAGGAAACCTTAATTTATGAATGAAGAAAAATATTTTTACATAAAAACTTCGAAATATCTACTAGATGGGATGTCAGTTTTAGTACGATCTGATTTGGTATGAAAAAGTTATAAATAATGTCCGACGTCTGGTAATTATACGCCGTAATAAAATATTTTCCCATACGACGTACTCTTTATACTATGGTACAGATGTCAAGAACATCTTTGCATATTGTCGCGAAGTTGACAAATAAATTTAGGCGAATAAGGACAACCTCACAAAATTGAGTTTAATGCCATAATAAACATTAAATCGAACTGGTTTCCCTGTCATCTTGTTTCAAAATGTGGTCACATTATTCTACTCCGAGACATGTCTTGTTTACCCATCGTGTCTGTGGGTCCCTCATTTTGGCACAAATTTAATTCAATAACTAATAAATAAAATATAATATAATTTCATAAATAATATTAATACATACTTACTAGGCCTGACCCGACTCCCAAATTTAATTGTAATTTAATTTAAATTTTTAACTGGACTTGAGGCACATTTTTAAAAATCTAGAAATACATAGGGGTAAACCAATTGTCCCGGTAAAACCATGCTTGCTTATAAAAATATCTCTTTCCTCAGTCTATCAACACTCTTAGAAAATGGTATTGAATCAGTAACGACCGGTGTACATACTTACACTGTAAAGCATCCGGTAGAGTCACATATGTACTCCGTACTGGTATTGATTGGTAATAATTCCATACCGCATTGGTTATAGTTTGTTTCAGAGTAGTAACGATTTCATTACCACCACATTACTACGCCGTAACGATCGATATTACCGATGCCGGTAGAGTCATATATGTACTCCGTCCGGTAATGATTCGTCATGAATTAATACCAACCGCTTAAGAGTGTACATATGTGGCTTCACCGATAATTGGATGTACAACTGTACATTTTTAACAGGGTACTTACACATATGCTACGACTCGGGCTGTCTAAATGCCGCATTTGAACTGTGACGCACTTTATAAAATACGTCAATAATGTTAATGATAATCTCACAAATTAAGTATTGCGTCATGTACTTAATTTGTGAGATTGTAATTTAACTAATTCAATATTCACCTGTCACCTAATCGCTAAAGTAAATTTTAACTTTTCCCTAAGCCACGGTTTGCATTCTGTATAAATACCGAGATGTAGACGTATATTCTTCACAGAAAATTTAGTGGTGAATCGAATCACACAAAATCTTGAGCCCGCAAAAATATCAAAAGTGAAACATGGTCATTTTTACAATTTTCATATTCACGAGTTGTACGAGTCTTTGGGAAATATATGGCATTGAATACTCTGGAATCCGATACTACTCCGAAAACATAAGCGGTGGGATGGTATTTGTCAAAAATATTAACTTTATTCATACTATTCAAAGATTTAAAATACTTTTTTCTTCACTTTTCGTAGGATTCCTTCCCAAACTTCGGATCCCACCCGTATCCTTTTAGCCCCAGAAAACCCGCCGCCACGGTAACAACAACCCATCAAAAAGATGAAATTATTGCTCCAAGAAAGGTTTCAAGAGCTATAAATCACCCTTCGACAGAGTCGGGTCCAAATTTCCTTCGAAGTTTGAACGGTGGAGGGTACAAAAACTTTCTTTGCGGCCCGCAAGCCCTCCTTTCGTGCGATAATGATTGCAAAAATAACCATGGAACGGCTGGAGGTATTTGTAGCTTCAGTGAAAATGATGACAACTGCTACTGCGGTGATTTAACTACCCTTGTGGAAAATATTTCACTCCATTGCATCGCAAATGTGGGGAACATTACTCGAATTTGTGACACTGACTGTAAATGTAATCACGCCGCTAAGGGGGGACACTGCGATTGGAGCAGGAAAGCGTGTATTTGCGAATTTCAAGGATCCTAAAAATGTAAGTCACCTTAAAAAGATGTTATTCTGTTTCGGAAAACAAATTGTTTTAAACAATAGTGAACATGAACACGTAGTGGAGTGGGAAAAGTCCTATTCGCTCGGTGGTAAATTGCCACCGTGTGGGTAAACAATTTCACCGACTCTGCACTTTTTGTTACCAGTACCACATGGTGAAAATTACGTAAAAATCCTGTGGCGGTGAAGCTTGCGAATTTGTACAGGGCAGTTTTTGCAAGTATATTTAACGCTTTTATTCAAGACAACAAAACTCGTTGTGAAAAATTGTTGTCATGGTGCGGGAATCGTTTCTAGAAGGTCGAAGATTTTCACCATTTTCTCTCTGCGGAGAAAATTTCTTCTCATTTTTATGGATTTCTCCTACGCCAATCAAATGTTAAATTTAAATATTTTTTTGTCTAAAATTTTGACAATTCCCAATACAACGTAATGTTAAATTTTGGATGTTTCAATTTTCTTAAAACTACAGAATTCCTCCTCCCGCACAGTGACCGCAACAAACTCATACGTCCCAGGATTAATGAACTTCGTTCTAGTTATTTAATCCTACCCTTTACTGGGTTACATAATATTTTACTTTGAATTTTATTCATTTTTTTACATCTGTAAATATGCTTGCAGATTGGATGTCCTGCAGAGGATGGTAAATCCTTTACAAAACATATCCATGGTTTACTGGGCGCGTACGCTGGTCCAAGAGTGGCTCAATTCTTTAATAGTATTGTAAAGGAATAAAATATTGATATTTATTTAAAAGTTGTAAAAACCTCTTAAATTTATATTGCGAGGATTCATCTTATCTACAAAATCAAGGCCGAAACGTTCCCGATTTTTTATGCACTTGACCCTTTGGTTACCAAGTACGTGAGATTCCCTTAGTCCAGTAACTATCGTGTTCAAATACGTGAGTGAAACATAGTACAAAAAAGTTTCCTCCAATTACTTTTAAAGCTAACCGAAACAAAGCCAACCTTGTGCGTATATGTAACTCAAAAAAATTACTAAACATTGGGGGGAATTCATTATTTTTTCATATAAAAAAGTAGTCCACGAAGGAAAAAACGGGGTCAGGCTTACTATTAGTAAAAATCATCAGCGTAGTAACCTGATTTTTGTTAACGAATACACTCATTGTTTCCCTTAGTTCGGACAGATTGGTAGAAATTCGTGGGAAAAATGGGAGATTAGGCTCCCCGAATAACAGGACGGTGCAAATTCTCACCACAGCCAATGAGTTACCCAACGACGATTTACCCGAAACCCATTCCGGTCGCATAGACATCCTATACTCGTCGATCCATAAAACAGACGGAGAATACGAATTCAATAGCTCTCTTGGTATGAAGTGCGAGCTAATAATTCTTGAACAAAAAATTAAGGAAAAAGTTCTAGTTTGAAGAGTGACATTTTTGATGAACATTTTTGTTTATTGCTTAGTCACGATGTCTGGATCGGTTTTGAAAGTTATTAGGGTGATGTGCAAATAAATATTTCGATCGTAATAGGGCTTTTTGCAAAGAAAAATTTATTTATTTATAGACAAAACTGTCTTTAAGTGCATTTAAGGTTAAATTTTACAAGTACCAAATTACCTTTCCACTAATATAATCCATGGTTTTATATGAATTAGAATGCTGAGGACCTGACAAATATTTTCAGGGTGACACCTGGTTCTGATGTATTAAACTATGAAATCATTTATCCACATCTGCAAATAGTAGGCTACGTATTTCCATTTGGCAACGGACCACCATTTAATAAATAGTAATACCTGCCATACATAGTTATACATTTTAATTTCCACTATTAAAATTTCGACAACTGAGAGCATTATGGATGTTGAGTATATATAAAAAATTATTTGAATATTCCCAGTTAATGAAATGGGTTCAGGAACTCTTTCTCTTGGCTGGTGCTTTACAAGGGTGTGCACTTTTCTGGTTATGTTTGCCCTTCGCGGAGTAACCATTTGTGGCCAGTCCTCTAGCAGTTGGACAATCCCAGCGACATATAACCTCCTAAATATTTGCGGTATAACTGATATTCCATTCATGTAGAATCTCCATCCCGACTCTGCAACCAGGATTGCCTCTGACTTGGACTTGAAAAACTTCAGCCATGGGTTGTGCTTCTCAAAGTATCGGAGTTCCTTATTGATCTCTCTGTCGTATAAGATTAACGCTGTTCGACCACATTGTACGAGAGCATGCTCAACATCCCAGACGTTTTCAATGCGTATGGTGTCCGTAAAATTTTCAAAAAATGGGTGAGGAATATGCCACGGATCAAGTAAATCCAATAGTCTAAAATTTTCCATCCAACGCCAAGAAATCGTGTTATCACCTGCTTCTAACTTAGACAAAATTACATCCCTCATCCACTTTAACTTTAGTTCCAACCCAATGCCAAAATCGGTTTTGATTGGTTGGGTTGGATTTAGTTCAATAAGGAGGTCATCTTCAGGCAAAAATGGCAGCAGAACAAAATCATTATATACGTATTATTATTCACGTATGCTTAAATGACAAATCCTCCGTCGAAAAGCATGTAATAAATGAATATCCTTGCTTAATTGTAGTCACATAGAGTGTGGGTGAAAATTGTGTCCTTTGCCTGTGCATGTAAATATTGACCTGTTCCCTATACGTGAAAATCTCCTTATCTCTATTTTTGTTATACTTTGCAGTCGATGCGCTACCATCTTCTGCTTCACCAACCGTGAAATTTCCGAGGCAAACGAGACTTAGTAACAATACCGCACGGGGGCGATAACGTTCTTCTCTGATCAGGTAGAACGGACCCTTACCATATGCTCCGCAAGATTCTTTCCGGCTATAAAATCCCCCCAGGTTTAGACTGGATTTCCGACTTGTACGCAGAAAAAAGTCGGTGGGACGTTCCACTATCGAGTAAAAGTGGGAATTATTACTTATTACCTGGCCAATCTGCTTTTTATCCAGTTGTATTACTGGGCTATCCCATCCCCAGATCGGGGTTGTTTCATACCAGTCATCTCGCTCCAGTACAACTACTACATGTAATACAAATGTGAATACGGCAGTCCCCACCCGAATATTGCGCAGAACACGACTAAAGCTCAACTGTACACGAATGAGTAGCGAAATGTGCAGATCTGACATTACCTTGGTATAAAAAATATAAGGGTGCTTAGCATACATGATATCATACAAGATTTGTTTGATATTCAGTAAAGCGAGAAACTTCTTTGTCTGATAGTTTTCCTGGTTCCTTATCAAAGTCAGATTTTTGGGTGATGACGACCCCGATGAAACAGAAAGCCCGCGAAGAGAAATGAGCTTTCTGGGAACTTGCGTAAATCCCACGAGAATTTCTTTCTCCATATATTACAGGTCTGGGTAACGTGGCCCAAGTTGTGACGTTAATTTGTGGGAGGTGAAAGATGTAAATCCCTTTCTTGCTTGGAATCGGGGAAGAAAGTATGTCAGAGTTTTGAAAATTGTTGTGATGAGCTAGAATTAGGTGGCAGTCGGGATCCAAGTGTTGAAACACAGATTCAGTAAGATTTATTGCAGTAGGCTTGGTAGCGGTGGAAAATGAGAAATGGAAAATGTAGGAAATCGTGTAAATAGAAATAAGGGATAAAGTGGTTAGAAGGGATGACCGCATCATAGAGAAGAGATTTTGCTTAGATTATACCTAAATTTTAAGCATTATATTGGCGCACGAGGATTAAGCCCATGCACATGTACGTTCCAGCAACTTAGCAGCTTTTTAATGAGAGAGGGGAGAGGAGGGATGGTAGCCAGAGAGTAGGAAAAGGACCTCTACTACTTGCGCTTGCTACGCCGAAATAACGGACACAGCCAGGCAGTGATCAAACGAATTATTATTATTATATTAGGATTAAACACTATACTAGTATATTAACGTATTGTTGAATTGATTTTCTGAGTTTTTCCTAATTCTGCAAAAATGAGCATTTCTGAATTTAGAGCAATAAAAGCATTAGAACTTCATTTTTTTCTACGAGCCCACAAATTGAATTTAGGAATTAGAGTGAACCTGCGAAAATGTGGGTTACATATAAATATTTGTTTAGGTCTATTTAAATATATTTCCTGACTTGTGAGTTAAAATTAATATTCTATCTCCTTTCTTGGCAACTAACTAAAAGATTCGGACGATATGTCGAATAGCGAATACAATTCTTAATCATGAAATGTCCCCACAAATAGTTAAACTACACTTACTTACGAAACAAAGTGGGCTGAAGATATTAGTTTTTCATAAACGCCTTCTAAAGCTACCTGCAACGCCTCGCTTACGTACTTACGGTACTTACGTATTCACCTTACGTGTTTAGAAAAAATGCGTGTGCAGGGTGCATGGTTCAGAAATTGAAAAACACGAAAACTGATCCACTCAAACTTCCGCTAAAAATCATATTTTAATTGGATTTTGATAATGGTTACATTTTCTTGATCCCAAATAGTTGCTCTATCGTATGTATTAACTGTATACATAATTATCATTATAGACATGAACCCAATTTTTTTCATTTTCAGTATTTTTGAAAAACTTCTGAGCAGGGGTATATCTTGGAAAAATCAAACTTCCCAGAAAGTTGAATTGGGTATAATAGAGCTTGAGATTAAGAAAACGCAAAAATTATCAAAATCTAACTAAAATTGGATTTTTGGCAAAGGTTTATACGAGTGAAAACGGATTTTGTCGCGTTTTTCACCACTTTGAGTGGGTGCAAATGAGGCCATGGAATAAGATCACTTCAGGGTTTTAGTTCACTCATCAAGCACTACGACATACCCCAAGGACATCAAAATCTGGGATTGACAATGCAACTTTTTTTCAAGCTATACCGGCAAAGTTCAACTTTTGCACAAATTTTCTCCCATTTTCCTCCACTGGGCGAGACAGTTTCCATTGCGAGAGGTAACGCCTTTTAATGAATTCTGGCGAAAAGTTAATTCCCTTATAAACCCCGTTCTGAACCACCCTGTACATATTATTATACAAAGTCGGGTAGTTTGATAGGTCACGGAATTGCTAAGTAATTGGCAGACTATTTAAGCATTCGACATTCAAAGTGATTACTCTTAACCAGTATGAATAAATAATAAATATAAGTAGCCATTAACAAGTATACGACGTCTGTATATCTGTAGTTCAATAAGGTAAAATATATCGAAAATACTTAAATATGATTAATTGTAGTGTTTATTTTCGAAACGAATGACGCTATGTAGGAAATTATAAATTTTCAGAATTGAATTTTTTTCACGAGAAATATTTTATTAAAATTCAAACAAGTATTTTTCGAAATCATTTCCTGAAATACGTTCGTTTTGCAAAACTCAATCAATAATTTTTTGTAGCGATGTGCACCGTTTTCTATTACACAAATATAAACTATTACATATTCCATTGCATAAACATTAATTACAATGTTCCTTCCCTATAAGGCTGCCATACTCTTCGGTATGAGTTTTGATATGTTCCTGGAAAGTCCTCCAAGTCAATTTCCTCAAGCAAAAGTAACACTCTCATAATTCATCCTATTGATTATTGACAAATTTCACATAGTTTTTGGGCGTGCCTTCTGTCTCAAGTCTTCTCAGGGGTACCCAACATTCAAAGCGTTTGTACTCCTTAATATGGGTAACATTCTGTGAAATTTGAAAATTCATTAAGTGACCGAATATTTAATTAAGGGTTGCATTGGAGTGGTTGCCAACTTTTTACTTCATATACATATGTACATATGTATCCTTGGGAAAACGTTTGCAGGTTCGAACTTTTGAGGTTTGCGAACTTTTGAACGGTTTTCCTCGTCATTTTGGAACGGCATGGAGTTAAGACTTTTGGTTTTGCAGATTCTCGTAAATAATTAAATTAGTAGGGAAACTGCTATGTTTTCAAATTTCACGTTTTCCCATATGATAGATATGTATTTATATGTAGCATACATACTAGGTCAAAGGTGTCCATCATTCCGAAGCATTCTTTATTTATACATGAATATATATGAAATACATACCTGATGAAACACAAATCTTCTCTTTGAATACAATTCCTTGTCACAATATTGACACTTGAACACCTTCTCTCCAGTGTGTGTCCTGACGTGATCCTCCAAACAGATTAGCGTGGGACACGATTTCTTGCAAAATAGACACTCTAACCAATCCACCCCCTTCGCAAGATGTGTATTTGCGGGATGACAATTCCGAACATGCCTCTTTAAATATCCAATTTCTAAAAAGCTCTCCCCACAAGTCCCCTCCGGACAAGGGATTCTCTCCAGTTTCGAAACATTCACACCTTTTCGACACACATGAAAATTTTCCAGACAATATTTCTTCATCCACTTCCCACACCGTTCCCACTGCACGAACGGATCGCTGCATTTTTTCACGTGCGCATTGAGCGCTCTCATCGATCCCAAAACGGCTGTACACAAGTTATTCGGACAACTAAAAGTGGCCCCATTATGAACCGATGACACGTGGTCTTGTAGGCTGATTTTCTTCAGAAATGTAGCCGCGCACAGGGAACAATGCAACAAAATTCTGTTTTTTTCCTCTATGTGCCGCGTTTTCTGATGATATTTAAGACCGGAAGTACTAGTATACGAACTTTCACACAAATCACACTTGTACGGTTTCTCTTTTAAGTGCCCTCTCAAATGCAGTTTTAAGTGTTCCCTCGTCCTAAAAGTTTTGACACATAGGTTACAAGAAAATGGTTTATTATCCGGATTTTCATGCTGCTGATCCATGTGCTTTTTGAGGTAGGACTTGGTCACCATGGTTTTCTGGCAGATGGGACACGAATAAGTGGCACGTTCTTTTGGGGTGAGGTGGATTTCTTTATGCACTTTTAAGCTGCCGTAAAATCTAAAAGCTTTATCGCATCCGGCGTGGTCACACTTAAATGGGCGGCTCCGACTATTTGTATTGTGGACGTTAGTATTGTGAATACGGAGGGAATTTTTAGTGCCAAAAAATTTTAAGCAGGGCTCACATTTAAACGGTTTGAGTCCGTCATGTGTGGACGAAAGGTGTCGGTCGAGCTCGGGCTGGGAAAAATATTTTTTACCGCAATTCTCCCTGTGACAGTGGTACTTTCTCTCTTTTAAGTGCACATACCGCTCATGGGTGCGTAAAGTGCCGGATAAATTAAACGTTTTGGGGCACGATTTGCACCTGAATTTGACCCGTTGGTCGGGCGGCAGGTGGCATTTTTGATGGTTTCGGAGTGAATCTGACCATGCATACGATTTCGAACAGGTGTCACATTTGTAGGATTTTTCCTTTAAGTGTTTCGCCGTCAAGTGTTCTTGTAGGTAATCTCTGGAATGCAACTCTTGCTGGCAAAATGGGCAGGGAAACTTTTTAGAAACGAGGAGAGGATCATGTTGGTTTTTATGAAGTTTGAGTTTTTTCTCGTCTAAAAATTGTTTCGGGCAGTGGGGACATTTGTGGATTCGTCGCTGGCTTAAGGGGAGGTGGGTGGTCTCGTGTATTCGAAGGGTGGAAGCGAACACGCAAGCAATTTTGCACCCTGGGAAGGTACACTTAAAGTTTCGTATCGTAGAGTGGACATTTTTCATGTGGCCACGTAGCGAATTTATATCAATTTCTTTGCGGCACAGGTCACACTTTATTCTAGAGTTTCCACTGTGAACCGTTGTTTTGTGATGGTCCAGTCCACACCATGACTTGTATAGCTTTCCGCAGTTGGGTTCCGAACATTTGTAAAGTTTTCGGGTTGCAAGCGGCATTTTGACGGTATGGAAAATGGAAAATTTTAGAGTGTTTAATAAGGCAATTTTTGATGGAAACTACTTTAATTTGGTTACTTATTTAGACGTAGTTATGCTCTGACGCCTACCGTCCAACTAAAAATAAGTTAGTGTAAGAAAAGGTTAAAAGGCAAAGTGAGCATTTGTTATATGTTTAGGACATATTTGAGTATCTACCTGATTCTATGAACCCATGCGAGGAAAATTACCCGAATAATGTACGTACATATATATGTAGTGAGAAAAGGATTAAGTTAACTTATGTAGCCCTTTTTTGTTAGTAAGGAGTGAGGAACTTGCCTGGAATTTTATGCATTACAGAAAGGTTGCAATACAGAAAGGATAAACTAAAACACGTTTGTGTAAAATGATTTTAGAAAGGAAACGAGCGATGAAAAGTCGGAGACAACTTTTGTGTATATTTTTTCTGCCTAAGATAAACTTCTGTCCTCTGCCGTGATCATTTGTCACATTAATAATATTAACGTGAATCATGGTTGCTGTTAAATATTTAATATTGGACGGTTCATTTAGATAAGTTACATATTTGTGTCGATGTGTATACGATGAGAGATGTGCAGTAAGAGAAGTAAGTATGCATACATATGTAAAACATATGTACTTTACATATATTACGAAGAAAACTTGTCAAACCTGTTTAAATTTTGAACACATTTATATGATAAGTATGTGTTTAAATATGTACATAGATCATAAATCTATGTAATTACAGGTTTAGTTCGAAGGTGGGTTCGTTCTAAAAATATAGTATTAGGAAAGGTTGAGAATAGTTGAGATCATATAAGTCAAGTGGGGATCAAATATTTGAAATTCATGTAGTATTACAGGTTAGTGTGAGTATAAGTTTTTAAACTATAAGTGAGTAAAATGCTTATTAATGGGAAACATAACCCATTTTTTATATTGAGGATTGAGAACCACAAATAAATAATGCATCAAGACCTACAAACAAAAATACTTAATACAAGCATCTGTATAACAAGAAAAATTAATCCAAATTTTTCGCTAAAGCATTAATCTCCTCCGCCGAAGGGTGAAAGGTTATCAATAAGTTTACCGTCCAGTCCATGATAGTCATGAAGTACGTCGTTAACACACTTCCGTCCAACTTGTAAAAGTAGAATCCAGCCACACCCGCATAAATCTGGATCGGTCTCACGCACTTTAGTTTCTTTCGTATCCATGCATTCTCCTTGCGTCCCCCGGGAATTCAATGGATCCATGTTCGGAGGACGTTGTCGGAATTTTTATACACGTCAACAGCCACGGGTAGCAAGGATAGAATTATCATGATGAGCAATGTTGCAAAGAAGGGGAAAATGGCATAGTATAAGGGTGGCATCTCGAAGTCGAGGAATCGGATAGTGGCAAAGTTTAGCCCAGCGCAGAGAACGAGACCGCTCGACATCAAGAAGAAGATCTCGGTCGCCAATTGTTTTTCTGCTTGTGATAAGAAGATAGCGAGATGTTGGTATAAGGCGATCCAATTTGGAGTTAGATTCTCAAGACCATTTCTAAAAAACAATAATATAGCTGTAATTTTATTATTGCCAGTACGCACTTATTGTTCCTATACTCTAAGAAACCCGGTAACTAAGTTATTACCAGGCGGAGTATCTATGTGACTCTACCGCATGGTAAATAATTTATTATTGAGTGGTAGAAAATTAGTTACCAAACCGGTAATAACCCCGGTCGCGAAATTTGAAAATATTACCAGTTGGTAACTAATTATCTACCACTCAATAATAAATTATTTACCATGCGGTAGAGTCACATAGATACTCCGCCTGGTAATAACTTAGTTACCGGGTTTCTTAGAGTGTAGTCACAAAACATCTAATTGGACATATGTGACCATTCAAAATGGATGTTTTGTCGTGTAGCTACAAACCTAATTCGTTCCGCATATTCCACAAATATGCGGATACTGTTAATCGCCAGCTTCTCAGTTAATGCGTAGAAGTGCATTAAGAACGGAAATATACGTTGTCCCTCCATAACTGCCATAAACGACAATATAACCCTTAGAGATATGTACACCACCGAGGCGACGAGGTTTCTTTTGACGTCGATCTTGAAATATATCCACATATCTTCCAGAGGGACTCTGTACACATCCATCTTGAGAACAAATATGCCGGATAGTACTATTAAAGGCGACACGATTGGTAAAGCGGCCGCCGAGACGAGGCCGATCATTCCTACAATAATACAAATATTTAAAGATATGTATTCGCGCCATGTTAATTATGGTATTCCGCTGTACTCATGCGACCTGTCCAATCCAGACCGCCTTCCGTCAAGACGATACTTGGAATTCGCGCTTTACGAAATACCCGGTCCAAAAAATTCACCCACGTTTTCCACCTGCTATTCACAACTTGGTTCTTTTCCTCTACAAAAATTTCAGGTTAATTAACTTGAATTATTTTAAAATCCATATGGGACTTTTTTTTATACCCGTGATCTTGTAAATTTTCATAATGTCATGGAAATCCAATACACCATTGACTATTTCCACTGCCCGCTGTCCAAACGCCATCACCACCATTGCAATCCCCGATGCCAGTCCACCTGTCGGAATCATCATGGCATACTGAACGATGTACGAGAAATTGATATCTTTTCTTGGCGAGTGGAATTGCCAGTAGATAGTGTAGAATGCTGAGGCCCCCGTTAAACCATTGAGGATTCCGTAGACACAAAAATACCACAAGAAATATTTCATGTGTGGGGCTTTGTCATACGTCATTCGATTCGTTTTCTGATCCCAACCGATCGGAGTTTTCCAAAGATAGCTGTTATAGCGGAAGCTCGTATGAATGGCGTAGAAAATTAGAGGGGTTGGCATATTTTCTAAAAAAAAGTAGGTTTAGTCAGGGAGTGAAGATATATTTAGTGTTCTTCTTGGTCCCAGTGGATGTAACCTTCTGCAAAGTTTGCCCTATTGTTTTGCAAAATAATGCCTCCTGTCTAGCCGTTAAGGCGCAACGATGTGATTGCAGTACGTTGATCTTACTGGGTTTGAATAAGTAAGAATCATTTCATATTTATAGATACCACTCCTTTTTAATGTTAATTTATGTTGAAATTGTGCTCTTAATTTCTCTTACATCTTCAAAGTTATGTAACTGAGTGAATCAAGTTATGTGAATTTAAGTTCGTATGTTTGTATGCCTTGCTACGCAGGCACGAATCTACATATGTACCTAGATAGATTTGTGCATGTGTTTATCGGATGTGTTTTTTAAAAATTAAGGTTGAATTAAAGTTGTGAATTATGTATAAATAGATTAAAGCCTATTTTATTATTTATGAATTACAAAGTTTCTATCGTCTTTTATCTAAAACCAATAGTTTGCCATAAACTGTTTATGAATAATGAAATATATTATGTAAATACATAGATATGCACATTAATATATAATATAATAATATTTAATATACAACCCGGGTATATGAATAAGGGCTCGTTTGAACTGATTGTACGAGAAGCCCATAATTTTTAGTGCAAAGTCATTACAAATTAAAATGCCTCCCTGTACCATCAACATTAAAAATGACAAAAAAGTGAGTCGCTCCGTACCTACCATCCTACCACTTATGAAAATCACACAGCCAATGAAAATATAAATTGTTATAATGCAAAAGATTTTGTAGAGTCCAATTCTTGTGCAAATTGTAATTTTAGTAACCCACGTGAATACAATGTATTATATTATTGTATTTATACTTCCAACTAATGAATAATTTATATGAGGGACATCAAAACTTAAGACGAGCTACCTACCTACATATTTATTTCATCGTTATTAACAACGACGCCGAGTTTCTAATGCAAAATTCTTGCACTATAAGTGGGGTCAAACTTTCAACAAAGTTATATCCAAACTCAACCTTCAAAGGGAATAAGGACGCATGAACTCTTCTTCCTAGTCGCGTCGCATTACCCCAACTTGCCCGCTTAAGCCACGTACTCGTGTCAGAATTTAGTTTTCCTCCCGCACTAAAAATTACTATCGTTGCAAACAGAAGTGCAACATAGGCGACGAAAAAGCCTAAAATCCTGATACTACTATTGACGTCAGGTGAATGATTTACACGGGTGGTTTACACGGGAGGAAGATTGTCAAGGCGGCCAAGATAATCGCCCAGAGCCAGATGTAAATTTCCGTCAGGTCAAGAATGAATCCGATACAGAACAGTATCCTGGTCGATTTTTGACTGGTCGATTGCATAGCTGAGGAAATAAGTAAATATGGCTAAAATTTAAAAAAAAACTAAGTTGAAGAAAATGAGGAACCGATGATAGATTAAAAGGGGTTTCCACAGTGCGTTACGGACCCAGGGCCTCCCGCTTTCGTGACGGGTTCTGTGCCCACTGAGCTATCCGAACACTTGTGCGGCATAGAATCTGTAGCAACAAGCGCCGGCATACGCAGGCAGATAAGTGGTCAAACCACCTACCATGAAAAAAAAAGTTTGTATTATCGATTCCGCATTTACTTCAATACACTATTTAGTACTCGATATTTTGAAATTTCAGGAAAAAAATTATTTAAACAAGGAAACCTGGACTATTTGATATGTAGTTGAGCAACTGTGCAGCAACGGGGTCCACATGAAATTCCCATCGAAAGGCCAACGCTACGAAATAAATTACACTTATCATTCCGGCTTCAATTCTATCGACCAAAGTCGCCTGCGTCGCGGTACTAATGCTGCATATTTGAGCGAGGAAGTACAAGAGATGCAGCATTATTGTAAGTCTGACAAAATTTTTCCCTCTCCTCGACTTTGGGATGACCCTGTCCCCTTGCCAGGTGGAATACGAGCAGCCATAAATATCTCCATACTTCAAGTTTCGTTTAATCAAACGAGTTAAAACAGTGGTGTCGGAGTGTCCTTCCATAAGTACGGATCGGTGCAGGAAGTCGTATTTGTTACACAAGTTTCAATCTGTGAAATTTTGTTTCACTTTTAGATGTAGAGACTTATAAATTGTATGCAATTGAAATATGTACCAACTGCTCCCCAGCTAGAGATTGAATGAGTGAATGA